ATTCCGAACTCGTCATTCGCCCCCGATCCGTTCCAATTCCATTCACCCCCGAGGCGCATTCTTTCTCAAGCCAAAGAAGACGAAAAAGCTCGAAATTGTCATTTCCCGCCGCCACGTCCCTTTCGCGACCACGTTCTTGAATCTCTATTTTGCCATTTTATTCAACACACGCTATCGGGATACACTCCTTCCTTGATATTTACGATCAGACGACTTGACCTTCTTATCCGCCCTACGTCAAGACGTCGAGTTTTCTTTTGTTTCCGGCACTGTTCTTTGTCTGCTCATCTGCACCCATTTTTCGAGTCTGAACGTGTCAGGTCTACCACACAGCAACAACAACAACAACAATCCTCCCAACGCGCCGCGCCCTGGTCTGCAGCTCTTCGACACCGATATATGATTTCCCTGACAGCTCTTTTCGAATATTCGAGTCCCCGGAAGTCGACTACACCCACGTCGGACCCGGATTCGTCGTCATGCCATCCGGGCTTCTACGATAAACCTCCATTTCCCTACGTAAACCTCGCCGATAATCACCTCGTGGGGTGCATGTTAGATTATGACAGACAGGATCTCATCCTTGCCTACGCAATCAGTGACTCCGAGTCAGACGGTCGTACTTAGCCCAAAATCTACCCCTACCTTACCGAACTATGTCTCGAACAAGGTCCAGGGCGCGATCGAAGAAGAACCGTACACGATCAAGTGTATCTGCAACTTCACTGACGATGACGGGAACACTATCTATTGCGAAACATGTGATACCTGGCAACATATCGAATGCTATTATCCGCTTAACATCGACGAGGCCTTACGGGAAGATTTTGCACACTCTTGTGCTGAGTGCAAACCCAGACCGCTCGATCGCCAAGGCGCCTTCGACAGACAACGACTGCGACGGAGCAAGCCCAGTACATTGGAGGCGTCCGAACGAAAGGTCAAACGACCTCCCACTAAAACGGCAAAAAAGAAAACCAGACCAACAGACCTTGGGCCAAGTGGCCAGATTAATTTCGATACCAACTTAAAATATTCTCAAGACCACCCTCCCACTCACCAACATAAAAAGACCAAAAGTACACACCGGCCTAGTCAATCAATTAGTTCACAAAATCCGAAACGCAGCCCTTCGTACGGGCAAAAGACTGGGAATCCCCACGGCCATCCGCCCAGTCCCGCCACAACACCTCCAGATCTTCCCCACGAACTTGAGATACAATATTCGAATGCTTTCTTAAACCTGTATAAAGACGACCGCGACGTACCTATCGTTCAGACAAATTCTTTTGCAAGTCTTTCTATATCAAACGTGCTATCTTTATGGCTGCGGGATCACGATAAATTGAAAGCAGAAGCAGGGTGCAAATTTGACGAAGTTTTCCAGTCTTTACCGCCCAATATTGACTCCCTTAGAACATTACCGCGGATCGAAACTAGGAAGTTGCCTGTTGGACCGGATACGATTGTACACTGGCAGCATCTTAGGACGTCCGAAACAATCGACAAGAACATACCTTTGATGGAATTAAACGGCCAGATCGGAATACAAAAGGAGTATTGCGAGGATCCGGAAAATCGTTGGCAAGAATTAAGCACGCCGCTCCCTTTTGTCTTCTTTCATCCTATGCTTCCTATTTACATCGATACCCGAAAAGAAGGCTCTCTTGCTCGTTATGTGCGACGGAGTTGTAAGCCAAATGCGGTGCTGGATACTTACTTATCTGATGGTTCTGAGTATCACTTCTGGCTGGTTAGCGATCGACGGATACTACCTTCTGAGCAGATTACGATCCCATGGGAGTTCAATCTTCAGAAGGACGTAGCGCGGAGGTGGGAACAGTTGCTCGGTCTTGGAGATGAGGAAGTAGGTGCGCAACCAGAGTATAATGAAAAAGAGACCGAGACATACCAGAGTATTGCTTCTTGGGTTCATGCTGTTCTTTCGGAATACGGTGGGTGTGCATGCGACTTAGGACCGGACTGCGCGTTTGCTCGTTTCCACCGAACCTATATACTCAAGCCGCAACAACAATCAAAAGAAATCAAGGGTGTGAAAAAGAAGTCTCGGAAGACCAAAGCAAGCGCCATTTCTCCGACAAGCACCGGCCATGCGACTAATAGCCGTGCCCCTAGTGAGGGCCACGGCGATGATGGTGCGGATAACGATTCTGGGTCTTCGCGTAGCAAACCTCCTAGCCGAGACATGACTCCAGCACCACGACAAGGCTCTTTCGATACGCTAGGCGTCTTAACAGAACTCACCGACAGAGATAAGCGAAAGGTCCAGATGGTTGAAGATTCGTTCCGTCGCATGGAACAACAGCAGCAACCTCCACGGAAGAAGAAAAGAACTTCAGATGGTTCTGGCAATTCAAATCCCACCTCAAAGTCCAAACCAAGAGGTTCGTTTAGTCATCCAGGAGGTCTTTCTAATGGGGTCCTAGAACGTCGTTACGTTGACGCCGGTACTTCGAGGAGCATGTCTGGTTCTCCATCCAGCGCAGTGTCACCACGCACGACCGGCCATTCTAAACAGTACGATCCGCCCAACCTCTCTACGCGGGCTCTTGCGCGACATTCCTCCCTGGGAGCCCGACCTGAATATTGCGATGTTTCCGTTCAAACGGACCCAGTCGATGGTGAATGGTTTAGTGGTGACTGTCAAACGCCAAAGCCAAAGAGACGAGTTGTATCATTGTCAAAGCGTTTACTGGAATCTCGACATCGCTTGCGGGCAGATGAAGAACGAAAGAGAAAGACTCATTCTGCCTCTCCCATTTCGATATCGTCCGCTACTGTCAAGATGGACCTGGATTCTCCTAAGGTGGAGCACAACTCGACGGTCGTCCCCGAAGTAGAAAAGCTGGATAAGCCAACGCCACCACGAGTCGATTCACCTATTGACACATCAATGGAGGATGCACCAGTGTCGCCCACAGATATCAAAAGTTCTCCAGTCGTGGTTCCGGTAATACCTAAGCCGATAAAAAACAAGTCGCCCGAACTACGTGTTCAAATGCCACCTGTCCCCGCGTTTAACGGTACGGTAGTTCCTAGTGCTACGACTCCGTTGTCTGCATCTGGGACTTTAACCCAGTCACCATTCTCTAGTAGTAATCTACCTAGTCCATTCGCACCGGCGTCGGTTAACGGCGTTGCGGTTCAGCCTAGCCCGATCAAGAAGAAGCTGAGCTTGAGCGACTATACAAAAAGCAGGATGAATAAGGCGGCGGCGGCAAAACCAGCAGGAGGCTCTTTGAAGCCGCCAAGTATTGTGTTAGAGGAGGCTAAATCACCAACAAGCTCGGATATTGCTACTCTGGAAGCTCCTGTTGCTGATAAAAGCGCTGAATGATCGCTCCAACTAGAAGCGATTTTTCGAGTCGGGAATACTTGTAATATACAGCGGGACGTCCAGATACTTGACAGCACCCTTTTGAGGCGTATCTCTTGATTACGTCTTGGCCTTATGTCTTCGTATGGGGTACTAGGGTTCTCTCGGAGCGGTGGACGTGCCGAATGGGTAACGTCATTTTCTACGTCAGGCGTTGGGGTAGGTCTTAAATGGGGGTATCCACGATGAGGCATCGGCATGAAGATCTTCCAAAAGATATCGGTTTTATTTTTCATTAGATTCGGTATGAATCAAATTCTTAACGCGTTACGGCGCGAGGGGCTTCACACGGCTTGGTGGGACTTTACATGAACAGGACTTGAACGTTGATGAGTCGGCTATTCTAACTGCTTAAGTTGTACCGACGATACGGAATGCAACTCTGAGGCAGTCGGTAGTCACGAGGACTGGAATGGGGCGGAGTCCAAAAGGTGTAGAGATTCGTATGTCTATATGTACTACTACTTGAAGTCGAGATATTTGTGGCAGAGAGTAGGGAGCTTGATAGCTACAACTTCACAACTAATGTGAGACTAGCTCGGCTCGGCATGGGTTCCATTTCAAATGGGATACCAATGCTAGTTGAGTGGGATTTATGAAAGATCACATTATGTCTTCTTAATTAACCATTCAAACTAACTGGGTTGCGTGTTTGTATGTTCTATTATCTAGGGTGGCGAGTAAGCTCCTCCCATTGGTTCATCTAAGTTGTCTCTCGACGTACAGTAAGATGGATGGGATGACGGTCATATGATGCAGACTGCTTCCTTTATCTACAACTAGAACAAGGTGTTCGTCTCGCCGAGTTGACTATTTGTAAGTAACTGATGAGAGAAGGCAGAAGATAACCAGGATGTTCCCGGAACATGAGGATAGTGGTGGTGAATGGTGGATTGGCGAGATGATGGCCTTCCTATGGTATATGGTAAACAGTAGGGGAATGCGGAACACTTCTGCATCTCATATCGATGTGTCTGTTGGTTGTGTTATGATGTCCTAAATGGTGTTCACTTCTGAGTATATTCATATATAGGCGTGGGTACTTACATAGTAGTCGATCCGGATAGAGCCGTGTACTGTCTCTTCTGCAGTGAGGGACGTCATATATATATATACCTACAGATATATGTCGGATTCACGCGTGGTAATAACGTGGAGTCTTAATTGTATCAGTCCATAGCTACATGTATATACGTATGTATATAGTACCTAGGTAGGTAGTGACGTCTTAGTCAAGTATAGTACATTTGCTGCTTCGAGCCAATCACCTTCTGACATTAAATGCTCGCATGATGTAAGATATTCCTTCGAGTGCATGAGCGATAAAGGGTAAGCTATACTAACAGTCCCTATGTATAGTCTACTTACCTGGGTTAGGTACACATGTATACCTTAGGTATGTAAATAGGTACATTTTTGAATAAGACTCGTTATTGTGACTTGATCCGAAGTAGATGGCTTTTGTTATTAAGGTAAGACATGGAACTGAGACAACACTATACTTTGGACTAGACGTACGACTTGACTTATCACGTAGTACTCATCCAACATGAACTACCTACACATAATATATGTACATATATAGGTATGTATGTAGATCGGGGGGTCCTTCGCCGGGGTATCACTAGCTCTTGGCCTTGACTACGACATGTATGGGATTTTGAACCCTGGTTTGGGCGACTACTGCAGGTCTTAACAGGGTAAAACGTATTTTCGGGTTTGGTTCGTACAGGGTTCTAATTCACGAATTAGGGAATACAAGACGTAATTTGTAAATCATCGATCCGATTACTATCAGTTTTTGCGTTTGGGCGAATTGCCTGAGTCTATGTACGTGGTCTAGCTGGAGTTTCATAGTTCGTACGATAGTTTGCAACCGGTATGAAATGGGTATCTGCAGAAGTAATCTAATCAGACTTCTGGCTAAACAGCGCTTCTAATATTTAGATTATCCTCCCTGAAGATGAGGAGGGCTAGTTTGTGTCTGACGAAAAGGCCAAACAAGCCTAATATTGTCTGCATGGCTGTGATCTCCTTGGCAAGTCTATCCTCACGCATCGGGCCTCTCCAGACTAGCCAGAGATTCAGAATTGTGAAGTTACTTGTCTCCTCAATTAGACCCTGTTCATCCTCCTTGAGGCGTAATAACCTGAGCTGCGACAATAGCCGCAATACTTTTGCGATGATAGGACGGGGTTGCTTGTCTTTTTCCCACTTGGTCACACTTGGCTCGAGTAGGCCAGTCCGCGCGTTAAAGTGTGGCAGGCGGTGACGTGGGCACGGGATTAGCCCGAATAGCTGGGGTGTGCTGTAGACAAAATTGAAGATCTGAGGGACTAGCAGCAGAATCAGGGTCTTCGAAAAATGGCCTAGGATACTAACCACCACGAATACCATGCCGGCGAAGTAACAATACGTGTCTCCACAGAAGACGCGGGCAGGATACCAATTGTGGATCAGCAGCGCGAAGCTCACACCTAGGAAGGGTAGGAGGAAGTAGAGGGAGAACAAATGCGAGTCCGTAGCTGGATGAGGGTACGGCGTGAGTAGATAGAGCGCATCATTAAATGCGAGAAGCAGCGCAATGACAATGCTCTGGCTAACCTCGATCCCATTGATTCCAGCAAGAATGTTGATGCTGTTAGGACTGAAGATGGAAAAGGCTGACATGTATCCATAGTAAAGGATTCCGAGGTCGAATAACTCGCGGCCAATATAGGGTTGGAGAAAGGTTGGGAGTACAATCGATGTAACGCCAAAGTCAATAAAATAGATGACTAGAAGCGGGAGGGAGGCAAAGGCCGGGATGAAGAATTTATGCCGCCAGCGGATATCAAATAGGTCGTCGCCAATTCCAAGTAGGGTGATAGACTGGAGCGAGATGATGGCGGAGAGGTAAGAGGCTAGCTGTATAAAGATAAGAAGTTGTCAGTTTGTGATTCCCAGCTCGAGTTGCTAGAATAACTCGTACCTTGCTATGAGGAAACTTGTGAAGCAACCTTCCCTGCTGAACAAACTCCACGTTCTTCACGACATCACGATTTCCACCACCACTAGTAGCGACCACGATATCCTTGTAAAACGGGAATGGTATGAAGACAATTATGATCAATAGGTAGACCACAGCGCATATACCACCCATACATTCCGGTATGTAGTTGCTATTGTTCACCTTGGAGAGATCGCGACCTTTCAATCCAGCTTTAATGAACGTCGGACCGAGCCATCGTATCATAGCATAAGAAGCAGCGAATGCGATACCGCTAAGGGCTAGGGAGGCGACTAGAGGTTCCCCTTCACCCTCAAATGTTCGTACGAGGACGGCGACGCAAACTAATGAAAGGCTAGAAAGGTACAAGGTCTCGGTGCTCGAGAGCTGGGAGGATTGTGCGGCGATCGGCATCTTTGCGGCTCAGGCATAACCAATTTGTTAGGTCAAGGAATCGGCGAGAGGAACCCCATTGTCCGACCTTTAGGTCACCACATTAAAGTAGGATGGTGATGGAAGAAGATAACCTGATGTTGACTTTGGCGGATTAAAAGAAGCCACATTAGCTCAGAAATACGAAGTACATATGTACACGTTTAGGTTAGGTTAGGTACCGTACTTAATGCAGCATTTACTGAAACGCACATGGATCTTGCCGATCGGATTGTAACCAATCTTGCCTTCTCTGCCTCTGTACAATGAATCTAAGAAAGCTTCAATTATGGGTCTTAGTACACTAACTGCAGCATTACGAAGCAGCTCCTGCAAGTTTTATGTCATAACAAACTCATCTTAGGTAGGTACCTAGGTAGTTAACTTTATAGTTTGCTATCGGGCACGGGGGATCTCATCACCTGGCTGCATTTGCTACCTAGGTACCTAACCTAGCCGTTTGGTAAAATTGGCTAAAATTGAGTTCACAAAGGCAGACCTCTTTTAGTTTACGTACGAGAACAACTTGGCAACTTAGCAACTTAGCAACTTAGCAACTTAACTACCTAGGTACCTAATCGAGTCTTGTTTGTTCACATCCTCTTATGGTCTTGGTTTGCTCTTATGGATGCAATTTGTTAGTTTCTTAGCACGTATCAAATCTACGGCCTTTGAAGCTATTCCAGTTCTACCTATCACCTATCACCAATACTCATATCTCTCGTGGCGTGTGTAAGTCTGTAGTTCGGTATCTTAAGTGACACGGCTGATCTGTAGCTTTGACTTCGAACTCTATCCCAACATTTAATACTTTAGACTGCTGTATTGATCCTCACAAGCTTACAATTGACTCCCTTGCCGGAAGTAACCAAGCATAGCCCATGCGAGCGGTCACGATTCTCGGGTCTTGTGGGTAGCCTGATCCCATACCTACTGCAAGAGTCGGTGACTAGACGTCGGAAATGGATATCACTTGAAGCGCCGTCCCGATTCCTCGCGGCAGGAAGTTTGGGGTTCCGAGAAGCTTTCAACCTAAACCCCAGACTGATGGTCGAGAACCTAGTTATGTCTCAAGTCGACTAGATGGCCCTCATCTTGCGCCCTCTGGTCTCTGTCTTAAGTCTGTCTCAGGTCCAAAACTGAATTCTTAAGTAACGATGCGTCTACTTGCTGACAATGATGTTCTGGTTGAATTGGCTCGTTTCGCTCCCTATTCTAATAGCCATCACTGATACTAGGTCAACCATTGCTGCCATGGCTCAGAAGAATACTGAAACCGGAGCAGAGAATAACGACGTTCCACCTGCAAAATCTGATGAGGAGAAGGAACCTGAACCAAAGATACCAGATAATGAACCCCAAAGACCAGAAGAGAGTAACAATACCTTGAAACCAGATGAGAGTCAGGAAACTCGCAAACCGGATGAAATACAAGACGATGCACAGAAGCAGGAAAATGATACGGACGATAGCAGCCGCACTTCGAAGCCGGATGAGGAACAAAGCGATTCACAGAAGCTTAGAAATGGAACAGACGATAGTAGTCATACCTCGAAAACAGACGAAGAGAAGATAAATATACCAGTTAACGTAACGCAGATGAAGAACCAAGTGCGTCCGTCGTTGGATGTAGTCCGCTTCTCGTTCGTCTTAGATAGAGATCAAATACGATCAGTCTTAGATCGAGATCAAATACGATCAGACTACTCTACTGGAAAGCTTATCCTCGACCGGGACCAGATGCGACAGGTTCGCTCTACAAGTGGCTTAGCGAGAGAGACTCCAGGCGAGCTTACACAAGTCGACAACGAAGAGGGTCAAGAGAGCCCGTCTGCTCCAAAAGAAGATGGAATTGGGCCTACTATTCTCCCGCTTTCCGATCTCGAGAACTCCATCGTTGGATGGGAGAGTCAAGATGACCCTAAGATGCCCTTGAATTTCTCAGCGGCCCGGAAGTGGGTGATAGTCTGGGCGCTGGCGGCCATTACCTTCATGTCGCCCTTCTCATCGTCTGTCCTAGCTCCTGCTATCGAATACATCAACAAGGACTTCCATAACTCCAACCCCACGAATGGACCATTCCCAGTCAGCATCTATCTGTTGGGTTATGCCACGGGACCTTTATTCCTGGCTCCCCTTTCCGAAATATTTGGCCGTGCCGGCGTGCTTACCTCTTCTAATATTTTCTTCTGCTTATGGCATATCGGATGTGCTTTATCCCCTACTCTCGGACTATTAATAGCATTTCGATTCGCGGCTGGTATTGGAGGTAGCGGCTGCATGACACTCGGAGGCGCGATCATTGGCGACATATTTCCTATCGAGAAGCGCGGTATAGCTCTCTCTATCTGGGCATTGGGACCACTCGTAGGGCCAACAGTAGGTCCACTAACAGGTGCTTTCATTGCCGAATCTATTGGATGGCGTTGGTCGTTTTGGATTGTGCTGATTCCGTCTGCTATTATTACTCTCATCTTAGCCATTTTCCTCCCCGAGACGAACCACAAGGTCCTCTTACAACGGAAGACTAAGCGTTTAAATAAAGAGCTGAAGCGAACGGACCTTAGGACTTGCTATGATGGTAGTGAGTCCGGAAAATTATCTCAATTGACTATCCTGAGAACCGGTATGCTGCGGCCACTGAAGATGCTCATATTTGCGCCTATGATTTTTATACAGTCGTTGTATGTATCTTTCATCTACGGATCCGTTTACTTGATGTATAACTCCATCCCACCGACTTTTGAGACGCGTTACGGGTGGAGTACTGGTATTTCCGGACTAGTTTTCATCTCTATCGGTGTGGGTTATATGGTTGGCCTTTGGGCTTTCTCAATGCTGTCAGACAGAACAGTAGTCCGCCTGACGAAAGCTAACGGCGGAGCATTCAAACCGGAGTTCCGCTTAACCATTATGATTTGGTACTCATTCCTCTGCCCGCTCGCCTTCTTCTGGTACGGATGGTCAGCTCAGATGAAGACACACTGGATCATACCGATCGTGGGCCTGTTTCCTCTCGGCTTTGGTGTGATTGGAGTTTTCATGCCTACTCAGGCCTACATCATCGACGCTTATCCTTCATACGCCGCGTCAGGGATAGCTGCCTTCACTGTCTTGCGCAGTGTCATTGCGGCCTTTCTTCCTCTATGCGGACCAGTGCTATTTGATAATCTAGGGGTAGGCTGGGGGAGCTCCATTCTCGGCTTTGTCGGCGTGGCTATGATCCCTATCCCTATCGTCATCTTTAAGTTTGGTGCGCGGCTGAGAGAGAAATACCCTCTGAAACTTTAGTTTTTCCTTGCTACTTAACATATTTAGGTGGCCTCTGCAGCATAGAGCAGATGTGCCAGCTGAGTCTTAGATAAAAGATAAAAACGCTGCAAAGGAAAGAGAACACAAAATTATGTTGTATTATTTACTCAGTATCGATTCTTAACCACACTGCTTAAGATCAGATCCAGTCTAGATATTTATCTATGTTACCCTCTGGCGTCTTGGTTATATGTATATATTTCTTTTATATCTAACCCAAGGTCTTTATTCCTTTGGTCTATGGTACGGAATTTTATACATTTACCTAATCATCGCTTTTCATTTTCGAGGTATTGCGAGGTTGGGTCCTCTTTATTATAAACTACTAACTAATTCATTGTACCGTAGCTTCCTTCTTCCGCTTCCCTCTCTTCCCTGATTAGATGAAGCCTCTCCTGGACCATCCCGGCGGCTTCACTCTGCTGTAACTTTCGCCTGAAGGACCGGCCCTGGATGACGACGTAAGCAGTCAGTGTCGCGCCAAGGATCGTGCCGCCTGCCGCCATGGCGGCGTTGATTGGCGTCGGATCACCCTGTAGCGGGCCGTGCGTCAGCACGTCGAGCCCTGATTGTACGAAGTTAACGAGACCCGACAAGCAAGTAATGGTGCCGTAGATGCGGCCAAAGGTTGCGAAGCCAAATATCTTAGTGGCGAAGTCGCTGACTGCGCTGTAGTATAGCGGCCGGAATAAAACGAAGGTCACTACTGTCGCGTACCCGGCCCATAGCTGGGGGATACAGTTGAGTACCCCAATTACCACGATGAAGAAAGTTAGCACGGCTGATGCCATTGCTACGCTTAGGTTGTTAAGCAATATTCCGATAAACGGCGTAGCAAAGACACCACCTACGGGTAGTGCAACGTCGAAGAAGTGGTTGATACGCTCGGCGAGCCGTTCTGATCCCAGTAAGTACCGGTACTGGGCGCGGATGGTAGCAATGAAATAGTTCATGCGCAGCATCTGTAATACTGTGAGTAGCAGGAGCAGTATAAACCACATTGTCATCATCTGCCGGTGCGCTGGTAGGCCGTGCAGTATACCCCAGACACCACTGGCTGCCTGCCGCTCCTCTTCGGCCTGCACGCGGTCCCCGCGCTCCGTCTCGTCGCCCACTAACTCCTCGATCTGCTCGAGCTTGGAAAGACGCTGCCCGGTACGTGCGCTTCTTACGCGCTGGATTTCGTCTGGGCTTTCAAGGTCGTCATCTGAGTCGTGCACGTCGCGTGCTGCATCCTGCACTTTCTCGATCTTGCGCTCAAGCTCAGGCGTCGAGTGGTATGCCCGCGGAGGCATGAGCGCAAACTCTCCAAGAAGAAGTAGGACGCCCACGATCGTGTACCCGAAGAAGAAACGCGTAGGCGTAAGGGTGCGGCCCGACGACTCCCACGCGAGCCGGTAGAATAAGAATATAGCAGCGGAGCCGTCGAAGGCGCCCGTCACTAGCGCGACGATAATGCCTGAGTATCGCGGGAACGCATTCGCGAGCTGGAAGCTAGAGACGAAAACGAATGTCCCGCCTAGACTTAGCAATACGTTGGCCACCAAGTACCCGTCAAACTCGGGGATCTGGAACGCGAGTCCCATCAGCACACACCCCGCGATCATCAATATGCCCGAGATAACATAGCATAGACGACGCCCGTAGCGGTCGAGGACCCATCCGGCGACTAGGGACGAGACATTGGTCGTGATAGAGGCGGCGATGAAGAACAGATTTAGGCGCATATCCTGCGCCGCGCAAGGCACCTTCTCGCTGCCGTCGCCGGTGCTGCTTTCATCGCGGCCGTCTCGAGGGCAAAGGTCTTCGTATACGCCCTCCTCGATTAATATAGGTTTGAGTGATGCGAAGCCGTATACGATGCCGGCAGCGAACCAGCATGCTACGATGGCGAATGCGACTTGGGCTAGAGGGATTAATTAGCTTATATCCATTAGGAGGATATTAGACCGACGTTACTTACCTGCTCTCTTTGCGGCAGAGACCTTGTAAGCAGCAGTATTAGGTAAGGTAGACTCTTGAGAGACAATAGGGGCAGCATGGTCGCCGTGGCCGAAGGCATCGTAACTCAGGGTGCGCCATAGAACCTCTTCCTCTCCGTGTTCTTCATGTTCTGGGGGCACGCGATCGATGCCCTCGTTTGCGGTAACATGCTGAGCGAGAGACATCGCATCGGGGAATCACCGATTTTTCTTCTTCTAGGACTTCGGGATTGGAGCTTTAATAGGGGTCCAACATATACTAATTAAGACTCGCGATCGAAAAAGTGGTAGGAGCACAACCCGCGAAGATATTTCTTCAAAGTATTTACGGCATCTTTGGTTTTAAGCGGCGTGTCAAACGTCTATTCTAGAATCATGAGGAATGTACATATGGGATTATGCTGGAGTGTTGACGTCAGGGGATCCACGTGGGTTACCGGCATGTACATATAACCCCTGCAACCATACTGCGGCTGTATGTATATAGTTAGTTAGATAGGTGTATATACGCAGCTAATTTTAGGTAATAAATACTATTTTAGGATAGTTATTGTTTTGATGAAGGATGGTATAATATTGTGTTCAATTTATTGCTTAAGAAGTGATAATTTATATTCGTCGATAGGGGGGTAGTTAATACATATTTGAGTAGGTTGAAAAGCTAACGAATGTAAAGTCATGCTGGGGATTTTCAACCACCTTCCTCCTCACATTAGTTATCAGGTAGTAATTGTAACTTCAATAACAAGTGTCTGGTTTAGTTGGGATCAACATGACAGATGGCCCATGTGAAAGAGAATACACCACACAAAGATTTCTAACGGCTCAACTGATGAGGAAGGGGCTTTTCCTATCTCGTGAAGCATTAGACGCCGCTCTATAGGCACTAATGGTACACATATAGGGGCTCAAGTAGCACGGTCACGCGCAGGTATGGATATATATTTGCGCGCGGAGGCATGTCCTCTCCAATCAATGGGTGGTATTTCAATATCATCGGTAAGTTCGTGGGTGGGCGTAAGGTATGTGATGACGATAGTTCTATACAGTACCTTGGTAAACTTTGTGCGCCCGAAAAGATCGCATTTTCTACGGCCGGGATGTCAATTATGCACCTACTATCAACCTGTCGCATAGAATTCGATCCCGATCGTTTACTTATACTTTATTATATTCTACGTCTGATCTACTCAAAGGCCCCTGGTGGCTAGTAGCATGATTTCCAAGGCGAGAAAGACAGAGTCGACAGTATATTCACAATTACTTCAACTTCAAATTCTGGAGGCATGGATGAACCACTGGAACAAGATGTGCCGAACAACGGACCGCAAGCGAACTGCGCTATATGGGTTTTCACAGCCCTCGCAGCACTCTTTCTCGGCCTTCGCGTGGTATGTAAATGTAGATGGAACAGTTATCTCCGGTACGATGATTGGTTGCTAATAGCATCTTGGGTGCGTTAACTAGACTACCTGATTGATATCTGAACATGGTTCTCTCTAGCGTACTTGGGGTTCATGGACCTTGTTCTCGCTCTCCTTCTATGGATTACCACAAGATTGCGAATAAACCTAAAAGAAAAGGTCAGCATTACCGTCGCTATAGTTATGGGAGTGTCGTAAGTAGTCACCTCAAGTCTAAGTACCTCATAATGTAGACCAAATCAGAATGAATGCTTACCATTGATAGCGCCGCTGCCACTATAATTATTAAGAGCACTAGTCTAACTATTCTTAATCACGAAGACTTTAACTGTAGGTATATTCTATGGCATTTATTAAACTAATAATAATTATGGGCGAGGCTAACCCAACAACGGATCTTAGACCTCAGCATCGAGATAGTAACTCGCAGCATAGCTGAGATAGCGACCGCTATAATAGCAGTATCAATCCCCGTACTACGTACTCTAGTTTGCGACTTGGCTCGTAACCGTAGAGGTATGGGTTATAGAGGCTACCACCAACCCACCTCTTCGGATGAGGATGGAATTAGAGCCTGGAAGAGGAGTGCCTGATCGTGTCGATGGTAATGGAGCTATGTTCCGGCTGCTTAGGTACGATAATGATCCTGCCATAGAAATATAATGAATCCAAGTCCACCATAATAATAAGATGGATGACGAAATTGGAGGGGAGATAATGGAGGATGAGGATACTTGATTGTTCGGGTAGAGCATGACTTTCAGCGGTTACTTATTCGTAATATAAGAGCTCGCTGAAACAGGTTTCTGAATATTATCAGATGGTGATAACCCGTGCTTCTGAGATGTCTAGAATAGACGAGTGTAGAATTGCGACTCCTTGTGACGTTGAGAAACGGGTCAAACACGAAAAATTTTATGCATAATTCGTTTGATTAGCTCTATAAGAATAAGGAGTCCTCTAAACCACGCCACCCAAGGTATTCTATCCATATTGCGCGATATCGTTTGATTATATTTGTTTATTTCGATGCGGGGTATCATGGTATTGTGAGTTTAGACCTCACTCGCAGGCCCTTCAACCCATATGGATGGGCGGGGCAGTCATCCTAGCTTTCATCATGCCTAATTCTGAGCTCTTAGCCCACGATCCGTCGGGAAGTTGTCGGTAGCATATTAACTTGCCCTCATCCCCGACGCTTCCTAGAATTTGACCATCGTCGTCGAAGTCGATTCTCCATACAGGAGACCGGTGGGCACTGAGTTTAGACAGCAGCTTAACAGTGTGGTGGACCTGTCCCGGTAGATCGGTTGAGGTACGTTCTCCGTGAGTCCCGGACTTGTCGATCTCAGCTCTTATGCCGGAAGGAGCTTGAGAAGATCTACGGAGATGACCACTTTTGGAAGCGGGGTTTTCGTCGGCTTTTGCACTACCTAGAATATCCGCTAGAGCCCAGGATTTGCCATCGTCCTGTGAGAAGGGAGTATCAACCCGGAACACCCGCACGAAACCGTCTTGGCATGCAGTAGCAATCATGTCGTAGCCCCTATAGTTTCCGGGAGCCCAGGCGACGTCTCGGACTAAGTGATTATGATCTCCGATCTCAATAGCTAGGTAGAACTGTCTTTGTCTTGTCGGGGCGCCGAAGGAGCTAGCAACAGTATCACGAGTTCTAAAGATTTTTACCGTGGTTAAGCCCGATACTACCAGACTCAATGCATCCGCTGGTACGCCGGCTCTCAGGGCATTGTAGCAGGGCTCAGGATTCGGGTCAAAGCGAACTTTAAAACATGTTTCCTCGCCACGATTCGGCTTAGTGCAAGCCTGGAAGTCATCAGACTTTGCATAGTCAGTTAGAGTCTCGGGCTCTTCGCCTTCGTATACTGTGAGATGGCCATCCGAGGCAAGAAGGGCGACATATGTAGACCGGGTTACCTCATCATGCTTGACCGAAAAGGACCTATAGGGATACCGGGCGGACCTCAGCTCGGAAACGTTCTTGCCATTCCCGTCCCTCGCACTGAAACGCCTTCCCGGGGCGGCTGAAGGGTCCTCAGCCCATAGTCTAAAGCGACCCTCGATGCCGAGGGAGGCTAGTAAATTGGGATATATGGTGGGTGGCAGCCATTGAAGCTAGACGAGCTGTTAGAAGTATGTTAAAGCCAGACAATCGTATGAACCTAGGTAGTCACCATGCTACCAAAGCTATGAATTATATAAATTTAAGAGAAACGAACCTCTAGAATCTCGCCTGTGTGAGCTTTCCAGTTGTCGCACAATCGCCAAATACCATCTTGGTGTCGATTGAAGACGCGAATCTTCCCGTCTACACTACCTGTGGCGCATCTGTCGCCATATGCGTTGAAAGCGATTGCTTGAACTAAATCCTTGTGACCGTGTTGGACGATGTCGAAAGAAGCGCTATTCTCAGCTGTATTATCCTCTCTAATTGGTGAAGGTCCCATTATAACGCCTATTACGCTGTCTGCATTGCGTATCCAACAGCTTGAGATAGAGATATAGAGCACGTAGTTGTTGTAAGTTGTTGTAAGTTGTTGTAGGTAGCTTTGGTGGGGGTGAGATGAAGCTTAGAACGAAGGTGAGCTACCGGGAATAACTCTTACATAAATATTACATAATAATAATACTAGGTAGACTCTTTATGAACATCTACTTTGATAGAACAATTTGTATGCAATACTAATTTATACATATACCACGACAAATGCATAAATAGGGATTCATTTAATGCAAGGAGGAAAAGGGGAAGAAGATAATAAACAGGTGTTGACAATATGGGCACGCAAATTCTTAAAGGAAACTTGAATACTACACGAGCTACTTCATTTTTGGTTTATTTAAGATACTATCTCGAGATCTCGTGATTTCACTATAGTATTGGACATATATACAACGAATCAAACTCCGGTCGCCACCTACTTAACTGACCCCTAGTATAACCCAATTCCCCATTTTACAGGCTCTTGAGCTGACGCGCGTGGCGCCGAGCATGACGCTTGCTGGAGCAAGTCTTCTTCGGCGTTGTGGTAGCGGGCGAGCTGGCAGCCGGCTGGGTGCTGGCGACAGCAGTAGAGGTGCTACTAGCGATAGGAGAAGTAGCAGTAGGAGCAGCAGTAGTAGGCTGAGCCGGAGTCGTGCTTGTGCTCGTAGGAGCAGGAGCAGAAGACGAGGAAGTATCATCGTTGTTCGACGATGACGATCCATCAAACTTCACTAAAGCAGGTCCGGGGATCTTGTAATCAGCAACCGACGAGAGCTTCTCGTCATTGTAGATGTTGTGCAAGATTCCGGCGTCGGTAGCGGTGTAAAGCTGTGTACCGACGATACCATCCGGAGACTGGGTACCGGACCCAGAAACCTGGAGGTTGATACACTGAGGATACATCTGCGCCTTTCCTTCAGTGCCAGCCTCATGTAGAGCAATGAGTTCGTGACGAAGAACGTAGTTTCCAGGCTTAAGTGAGCTGGGAATGGTAACCTTCCAAGTAAGGCTATCCTCGATTAACAAGTCATCAGCCCACTTGCCGGTCGCGCCACTGCCGGCACCTAGCTCGAGCTGGCCTGCCTCGGCTATCTTAAACCACTTAAGAGTTGTCTTGTCGACAGTTGAACAGTTACCGCCGCAGTCAGCTAAATAATCAATAACCGGTCCTTTGTGAGAGTCCGCCCATTGATTCCAGGTGAGCGAGACCTCGCCACCGGCGGCGACAGGTGCAGACAAAGCAGCATTGGTAGCATCCAAGTGACAGATGATATCAGGGTCTTGGAGCGCCGATGAGAGCACGAAGCCGTTGTCTTTAGCCCCGTTGCTCCAAGTGACACTGTCCGGCTGAGGTCCGTAAGGTGCAGAGGTGGGATCGAATCCTTGATAGGATTTGCCGTCGATAGTCACAGTGGTAACATGACCATGGGCAGAAACAGAAACGGCACCGGCAATGGCAGCCAATAAGCTGGATGTAAGTGCAGAAGGCATATTGAACTTGGTTATTTATATATGATACGTGAATATAGACTGTTCTTGAAGGCCGACTTGCGGTAACGAATGTGAATTGACTTCAAGTCAAGTATGAAAGTAGCTTAAAAGAATGAGTGTGATGAAGACGGCTTCAAGGGAATGGACGAAGACTTGTGATTGGTCTGATAAACAAAGAGAGACGAAATCAAGTCGAGAGAATACTCGCCTCCTTATATTAACTTGCTCCAAGCCCTACCCACATCTACCACGAGCCGCACTTGGGTCTTTTACAGTAACATCCGGGAAGACGAAGATCATGTCGATCCACCATAGCGTTGGGTCGGCGCTATCCATGAACATACTAAACAGGGTTCAGGTTCAAATGAGTTCTCGAATTGGTGGAATATCAATTTGCCAAGGAATGCACCGGCGTTCTGAGTTCAAAATAAAGGAGCTTTTGGTAAGGCGAAATGAGAACCACGGAGATGGCTTGTTAGAAGGTTTCATATGCGGCGCGAAGCAGGGGGTTGTTTACTCCTGAAATTCTGATATCAGCCTTAAAATTAGCGCGTAGGATGAAGATAATGGGGATGACCAGGTCCTTATGCATATAGATGTTCCAGAACTAACGCCGTCGCGCGCTATGAAGACTTTTGACGGAGTAGACTGTTGTTTGAGACGAACAATTTCGGTGAAGCGAGTCTTGGCGCACGCGTCACTAAAGATAACAAGTTACCAAGGGGTGTATTAACCCCTGAAGCTGATCACGATGCGGGGCGATTTTCGAGGGGCCGCTTCTAAGATCCACACTATCGACATCAGATTATCGCGCCACGCCCCGAATATCCTAGATTAAAGAACTAATAGAGAAATCTCAAACATGCCAAGTTCAGTCCATGATGGTACTTTTATAAGAGTGATCTCGCAATAGGGATGATTGATTTAGACTATAGAACATGTATGATCGACTCGCTCGAAAATAAATATGTTTAAAGAGTGAACCTATTAGATACTTACGGTAAGTGTTCAGGTGATAGAGGTAGCTTAATGCCAATTCTTGTCACAAACTTATAGAAAATCGTGAACTAGATAGTTATAGTATTCACGAAGTTGTTAAGATATCCCAGAAAAGCGTTCATACACTATAATAGCTAACTTAGTGCCTCTTACATAGAAATAGATACATCTATATAGTACAAATATCATTGGTACCGACTCAAATTATCATTAACTCAAAGGATCAACCTCCCCAACGCCCGAGCACAATACCCCTGACGTAATCGTTAAATCATAGCTTCTAGCTCGCTTGATGACAACCGAGGCGCCCAAGTTCAGCCCCTTTTCGTTACACTAATTTGATTTGTTCTTGATTGTCCGGCTAACAGGAGTGGTGCCTTGCCTCTGAGAGTAGAGGAGATATGCGAATACAGCCGCGGCCACGGTACCCAGAATAAAGAAATTGTCTGCAACGAATTAGTATAGGCGATAAATAGGGAGTGAGACGAGGGACGGCTAGACTTACGAATTGCGAAGCCAAGAGTGCCTTCAACGAAGCCGATAAAGGCTTGGAATACACCAATAATGGAGTTGAAGATCCATTGGAAGAAGTTGACGACAGCTCCTAAGAAACCTTGGATCACTTCGATGATTGATTGGAAGAAGTGACCGACACCCGCTGCAAGACCCATGATGGCGATTTGATTTTTAATAGTATTTATTTTATAAATATGGCTTTTCTATCCGAAGTCGAAGTCAATTTGAGTAACCGACAGTCTGTAATAATGTTGTGGCTTATTAACTACGGGGCTCTATGGGGTTATGCGTGTTCTTATAGCTCTCTAGAGAGCCTCCACACTCCAGACTACGTCACCGAAGAAAAGATAAAGTCATGCAAGAACTTTCGGAATCCGGACAAAGAAGTTGGATTCGATGGCGTAGTATCAGTCACTTGTGACGCTTGCCTTCGCTAAGGATCACGTAGCTGCGTATAAGTCATGACGTCAGTCTCTTAAATTGGGAATGACAGGTCGATATACGCTATTTCATTGGTTGAGCCACATGGTCCAATCACATCATGTTATTCTTCATAGGTAAATAGGACTCCTTTCATAACATTAAGTATAGGTGGCCATTGCTGGATAAGAACCAATAAGGTAACAGATTTCAAGAAATATATCCCGGGACCACCCAGAACTCTGCAGTGAAGGACAGATTTATGCAGAAGTTCCAACAGCTGCCAATATCATAGTGATTAAAAGCTCCCGTTTTGCTCGCGAGTTACTAAGATCTTACTATAATAAAAGAACTTTCTTGGTCTCTTGGTCGTTGTAAAGGGTATATACTTGGAAATTGCGCATGTATTTTAAAACTTTCCTCAAGAGATAGAAACTCCATTGCGAGCGTTAAGAAAGTTTCTTGTAGTCATATATGCCCTTACATGGCCCCTTTACCTGTTATCTAAGGCATGCGCTCATTATATAGCATTATAAGGATGAATAGCGAGAGCTTAAGTACCTACTAATAATTACTGCACTTTTGAAAATACATTAACATAATAGGATTGATATAATATCTTACATTGCTACTCAATCAAAAGGCCGTAATATATAATGTCTAAGTTAATCCAAGACACAACATGGTAAAAGAAGGGCGTTATTGGGTATCATTCTGGCCACTGTGGCTTGTACTTCCAGCATCTAGTGCAGAAGAGCACATTTATATCCGAAATGTACATACATCTAAATCATTCATACAAACACTGCATATATTCAACAGAAACCAGTGTAATAGAAGAATAAATACCTAGGTTCACAGCTCAAGAGCATTGCTCTCTAAGCCTGAATCTTAAGTCCAGCCGCCCTGGCGCGGCTGTGAACTGATCTCTTAGATCGGCGAACAACTTATCTCCCTTCTCATCGCCCCAGAACTCAACTTTGAACTTCTTCACGAGTAAGGCGATGACGAATCGCATCTCAGTCATTGCGAGGTTCTTCCCAATACAGTTAAACCGACCCTGGGAGAACGGGGCGAAGCCACGAGCATCCTTGACCATTTCTGGTCGCGTAGTCCAGCGTTCGGGGATGAACTGATCGGGTTCTTCGTATGAGGAGTCAAGGCGCGCGAGAGAGTATCTGGGTGCAACAATTGTGACATTCCCCGGGATATATACGTCGTTAATGGTCATTCCAGTTGGGGGTGATTGGCGGTAGCCGCCAGTAGGTACTGGAGGGTATAGCCGCAATGTTTCGTTAATCAGAGCGGTGAGGTGGTCGCAGTTCTGGAGCTGCGACTTGTCGTAAATATCTACATCCTTGAGTTCGGAAAGTAGCATGTCTTGGTGCCGAGGGCTGCGAGCGAGCTCGTAGAAAGCAAAGACGAGGGTTGGGGCGATGGTATCGCTAAGGTTGGTTAGTAAGACGAGCTAAATGATAACATGATCATGCCATGGACTAACCTTCCAGCAATGATGATGGTGATGGCATCACCATTCAGCCACTCACGGTCAGCTTCCAAGGAGCCCTTTTCAAGAGACGCCTCGATGAGCCAGTGTGAGACATCGGGCCTCTCTACTTTCCTCTATTGGCTTGTTAGAGTCTTCAATATTAAAGTGTAGTAGGAAGAAACGTACTGCTATCCGTTCGCCCATGCGGTCCTTACACCATTGCATCATACCAAGCCAATCTCGAACGATATACATCCAGGGTGTGATATAGAATGCGATTTGAGCAATCCATGGAACCGGACTAAATGGCCCTAGCAAGCTCATAGCTCTCCTCAGTAAGCGAACTGCGAAGTGCCACTTCTTATCTTTCAACATGCCGAATGATCGTGCAAAGGCAAATTCGCCCATGACATCAAATGTAAACCAGTAAAACCAGTCTGATACATTGACGGGAGAATCTTCTATTGCAAGCTTCTCGATCTGCGATGCAAGTGTTTCTGCATATTCCACGACACGTTCTTCGTAGATGGCAAGAGCTTTATTGGTAAAGCCTCGGTCCCAGACTCGTCGTCGAGCATCATGCTCCTTTATGTTTCGGGTTGTATTAACTGCGATTTCAGGAAGTAAGAAGTCGTACCAGACGGCCTTGGTACACTTATTCCTGGGTCCATCGACAGCGGGAGGAACAGCAGCGTCGATGAAGGTGATCTCCTCTGGGCCTGTTCGAATAACTGGGCCATACTTCTTGCGCAGCTCCTCAATGACGAGGAAATTCTTCCCCGTACGACATTGCCGTACGTGCCAAAACTTCGTGGCTCCTGCTAGCCAAGGACCGGGGAAGTGGCGTAGTCTGTGGAAGAACTTTCGATATATGACGATGCTAGTGAATAACGCAGTTGCATATGAGCTGACTATCAGAGAAGTAATCTTGAAACTGGTGTTAATGTCCGCTCCGAGTCTCTGTTCAACCAAAAAGACGACGAAAGCGAGGAAAGAGTAGATTGTAAAGAGTGTAGGTGCTTGCATATGCCATTCACCGCGAATAAAGATAGAAAAATGGGAGGAAGCTCCCAGGGCAGCGGCCCCTAGGCAAGCGTAGCCGGTGGTAGTCGACAGCATACTGAGAGATCGTGCTAAGCGAAGGCCTTAGAGCTCACTAGTAAAGGGCGAGGATGTAGGCCGGGGAGGCATTCCTGTAGAAACTAATCTAAAAGAAAGACTATATGTAGTAGCTAACAGATGGGGGACGGCATCCTCCGGAAAACAAAACCCCTATCTCTGACGACTCGGCGTCGTGGCCACTTTTACTGGGCATCAGCAACTCTTTCGAACATATCCATCGTAGGACTTGGGCAGCGTGTCATACTACCAACTAACAACTTGATGAAGATTCCGTATACTAGCTAGTGTACGGGGGTAAATAAGGTTATTTTCGGTACCTATAACCCGTTGCGTCGATCCTACGGCACTTAAGCGCCTTGGTAATCCATCAGGAATGGTCTCAACCGATTATCCACTCCATCCTCTCGGCTGGTAGGTAAAAGCAAATCCATTTCTAATCTAGCCTTGTGCGTCGAGAGAGTCCGAGAGCCCGAGTCCGATTATTGATATTGTACATACAATGTAGCACTGTAAGTTTTACGCTCGTCCTATGGTGGTCAGCTTTAAAGTAAGAGTGTTGATTATATATCATTATTTAAAAAAAGACTTCTGCATTATATGACCTTATATGTATGGCTGGCCTATAACTGGCAGTAGAATACTGTCTTACGTGAATCGCAAAAAAGGCATAAATTTGGTATAGTTTAGTCATGCCCGTTATATCGGCTAGGTACTTCGTGTATGTATTTCTCAAGATGCTTCGTATAAAACGGTCGAATCAGTTGGGACCCTTACATCGGGTTATCACCTGCAGAAGGATCTAGCGTATCCAATCTACGGTCTTATGTAGTGATAGGGGTGAGTTGGGGTCGCCACGGACATCGTTCCATTCATGTCGTGGAGCAGTAATAGTCGATTGCATATGGAAATAAATTCGATATCTGATATCGTAACCCTCTAGTTGAGTCTATCGATTTACGGCACGGCGATTGCTTTTTAAATCGAATTCCTTCGCAGTCTCGTTCGATATCACAGACTAAGCTGATCCCTACCCCTAGTATACTCTCCACACAGTCCCCTGAGTTGTTCGCTATCATAACAGAACATGTCTAAGCCAGTGTTTATTCTCCTCCACGGTGCGTGGCACAGTCCTAGGTGCTGGGATAGTCTCATCACCGCACTGAGCAAGGCAGGCTACTCGGCTGTTGCCCCAGCCTTACCCTCGTCGGGATCTACGCCACCTACACCTGACTGGACCAAGGACATCGAAACCATCAGGAATACCGTGGAGAATCTCGTCGAAGAGAACGATGTCGTCGTCGTTACGCACAGCTTCAGTGGTATGACTGGAGGTACGGCTTTGTGTGCTTCGACATCGAATTCGCTACGATGTTCTAATAGTATCCAACCTTGTGCAAGCTCTATGAGCTCTACAAGACTGCCTTGAAGTGAACGCACGTCTTGGCATTGTTGAATATTCAAAAAGCCGACCTCCCCTTATTGCTCAAGGTACAATATTTAAGGGGCTTTGCGTTCCTTCGATCAGTACATATCAGATACCCTATGGTACCTAAGCTACATCATGTGAGCACCGGAGGGTAGTTCAGATGATAATATAATTTCATGCTACCACTCACCTGGCGTTTCCACCATCATTGTAATATTGGTGACAAATTAAATACTTATTGAAATATTTCCTATTTCCCCATTGCTTTTATTTCATATTCATTTAGGATAGCATAAACTAATTGTATTGACTATGAAAAATCTACTAGTATTATGTATATTTGGTATATTTGCGTATACGAGGCATTAAGGGGGAGAACCCCCCTGAGAGTAGGAACTGCCAATGTTTAACAAAAACAAACTCGAAACAATATGAACGTTTACTTGATTACAGGAAAGCGTAAATAATCTGTGTAGAAAGGAAATTTGCGTGTAGAGAAAGATTTAGGTAATTAGCTCGCGAGTGTCAGTCTAATTTGCTTATACGTAATAGGTTTCTCTCGCAATGTATGCTATTTACTGGCGATCGTCAAGTCCCAGACTAGTCCATGACAAGTTTAAGCTCAGATAAATGAGATAATTGGCTTACCAAGTATCCCGTTCCCGAACCATATTTGCAGCATACTTCGGGACACTCTCGAACAGTGCACGAGTGACCTCTGCCACCTGTTGGGCATCTTTAGGACCGATTCCTGGAGGAACTTCTCGGCTAGTTCTAACGGCTTCCATAGCCATATGCCACAATATGAGTGTCTTGTCTTTATTTTCTGTATCCTGGCATTCGCGACAATTTTCAGCTATCTTCCCACCTCGGGGAAGTGTTTTCGGCAAGGTGGTAATGGTATCATGCGCGATTAAGGCGGGCTTAAGGGTATGTCCACACCCGCTGTACTTCATCTCTTTTCGGCAAAAGGGACAACTTCGATTCGCATCAACCCAAGCTCTTAGACAATTGTGGCAAGCCAAGTGCCCACACGGAAGGATAGCCGGGGTATCATCGTTTGGAGTGTGCGCCATCGACCCTATTGAGAGAGTTACCGTTTGACAAATTTGACACAGGAGATCTTCAGGTCGATCAACTAGGAAGGTAACCATAGGATCCGGGAAATATGATTCCCCCTCGGCGAACGAGATACGTCCCTTATTAGCTACTTCCTCTGGTATTTGTATCCCCAGAAAGCTCTTAACTAAAGATCTAATCGAGCTACCGCGAAACCAGTATCCCCCATGCGACGATGGAGGAGCTCCTTCATGATGTCGAGGTATTTCGGTATCATGTTCTCGTCTCCCCCCGAGGCCCTCATCCGGATTGGTTCGTTGTCGGGATGGTTGGGTCCTCTCACGATGTTCATTGTCTCCTGTCTGTACTCCTCGAGTCCGGGCTCGAGTTCTATCATCTGATGTTCTAGGGTTAGTCTGACTACCAGCCCATATAGAAGATCTATAGTTAGCGCCGGTTTCGGCATTACGAGTGTTCTCGTGACGGGGTGTTTCGCTCATTCTGATTGGAATCTTGCCAAGAATACTACCCCTTTTATTGGTGATAACTTTGACGTTCATTGTGAAATTCAGCGTTAGGCAATCGGCGCGCCGCGGTACTTTTATCGACAGTGATTTTAGAATAATTTCTGTATCTTCTTCGTTGTTAATCGTAATCAGCACACTTGTTGGAGTACAGAGCAGTGGAATGTCTCTTGTTGCGCTGTTATCTTATTGAATTTGGCGTCTAAAAGCACTATGTAATTAACAATCCCTTTATAGTATTATAAAACAAGGAGAACAAGGAGCTCAGTCGCCACTTTACAAAACAAAGTTACGGCAACTTGGTTTCTTAACAACAAGATAATGAACCAAAATAGGCTGGCTTTTATATGATCTCGGCCTTGTTTCTTTACCGCATTTAGCCTTGTGGTGCGGAAGAAACCATACCTAGTAAGAAGTTCAACATCGTACGCTTACTATAATGTAAGCAAGAAAAGAGGCAGATAAATGAGAAGTAGTTCAACCCTAGATAAAGTATTCCCTTGATGAGTCCCATTCGGACGAACACAAAGACTATTGTTTAACACGACTCTCTTAAGTTACACTAAGCTACCTTTATGAAAGGATGAGAATTTACCCCTAGCCAGGACATAGAATGAGAAAATCCACAATGTCACGACAATCAGGGTCAAGGGTACCGTGACGACCCAGTAGAGGCTTTGCGAGGGCTCTGATGCTGCAATAGCAGGGGTAGTGAAATATGTCTTTCCAGATACGACATTATTAGTTATATCCCTCACATTCCGAATGTATTGTTGCGCTCACTTACAGCGGTAAACGTCGCCGGGAGAAAGATCATTGTTAGAATCGCAATAGACTTCATAGCTAAGCTATCTCGCCTAGTATCGTGAGCTATGCTTGTGCTAGACTCGGCTAACCTGCAATTCGTCTCATTATTACGCTGAGCCAATAAATTGGCGATCTAATTGTAGAGGTATGTATATTAGTATTAACATCTAAAAGCTAAAACACGCGAAGAAGATGTACTGGTGGCAGATAAGGGACTTACAGCAGTTGCCTGCACAGTTGTTCGCTGCTTTAAATGATGATAATAATGATGATAATAACGTTTACGTCTATTGGTCTGCTATATCTACTTGCGTAATTACAACGGCGCATCTCTGGCGCTTTAAACGTCTAGAATACTCCTTTGAAGGGAATAGAGCTAAAGTATTGCCTAATATAAGAAAAACGATAAAAAAGAGTATAATGGTTTTATAAAATATTGTGGCTGTTTGCAGCCGGTAGCTAATAGGGTTTAATTTCGTTTATTCCTAGTAATAAAGCCTATTTTGGGCCTTATTTTGTAGTAGGTTTAATTATTGTTATCTTTAGCGTAAAGGTTGGCTTTTTGGAGAAACCATTCGAAATCCCGGTGTTTTATAGGTTCGAGCGCGTGTTTTAAAAATCTTTTTGGTGGCTTTAGCCTAGGCAATTTTCCTTATACCATTTTATATTTTATAAAGTATTTTTTACTTATATTTTTACCGCATTGGCATAGCCTATTGCGTTTGGGGTATCTAAACCTCGCGTAATAGACTGCAAAATCTCTATGGCCACTTCGTTTGGCAATAAACCTATAAAGTATAAGGCGTGTTAATTCTAGCTTTTTAAGTAGCATACGCGTTATGTATAGCCCGAGTTTTTTGTATTTTTTTAGGCTTTTTTTAATTTACCAATTCTTGTATAAATATTAGCATTTTCTTTTATTTATTCTTTTCAGGTATATAAAAGTGAGAAGTTCGTTCGGTATATGGTCTTCCAGTCCCGGTTTGGCTCTGCGTTTCGTTTTTTTATCCGCTGTTTCGTTCCCTAGTATTCCTATGTGCCCGGGATGCTTTAGATGATCAATGCGAATAAGAGCGATATCGAGTGTTCGACTAATAAAATCGAGTTGTTTGACAAGAAGACCATTTTGCTCTTTTATACGGTCGTGGTTTATGGAGGGAGATTGTTGCCATGGGAATGTCAACATTTCATTCTTGATCAGATCTACAGTCAATAGTTGACCTCTGATATATGCTTCAACGGCAAGCGCATGTTGGGCCACTCCGAGGACCGCAACTGAGAGATTCGGATCTTCACAATTACCTCGTGACATTGGCATCCCGTTCTCTCCGATCATCGTGATACCAGTCTGACCACTTCCAAATTCTGCTTGGTGCAACCGGTCGAAGTTACGGTCTACGGCGGAACAAAACGCTTCGGTAAGGTGTTGACTGACCAGGGTAGGAATGAGGAAAGGGTTATCAGCTAAAGAAGCCAATTGCTCTAAGTCTTGCTCGAGCCAGGTGAATCCATCCTGCGAACCGCTTCTCATCATCACGGCATTCGTAACACCCGTGGAAGGACAGTATGACATCGAAACGCCAACTTTAATACCAACCAGCAAGCTAGTAAATGCGTTCAAGATCAAGCCTATATATGCAGATCAATTAGCTATAGTCTCAAGTAGTTGCTATAACTAGTCCTACCGTATATTGGATTGCCTTCTTCAGACGGAAGCTGTACCAGTTGAAAATGACCTACTAAAGGGGAAGCCCCTCGAGACGGTAACAAAGACGTTATATCTGGCAATCCAAGTTTCTTGCGTACAAGCTGACAATGTTCTTTCGAGAAAGGCAGAGCAGTCATCGATTCACTAGTTATGTCTCCAGTGGTAGATTCGTTACCAGACATCAAATATTCGTACTTCGCTCCCTTCCCAACATACCCAAGACTAGGTGCAGAGGATTAGATAAGTCTAGACTCTCAACTCATTGTGGTGGACGCATAGGGCTCACATGATGCGTAATTTGGGCCTCTGGTGACTATGATTATCCGTAGTAGTTATTTGATCCTGTATATTCCGTATTAATATCATTAATTCAGGTCAAGGTCAATTAGAGCATTATAATCACCAACCAAGCCTCAAAATCCTCCGGGTTGATAATAAAGGAGTGAATAGTGGGTCTCTCAGCCTAGACACTGGTTAGTATAAACATAGTCTGGATAGAGAGTCATCTTGAGGACAGCTTACTTCGAAGTTTTCTACTTCGATAACCTTTACACTAACAGGCTTGAAATCACGGTGTGATGCTAAATGTCTCTCCTGGAATTCTTGGAAAATACCCGACTTGAGTCTTGCCATGATTAGGGGGTGGTTACTGATACTTAGCTACCTGTTATTGAAACACTTGATGAACGATCATGAAAGAATAAGTACTACAGGTGCTAAAGATTGGTTCACAGAGACTAGGTAGGTAGGTTAGAAATTAGTCGAGCTTCCAGTCTACTTGGTGCGGCTGAGTCTAAACGAATGTGCCGGAATATGCGCTCTGCCCTTGTTGAGAACGCCACCAAGGAGTCACCTGCAGCTCAGCTCTGGCAAGTCCAATCCGGAACGAAAACATACGTATTAAACGGAAATTATATTCATATACTGAATACATTAATATACCGGTATTGATACATAGTAGAGAGGCGACTTAACTCGGCCAACTTTTGCAGATATACCCAATTCCCTTACGCCTTAACCCCTGAGACTTATTATGCACATTTCCAACTTCGGGCTTCGTTGACATCGCCCACGCCATTATACTTGGCAGTCTTCGGGTAGGGACAAATAGGACGCTGTTTCCATACCCCAGAACTTGGGTCAGTCGAATTGTGCCATGCCGTTGCAATTATCTGGTCCACCGCTTTTCCACCCTCAACCCATTCCATGAGCGCAAGCAATGCATCGTGTTTGGAGTCTTGGAACCCGGGGACAGAATATGCACCCGAACCAGTTTGCCAGTTTTGACCGGCGCCATTGATGTGCCACGGTGCATCAACCCCGGGCGGACTGCCTGAACAATGCAGCATGCCCGGAACGAAGAAAAGACGGAACCAGTCGGTAATCGGGTAGGTCTCTCCAGTTGCTAGTTCGACCTGCTTGTAAAAGTGCGACGAGCCACGCGTAACAATCAAGGGGTCAGATAATCCGTGGTACATCAGGATTTTTCCGCCGTGTTCTCGGTAAGGAGACATATCGAACTGATCCGCATCAATTTCGTGCGATATTTCCAGGTTCTTTAACCGCTCGTAAACGCTCGAGTTGTACTCGTCAAGAGGCCAATTTAGATCTTCAAACACGACGTATCTGATGTAGTCGATACCCCAGGAAGTTGGTGTATCGGCAAATAAGTATTGCGGCCACCCTGGTTCGGAAGAAAGCTCAAGACCCGGGTGCACGAACTCTGACCCGATGTAGTAGTCCTCGTAGATTTTCGCTAAAGTCTCCAGCTGCAAGGACGTGAGGCACGCAGATGAGTTCGTACCGGTGCTGTCGCAGGATAATACTTCGAAGTCCGGATAACAGTTTTCGGGGTCGCTGACGATACCATCCCTGACACCGTCGATTTCGTCGCATTGATCAACTACAGTTTGAGCTATTAGGGTTGGGAATAACTCATTGGGGATGCTCTTCGGGTCGTCCACGGGGTAGTAATCATTACTGATCTTAGTATTTCAAGCCACCTGATGGCTTATCCACCAAGCTGGCGCCCCGATGAGCATGCCATCAAAGCTATCGGCACCGACCTGGGCTTCCTTGAGACCCTGTCGGCCACCGGTAGAACAGCCAGTGTAATAGGAGTACTGGATATTCTTGCCGTAGTAGCCTTTAATCAGTCGTTTCGAAAGCTCAACAGACCCGTGTATAGCCCGCTAGCCCCAATCAATCAGCTTTTGCGGGCTCTTGTAGGCCCATTTAACGTCATAAGGAGAGCCCCTATGGCCATTATCCGTAGACATCGTAGCAAATCCATATTGCGATCCAACGCCCATATCAAGGTAATTGACGTATCCGCCGGTACCGCCCCCGCCAGTCGCGAGGAATCTCGAATTCCATTTAGACGGTAGGAAAATAGAGATTGTGTAGGATGATGATTCGGACGAAGTCACGTTAACCTCGACGGCGCAGAGGTCCGGAAGGCCTGTCGAGACCAAAGATGGGAGACCCTGAGGTGAATGGGGATCACCATAACTACCATTTAGTTGAACATGAGTAACCGATAGTATTGTCGCATTATTAGATAGTGAGCTGCCAATCGAGGATAGCTGGTGGGCTATGTTGTCGAGAGAACATTTTGGGCTAGTACCTGGATAAGCATGGCTTGCTTGAGGTGTTAAGGCGAGCATAGAGCCCAGTATTTGACTCCTATGAAAATGCATCGTCGCCAATGTTACAAATAGGTATCGACAGATGGAAATTTACATTCATATTGATTATCGGGTAGATCGTATTGGATAGGTATATATATATATATATATACACTCACGTAAACACAACACTGCTTCTGCCTAACCCCTATTGTGAATACCAATGCTCAGCGCAGGGTGAACAGCTGAGGTGAGATACTAGCTACTGGCAACATTAATGACTTAGAACATTAAGTTTAACCGTGTCCGACTTATGATTCTCTAAATGCCATGCTTTTCTGACATGCACTCAGCCGGCGGGCTGACGTTAAGCCGGAAGCACTGCGGCGGAGTCCGTACACCAAGCTTGAATGCTGCGCTGCTGGCATCAGCAAACCCTGATCAGATCTAACTATTTAATCTAATTTGCGAGAACTTACGAAATGCTGTATGGATGGGCGTATAGAAACTTACTAGTACATTAATCTGAATAGATTTACTGCCCTACTTTTAGAGTTACGGTCCAAACCTGCAGAGTTGTTCTCAAAGGGTCATCGAGGTTCCTATCAAGGACACAATAGAACTTAAGAAACATGTTGACGAAATGCGACAGAGCTAGACAAATAATATGACAAATCGAAACCCATACATCCGGCGAGCCAGAGTACCAAGTATATTACTTATTAGACGGGTTATGAAGCTAAGATGAAGCTATTCGAAGGCAGCTTGATAGATCATAGAATATAGAATATGTACAGTACGAAGATACATTCCCCGCACCCCACAATTCAATTTGAGGCTGGTAGCTTGCTTGGTTCAAGGTTCCATCCATTGGCATCACAATTTTTTATTTCCTTCAGCCTTGTTTTGTTAGACAGCTGGAACCACCACAAGCACGCGACAATTCGATTGAACACGATAGTCTAACAATTCCTATCACACGAACCAACTTCCAGACGAAATCTCAAAGACGACCCATTTAAGGTACATATTGAAACGGTAAAACTTCTCGCAGACCCTCGCCCAACATGAGGCTCACGGTCGAGCTCCTTCAGAACTCCCCCTCCTGGCTTAACGCGTTGAAAGAGCGTGAGCTCGAGCTTCGAGGTACGTCGGAAAAGAACAGATACTACACTTTTTTGATCTAGAAGAGCAGAATTGATAGCGATGCCCTTGCCGGCTGTGAACAGGACATCGTATCCCCGCCATCGAGAACTTGGGCGTTGCAGGTGTAAGCGAGCTTTCCTTTTGTTTACTTTCCCTTATACAAAGGCACAATTACTGATGCGTAGGCGATACTTAGCCGCAAGATTGCATAGACTTCGTCGACAATGATATCCAGGTGCTGGGGAACTTCCCCCTATCCCCGCGCATACGCTCCCTTCTCCTACAGCGAAACCGCATCGCATCTATACAACCTACCCTCGCGAACTCGATCCCGAACCTCACAACTCTACAATTAGAGTCGAACAACCTGAGCGAGCTGGCAGATCTGGACCCGCTTGGATCTTTCCCGAGGTTGACACACCTGGTTCTACGAGATAACCCCGTCACGAAGAAGGAGGTAGGCTGAATAATACCCAAGTAAATAATGACTAGGAACATAGGCTAATACGCTCTGCCGAACCACAGTACTACCGTTACTGGATCCTATGGCGCTGCCCGACAGTCCGATTCCTCGACTTCGAGAAGGTGAAAGACGCAGAGCGAAAACAAGCCGCGACCCTATTCGGCACCGCGGAGGAGCCCACAGACTTAGCCTCCAAGATCATGGGCGTCAAGTCTAAGACGTTCGACTCGGTGCTTTCCGCTAACGGTGCTCCCTCCGGGGCCCTACCGACGCGCATGTCGCGCATCAAGCTTACGGAGAAGGAGAAGACGCGCTTGCAGGACATGATCAAGAAGGCTACGAGCCTGGATGAGATTACGAGGCTCGAGGCTATGCTGCGAGAGGGCAGGATTCCGGCTGGTGTACATTTGAACGACGAGATGGAGGAGTGAGATACTTACCTATATTTGAGGGTGGAAGTTAGGTCGAGGTGGTAATTTGGCGTATAGTTCATGGTCACAAAATGAAAATTCGGGTATACCCATGGAATAGGCAATAATGCAATTCTTTCGCCAGCAGACGCAAGCAAGTAAATCGATTCATGATGACTGATCTGCTACGGACTAACCACCCGGGAACAATCCACACAATGTGCTCTATCCTGCCACAATTAAATCCAGCCTTGCGTAGTGGAATTAGAACATTCTGTCAGACTTATATTTAGCCACTTATATCAATATCGAAACCCAGACATTATAGCCCCTATCCACTCATTTGGACATCCTCATCCTCTTCCCGATTCGCCTGCCGCATCTCATGATGCAGTTGATCCGCCGGGTCCATCTCCGCACCGTCGTCATCGCTCATGATCCGAGCACCACTAGCGCCCACGAAGCTGCCTCCATTTAAGCTCGAACGACTGGTGCTAGGCCTGTGCTTCTTTGCCGAAACCCCTCCATTCGTCGCCGGCACCTCGCGCTGCTTGTCGCCCGCCCGTTGGATGCCGGGTGCGCCGCTGCTGAGCTGGTTGCGCGTGGCGGCTGCTTGCGCTTTGATCTGCTTGTATGGGGCTGTCTTGGGGATCACGTCCTCGAGGAACTCGAGGTTGTCTTGGTGCGAGACGGCAGCTGCAAGGTCCTTGTACTGGATGTTGCGGCGGGGTTTGCCGAGTTTGGCCATGGTGAAGCTTTCGCCGGCGAGATATTGGATGAACATCTCCTGAGTGAGGGGTTAGTAGGGGGTTGAAGGGGATGAAGAGGTTAGACTTACAGTCGCAAGTGTGATGACGAATGCGGCATTGTTGGAACATATGCTAATGTCCTGGTCCTGAGCTACAATCTTCTTCACTCGTGACACTGTGACGTTGGGTGGTTAGGACATGGTATATGAAGAATGAAATACAAAGGTGAGCTCACAGGGCAGCTGAGTTTGGCCCGTGACCTCCTTGCGAGGCGGAATTGCCGTTGTGTTATACGGCATTGCGACAAGATCTCTCAAGGTGGTAGAAGCACGAATAGGCCAAGCTCCGAGAAGGATGTTTAGAATAAGTCGCAGTTCAGGGTCCTAAAAATGGAACGGTCCAACTCAATTTGAAGGTATAGGAACTATGAGTTGTGTTAGTAATAAAGGAATGCTGTGGTTTTATATTTGAAGTCCCGTCTTATAAAAGCTGAACTTACCTGTAATTGGAAGATGTTCAAATAGTGATTATTCCTGTCAACCGATATTCTTTGATGCCCAGATTTAATTTAATAATGGTTGTAGCTTGTCGGGCTTCTTTATATAAGATACGATTAAAATGCTTGTCTTCAGAAGCATTTCATTACATGTACGTAAACGCGTGAAAAGCTGCGGAGACGCGATTCCATTAAACTTGAAAAACTGTATAGATACTGTGCAGAAACTATGACTAGGACAAGAAGGTACTAACTTTAGTGGTTGCTTCCCTTATATGACATGTGAATGGGGCACTTCATACTGTGCAGGTTCAATGTTACACTTGGTACCCCCATAGCCAAGGCTGGGAAAGCTTGAACGACCACTAAAGCACAGGACCCTTGCTTTCCAATATCAACCTCAGGCCAATTACGTATAAGCAATCAGCTCTAACTGTTACTTGTACATATTCCAACTCAAGATCAGCATTCAGCATTCAGCCTTGGCCGCATAGGTAATCCAATCTTTACCTATACCTATTACCTATCCAAACTGCGCATGTCGCAATCGAATTATCTAGTATATAGTAACCCCGCAAATGAATAGCTGAGAATGGTCGCGGCCCTTCATGTCTTCCCGTACCACCTCCTTCTCCGCATCGCGCTCCCAGTTATCCCGCCGACCGTCTGTTAGTTCTAGGTTATCCTTTGCGGTATCGACCGTCGAGCAAGGAGAGGGGCTGGGAAGCAATGCGCCAGTGGAGCATCAGATCGACGAAGAAATAGCGGAGATCAAGAGATATGAGGTGCGCTCTCCGGCGCTGTTCTGCGATGCTAGTCGCGCCTTTCGCTAATGTAATGCCTAGGACTTTACTACCATAGGTATGCGCGCCAACGAGACCCGATCCAATTTCGTAGTGAGGAGATATTAAGACAAAAACATAGACTGGGTACAGGATGCAGCCCAAGAAAGATTACGCCGCAAAGCGCGCCGCAGAAAGAATCCCGGCAATGGCAGAGTGTCATGGAGGTATAAATTATGGGAGTCCTATGACGCTGCCCAGGGCTGGATCGTCGTGACCCTAATAGGCGCTGCTATTGGGCTCAACGCCGCCCTTTTGAATATAATAACCGAATGGCTAGCCGATATCAAAATGGGTTACTGCACGACGGCCTTCTATCTCAACGAGAATTTCTGCTGTTGGGGTGAGGACAACGGATGTGATCACTGGCATCGCTGGACAGGATTCGAACCTGTTAATTATCTTATATATATCATGTTTGGAGTAAGCACTCTTCCTCTTTACTACTTCATATCCTTAAAACTAAACCATTTAGACTGCCTTTGCCTTCACCTCGGCTACCCTTGTCAAGTCATTCGCACCTTATGCTGCGGGCTCAGGTATTTCCGAGATCAAATGCATTATTGCTGGGTTTGTTATGAAGGGATTCCTAGGTCTCCGGACTTTAGTCATCAAATCTGTAGCTCTACCTTTGGCCATCTCTTCTGGCCTTTCAGTCGGCAAAGAAGGCCCTAGCGTGCACTATGCAGTATGCACAGGCAATGTCATTTCGAGGATGTTTGATAAGTATAAGCGGAACGCATCCAAGACACGGGAGATACTTAGTGCTTGTGCAGCTGCAGGAGTCGGAGTCGCGTTCGGCAGCCCTATCGGCGGTGTTTTATTCTCTCTGGAGGAGATGTCCAACTATTTCCCCCTTAAGACTATGTGGAGGAGTTACTTCTGTGCGCTCGTCGCAACAGCAGCCTTGGCGGCGATGAACCCCTTTAGGACTGGCCAGCTTGTCATGTTCCAAGTCAAATATGACCGGTCGTGGCATTTCTTCGAAACGGTACCTTATATCTTCATTGGAATATTTGGAGGCCTCTACGGCGCGTTCGTGATTAAGTGGAATTTACGCGCTCAGGCGTTCCGAAAGAAGTATCTTTCAAAGTGGGCAGTTCTTGAGGCTACGCTGCTAGCCGCGGGAACAGCTATCATATGCTATCCTAACGCGTTTCTCCGGATTGACATGACGGAGAGCATGGAAATTCTATTCCTGGAGTGCGAAGGCACCGAGGACTACCATGGACTTTGTGAGCATGATAAGCGATGGGCCAATATCTTATCACTAGCCATTGCAACGGCAGTTCGAATATTCCTAATCATTATCTCGTATGGTTGCAAAGTGCCCGCCGGTATCTTTGTGCCGTCTATGGCGGTAGGGGCAACCTTCGGCCGGACTGTTGGGATTATCATGCAGGCTATCCACGATGCTCACCCGGATAGCGCCTTCTTTGCTGCTTGTCAGCCGGACGAGCCTTGCATTACTCCCGGGACTTATGCTTTTCTAGGGGCCGCCGCTGCACTCAGTGGCATAATGCATATCACTGTGTCGGTTGTGGTTATTATGTTCGAACTCACTGGGGCCTTAACATACATCTTACCTACCATGATTGTTGTCGGTGTTACGAAAATGGTATCTGACCTATTCGGCAAAGGCGGGATTGCTGACCGGATGATTTGGTTTAGCGGCTTCCCCTTCTTGGATAACAAGGAAGAACACAACTTTGGTGTTCCAGTATCGGCAGCAATGACCAACGATGTGATAGCCATACCTGTCCATGGCATGACGCTAAAAGCCGTCGAAGATCTCCTAAAGCAACCGAAATATCAGGGTTTCCCTGTCGTTGAGGATCTGACAAGGAAGATTCTTGTCGGATACATTGGCCGTACGGAGCTACGTTATGCGGTTGATCGTCTACGTCGCGAGCGAGCGATTCCGATCAGCCCCGAGGCCAAATGCACCTTCTCGCCTCCAGCGATTAGTACGGTCACGCCCATCACTCCCACCGTAACCATCAGCAGCATGGATTATAGTGCGTCATCGGCATCTCTCGACTTTAGTCGGTACGTAGATGCGACGCCAGTTACGGTACACCCGCGGCTACCGCTGGAGACGGTGATGGAACTATTCCGCAAGATCGGACCACGCGTAATCTTAATAGAGCACCACGGGCGTCTGTCGGGCCTAGTCACAGCAAAGGACTGCTTGAGATACCAGTTCAAGGCGGAGGCGGCTGAGAACCCCCGCGACGATCATGAGATCCTGGAGGTCTACGAGAAGCTCTGGGGTTTTATGAATAGAGTTGGCGGATGGGTCTCGGTAAAAGTCGCGAGCGCAACTGGTGGCCGTATACGGCTCGGGAGCGCGGCGAATGTGAGAGCAGGCGGGCAGATCATGGATGGCGATGAGGATGTGGGTGCAGACGATGGGGTTGAATTAGAGAATAGATAGATTTAATAACTCGAAATATACACGAACTAATTACTTGTTTACCGATCCGATATGATATTCCATATATGAAAGTGCTTGAAGGATAGATTCAGTATAGATAGACTAAATCCCGTGATCTACAACGAGACAAGTTCTGATGTCAATTAGCTGGTGACGAATAGTGGGGCTAATTCTTGTTTTCCGCTGCAGGAACACGATTAAATGCCGAACTTGAAATGCACGAATATGTCCGAGACATATGGATATCCGCATATGCACGTAGGTTACCGAGTTTTAATATGACCCACGACACGGCTCATCTTCTCGAATAGTGTTGACATATTATTGAAATTCAAATTCAAATAGCCAAGCATTAAAAAAGCCACGCGTCCGGAATAAACTCGGTAATAAGAAATACCTGAATTGGATGCTTCCGGCAGCGCTTATCAGATCCCATAAGCTGAGACATTCTCGGCACGGCATCAGAACCCGTGGTCCATTCCATTGGTCCCAGTTCCAGTAGTCGGGCGCACTTATTCCTGCGTTGCTATCTTTGTATGTACCTAACTACCTAGGTACATACCTACCTACGTAACACACCTCATACGCAGCCCCGTACCGACGTATCCGGAGCCTTACCTAAGTAACCTAATCCACAATGTCCCGACCCGGGAAACCCCAGTCTGCGACTGCGACTGCGACTGCAACTGCGACTACTAATTCTTCCTCGATTACTTCCGCCTCCGTTCGAGCGAGGAAACCTGCCGTAGCTGCTGCCGAGAAGAGACGGACGAATATACATTATAACGGCGACGGTCCGGCATCTTCGGAAGACGACAGCGACGAGGGCTATACTGCCGGAGATTCTGCCGCTATGGCTTCCTGGACGGTTAGGAATCGGTGGATTGTATTTGCTGTTGCTAGTGGTGCTTGCGCTGCTTTTAACGGCGTGTTTGCGAAATTGTGAGTTCATCTTACATCCTCTAGTTATGGTCTCTTCTATATACTTTTCATCCCACCTCAGTCGTTCGTTCCAAAATGGCAACCTTTAGGGTTATATAAATTTTAAAATTCAATCCCTTGGAAGAAAACAAGCAACATATTATGAAGCTAAGGTATAGCCTAATGCTAATCTAAGATTATCCCACGAACAGGACTACAAATGAACTTTCCACTCATATAGCCCGGGGAATCTCGGGACTCTTTGGGTTGACGGACCTGGAACGAGTTGTCGAGGTTGTTGTGCGAGCTGTGAGTCTCTTTCAACTTATACTCGAGATAAGTATACCAGTTACTAACACCATCTTTATATAGAGTTTCTTTGGTCTTAATTTAATCTTCAACGGAGTGGTATGTTTAGTTCACATCTCACTGATTAAACCATATCAGGAGTCATCAAATCTAACATGAAACTCCCAGATGTGGACCCTATTTACACAAGCCCTCGCGAAGGGCAACTCAACAACACAAGTATCTATCATGAACACGTCCGCCAACTTCGTCATCACGGCTCTACTAGGATTAGCTATCTTCTCTGAGTCGTTACCGCCACTGTGGTGGGCCGGCGCCGCATTACTTGTCGCTGGGAACGTCATCATCGGCCGGGGCAAGCAAGAGGAAGGCAGCGAGGCGACGACTCCCTTAGACGAGGGCGAATATCATGATGAAGAAAACATTAATGATGATCACGACGCCGAATCAGCAGCCGAGTTGGGCCGCGGGACCGGCGTAGCCCCGCAGGTCGAGGGTATCTTACCCGTAGAGAAGGATGATGAGGATGAGGATGTCGCCCTCTTGGGAGATTTAAGTTGAATCGACGTACGCTTAGAATAAGCGACAGATTTATTGGAACAGATATTGAGAGTATATATTTGTTCTACTTACGTCTCTCCTTAACGAGCTCGGAGAGACTGGTACCCGGGACCATATATATCGAATATCTACCTAGATGGATAGAAATAGATTTGAAGTTCATCTTAAATCCTCTTATTCCTTGCTGGTAGTCTGAAGTTGAGCCATATGTTACGATGCCATCAATTATAATCATAGTTTGTTCAAAAATATCCAGCAAGTAACACATATTGGGGCGAGTTGGGTGGATAGGCTTAATATTCTATATTAAACGCATGCCAATACCTAATCCGAATTGCAATGCAAGTTGCACAATTTAGTATGCCTTTTTCCGTAAAACGCCATGAAACCCGCCATATACGCGTTACGCCGTCGTATGCAAATAAACCTGTGGCCATCTTAAAAAGGCATAATTCTACAAAAACTCCACGCCCTGCTGCTGTATCAGTCCTCTACCAGACTTGTCATTTTTCGAGACCGATCGTCAATGAATATTCGTTCGAAGGTTGCTAACTTCGGGGTTTCTATCGCAAAGGGCGGAAAATGGCGGCAATCCTTGGCTCGGTCGGTTGTAACGTATGAAAAAAGAGATCGCAAGCTCCAAAACAATGCGTGGAGGTATGCACCAAGTACCACCTTCCGTCACGAAAATTAAGAGAACTATTCAGAGACGCATGGACTGCCGTCTATGCAGTATTACCGGTCGGCTTCGCAGTGCAGGCCACGATTTTGACTTTGTCTGCTGAGACCACCTGTCCACCATTCTCCATCTTGAACGTAACGTTCTTGAGCTGGAAAGTCCAGACTTCGTCGCAAAATCGGTAGGTATCCAGGCTCCCCTATACGGCCGCGCAAAGTAGGATGATTAACGCCCAACTCCATCATGTGCTATAGCACCGGGATACTAATATTTACCTTGAAGCTCAGGCGAGCCTTGACCTTCTCCTGTAGCACTTCCGTGATAGCGCGGTCGAAGTTCGCGAGGATCTTCATAGCGAGCTGGGGATCTATCCGGTGCTCTGTAATGAGATCGTCGAGGGTATCTGTCAACGCGGCCCCGACGCTGCGATATAGATTGTCAACGGAGGCCTAAACGGTGTGGGTTGAAGATGACGCTATACCTGCTCCGTCGGTACAATTCATAGAAGTTCTGCCCTGTAGTAGCCATCTTGATGGTAATTGCCGGTAGATGGAATGTATGTAGTATGATGTCGTAGTATTATCGAGACGGTAGGCCGGCGCGACAGCTTGAGCGATCAAATCGGGAGATGGGTCGTGGATGGCGGTTGTTGTTGAAAGCAGTAGGTTTGCGACAAATGGAATGGCAATTGAGATTAGTCAAGGATGTCCTATGTCCTATGTCCTAGCGTTAGCGGGGAGAGATTGGCCGGGGTACCAATTATGGCTGTGTACTAGTGATCTAGGTACCTCTATGTAACGGATCGCAGTAGACTTCGTGGCGGTGCAATGTACATAATATGTCAAACATTAGGTAATCTCCAATTACATATGTGAACTCCTACTACATTAGCGTTAGTATATAAAACTTTAAAACCGTATTAATACCGTATATTCACGGTATAATTATTTAAATAATTACGTATTTTAATACGAAAAGAAAACGGTAATTAAATTTATTAACGGTATTATTTTATAACGGTATTTTTAAAGTTAAACGTTTTTTTAAATTAATAGTTTTTTTATTATAAATAGTTTTTTTTAACCAACGGTTTTTTTTTTAACCAACGGTTTTTTTACGGTTTTAATACGGTTTAAAAAAATATATTTAATAAATAAAAAAAAATTATATATTACATATTTAAATAAATAAATAAATATTATTATATATATTTATTTATTTTAAATTAAAAAGTTATAAATAATTAAAATAAATATTATTTTACATTTAAACATATTATAATTACGGTTATAATTACGGTTACGGTTATAAAATTATTATTTAAATACATTATTACATATAAACGTATATAACTTATAATTATTTAAATATATAAAATAATAATCGCGATTTTTTTATTTAAATATTACACTTTTTTAAACCGTATTAAAACCGTTAATTTAAAAAAACTATTTGTAAAAATATAAACCATTTAAATAACCAACCAAAAATATACCAATTATATATATAACAAAAGTTATAATAAAACGTTTATACATTTAAATAATATTAAAGCCTTAAACGGTAAATTTACGGTTTAATCCTTACTACTGTAAAAGTACGGTACTTAGGCCTCATATCCTGACGCTAATGTAGAGATTCCCTCACAATCTTACAGCAGCTGCAGATTCATATCCCTGTCTGTTACATATGTACGTACTTGCAGCCTGCAAGTTGCAGGAACGTTTCCGGGCAGGTCCACACAACCACTTAACGCGTGATAGCGCAACCCGCTCGCGTCGTCTCTCAGCGCCTTCGACGCGCTAGTTACTAACACCGGGATTAAGTAAATTGGTAATTGTAATTCTGTGAAATCATCATTCCTCCTCTGGTGCCTGTTTAGTTTTGCTTTTTGTAATGCCCACCTAGTCTCCAATCTACTCCAATTCACTCATTCGGAATCTATTAGCTTATAATCGTCACTTATAACCCTCCACCTAATTATATTATATCTCTTTCCTTATTATTTCCTTTGGAATGGCGTCTACTTCGTCTTCAGACGTCGATTCTATCCGCTCTTCCTCTCGCCTACCCACTAGTGTTCCTTCGTCACCACCCCCCGCCGATGACCCAGATAGTCTCAAAATGGGTCTCACTTCAACTTTCACTCAGCAGCAAATGCTCACCGAGGAGAAGAAGGCCAGAGCCGAGAATACCAGAGCAGAGGCAAAACGACTTGCTTCTCGGAGGAAGCGCAAAGTTCAGCTATCTCCCCAGGAGAGGGCTCGCAAGGCTAAGGAACTCGACGAGCTCCTCCGAAAAAGCAAAGTTTTTAGCGACATATTAACGCAGAAGACGAAAGCTCTCGGTCGTGTCGGCCGCGACTTCGGCAACCAGGCATTGGCCGATGCTGGTTTACAATTAAAGCAGCAGCCTAAAATCATGAGTGGCGGAACTATGCGCGACTATCAGCTCGAAGGTCTTACGTGGATGTACGAGATATGTTTGCAAGGTCTCAGTGGGATATTAGCAGATGAGATGGGCTTAGGTTAGTATCTGTCTATAGTGACCTCAAGCTCGCCTCATCTGACCGAATATTAGGAAAAACGATTCAAGTTATTTCTCTCGTCGCATTATTAAGAGAACAGGAGAACTATTTCGGCCCGCATCTAATCATCGCCCCATTAAGTACGTTATCAAACTGGCAGGACGAGTTTCGCAAGTGGACTCCTACAATACCATTCGTATTATATCATGGTACCCCCCAAGAACGGCAGCAGATATTTCATGATAAGATCATGAAAAATTATCAGAAGGGCCGTCCAACCCAGCGATTTCCTGTGGTTTGTACCAGTTACGAAATGGTCCTTAGAGACCGCGCAAGCCTCTCTAAGATTGACTGGGCCTTCATCGTCGTTGTGGGTATATCTGTTTTTGATTAAGTTTCTGGACATTAACATATCATAGGACGAAGGACATCGCATGAAAAATTCCGACGCTAAGCTTTTCAGAGAGCTACAACAATTCAAGTCAGCTACTCGGCTTCTCATCACTGGCACACCTTTGCAGAATAATCTGAAAGAACTGTGGTCACTCCTTCACTTCTTAATGCCAGAAACATTCCTCGATTGGGAAGCATTCGAAGTATGGTTTGATTTTAGTGATCTGCAAGATGAAGAGGGTACTACGCAGTTCATTGAAGATAAGAAAAACCAAGACCTCGTTTCCAAAATACACAAAGTTCTACAACCTCTACTCCTTCGTCGAATTAAGGCAGATGTAGCCAACTACTTACCAAGGAAGCGAGAATACGTACTGTTTGCACCAATGACTAAAGAGCAGACGGATCTATATAATGTGATCGGCGATAAGAAGACCGACACAAGGGCCTATTTGGAGAATAAGGTGGTCGAACGGTTGACTGAGGCCCGTAACAGCTCGGTCAGTTCCGGAAGGTCGAGTCGTCAATCCTCCCGCGCGAACAGTTCTCGAGTAACCCAGGCGCCATCTCCGTCCGAAAGTAATGCGTTTGCCATGATGATGGGTAAGAAAGGAGGGGCGACATTGAAAGCAACGCCCAAGAATAGCTCACCTGCTCCTCAAGCTAAAGGGACTAGTAAGCGGAAAGTCGCGCCTACCAGCGAAGCATCATCACCAAAGAGTAGTAAATCGAGTCGACAATCTACTCCAGCCAGCAGCGTTCGAGGACGACCGCGCAGGGGTCGCCCCTCGTATAAGGCAGCAGATGACTCTGATGAAGACAAATTGGATGATGATGCATTCGAAGCAAAACTAGCAGCTGAACTTGCTGCTAGAGATGATGAATCTGATGAAGACATGCGGGATGAAGAAGAAATTGAGCGTGCAGCCACGCTCGACCTTGCTAGTAAGTTTAGAAGCCCAGGCTATACGACTAGTCTAACATAACATAGAGCTTCAAATCGCCGACAAGAAACTTGGCAACCCCTTAATGCAGTTAAGACTTGTGTGTAATAGTCCTCACAATTTCTACAGCCCATGGACATATGGCGATAATATCCCGGTCGACGAGAGCATCGTGACAGCTTCTGGAAAGATGCTTCTCCTGGACAGATTACTTCCGGAATTGTTTGAACGTGGACATAAGGTCCTCATCTTTTCGCAGTTCAAGACACAGTTGGACATACTTCATGATTATTGTGCTGAATTGCGTAAGTGGAATGTTTGTCGTATCGACGGAGGTGTCTCTCAAGAAGATAGAAGACAGCAGATTCAAGAGTTCAACGAGGACCCCGACTTTAAGATATTCTTATTGTCGACCAGAGCGGGTGGTCAGGGTATCAACCTTGCGAGCGCAGATACCGTGATACTATTCGATAGGTAAGTTCGCTTTTTTCGGTCTATACAGGGGGCAAGCTAATTAACGTAAATTACCCAGTGATTGGAACCCGCAGCAGGATTTACAGGCGCAGGATCGCTGTCACCGAATTGGCCAAACGCGTCCAGTCGTCATTTACCGACTTGCCACAAAGGGAACTGTCGAGGAAGAACTCCTCCTTAGCGCAGACGCGAAGCGCAGGCTAGAGAAGCTTGTTATCAAAAAGGGAGGATTTAAGACGATGGGCCAAAAGCTCGATAATGCCGAGACTTTAGATAAGGAGACACTTCTGGCCCTGTTGTTGAAGGACGGCGAAGTGTACCAGCATTCAGGTGGTGACCGAATTTTAAGTGACGAGGATATCGACACCCTTTGTGATAGGTACGTCTACCCTTGGCGCCTTATATATATAATTGAAATTACTTGTTTGCTAACCCCCTCTTTAGAAGTGATGAGGCCTTTGACCGCGCTGCTAGAGGCGCTGGCAATGCCGCCGGTTTCCAAGTCGTCGAAACTGCCGCGGATGGTATTACTCAAATGAAAGGAGAGTAGATGTATTCCATATTTGGATTTGAACTGTATCAACAAGCATCGGCGTTACCTATATCGGCCAGGCGGATCGGATCAGGTGGCTTGATGAACTTTATGCTCCCATGTACTACATTTAGCATACCCAAGCCATTTATTTATTTATTTGTTTGTAGGATTGCTAACATAATCATGTACGAATGTCGATATTTACATCATGTTGCATTCCTTCGCCGTCCAGCTTAAAATGTCGGAATTTATCTTTATGTTAAGTAATTAACAACAATAAAACCAGGAACCTTATCTACATAATTCAGTTCCATCTATATCCTAAAGACTTTTTAGTAAGGTCGCGGGTTCGCCTATAAGTTAGACTTCCTGGGTTGGATCGCACTTATCGGTCTTAACGAAATTACGCAATGCTAACCAGCAATGGCGCTCTAGTTATCCACCTCGTTTACTAGCGGGGCAAGTCAACTTCATATCTTACACTATAACGTGAGCGACGTCCCCAAGGGCACATGCTGCGAGACATTAGATATTACCTAAATAGTTGGTGAAGGCTCCCCTCGGTTACATTGTTAATGGGTCTAGCTGAACAATAACTTCGAAACGCAAATTTACCATCAATCCTAAGATTCTTGCTACTCTAGATCCTCGAATCATTTTTATCACAACAGACATTCGGTTGTCGCATAATAAAAAGGGGGTTAGACTATATGACTTCAGTATAGAGTTAATCATTTATCCTAAACATTATACCGACGAACAAAGCTATGATCAATTAAGCAATAGAGCACGCCACTTCAAAGTTCAAAGTCATTATCCTATAGCTTCAAAAAGTTCGGGCCTTACGGTATTAGCAACTATGTCTGCGGTCGAAGAAACAGGAGTAGGTAATGGAGCCCTCAGTAACGATATCCTTTTAGTCTTCTTCCCTTTTCCAGAGAGAAAGGAATGGATAGAACACATTACCAGTCGCTTCAAAGGTCTCCAAGTGCGATGGGCCAATGCGATAAACCCCGATCACTCCGTCGTAACAGCTACAGATGTCGCCGCGGAGATGTGGGATGGAGTGACCATACTCTCCACGTTTATGCCGCCTCCGGCCGAGCTGATACCAAACGTCCGCTTCGTCCAGGTTACCTCGGCCGGTGTGGATAGGTGGCCGAACCATCCCACGTATCAGGACGAGAAAGTCAAGTTCTCTACTTCGAACGGCATTCACGCGTAGGTTGACTCTTTTAGTTACTGCTACTCTATGGGATTCAAGCTGCATCACGAGAATATTTCACCTTATATAAGTATTTTAAGCTGACATATGACAAAGGCCGCAAATCGCGGAATGGGTCATCGGCGCCTGGCTTTCGCATCAACATAACTTCCTGCACTACGCTTCGAACATGAAGGCGGGAAACTGGGAATCGCCCTTTGCAGCACGTATTCAGGATTCAACGGGACAGCAAATGTAAGTTGATTGGGTTAACCCTATTGATGTTAAGTATACGAAATAATAACCCTAACCTTATTGTAAGAGGTATCTTAGGATATGGCGCAATCGGGAGACAATGTGCACGCTTGGCTAGTGTCTTGGGCATGGAGGTCTATGCTTATACGCGCGGTGAACGGTCTACCCTAGAGTCGCGCAAAGATGACAGTTACTGCGTGCCGGGTACTGGCGATCCTGATGGGATTTTACCGGCGAAGTGGTTCCACGGCACGAGAAAGGAAGACGTCAACGATTTCCTTGCCCAAGGTCTCGACCTACTAGTTGTTAGCTTACCGCTAACACCAGAGACGCGACATATCATATCTGACGAGCAGTTCGAGATTCTTAGTAAAAGAAAGACCTTCGTGGCGAACATCGCAAGAGGCGGCCACATCAACCAAGATGCGCTCGTCAAGGCGCTAGAGACAGGTCAGATTCGGGGGGCTGCGCTAGATGTGACAGATCCGGAGCCCCTACCCAGTGAGCATCCGCTGTGGCGGGCCCCAAACCTCCTCATCACTCCGCATGTAAGCTGGAAGACCGACAACCTCTGGAATAGATTGCTAGATATCCTGGAACTTAACCTTGAAAAGTTAGCTACTGGAAAGCCGCTTATCAACGTAGTGAACCGCAAGCTTCACTACTAATAGGAGGTGGGGGAACCTGTAGAAGGATGGTAAGCACAAGCAATTGAAGCTTTCAGCTAGAAACGGCAGTAAGGAGTCGAATAGAAGATAGATGTGAATAGATCCTGGTTATAGTCCTACGAGTATGTAGGGACCTTTTGATATAACCTAAGCGAGCTAGAGTTAGCGTTAGGTGTATGTCAAATGTGCATCTAGAACCTTGTAGCTGGCCCGAGATATGATAATAGATGTGATAGGTAATAGACATGGCCAAGCCTTGGCTTTGGCAAAATGCTAGATGATGAGCTAGGTAAATGTTATTGTCCTTTGCACTAGAATATTATTCATAAATGAGGCATTGTATGGTCATGACCATGTAAGTGCAACAATTCGCCACGTGAGGATGTGAGGGACCTATCCGCATAAAGAGCAAGGTCCAAAGTTTTGAATATTGATTCGAGGTAAGATGTCGCGACCCGGGCTAGAAGAGGTTATAAGGATGCAAATTATGGTTGGAGGGAGCCTAGAGTCACCCATTTACCACCGCGTCGGGACACAGGGTTATTGGCTCGACGCCCCCGTAAGCAACCCACAATCCGGACGTCCGGCGCGGGAGCCTCAACGCCAACAACCACTCTACTGCCGTCCTACTCGACACGAAATAATTGCTGCACCCAACCGAAGGAAGCCCTTACATTAGTAAATCCCAGCTCGCGCTAGATGGGATTACATACCGTTGAGTCGCATGGCACATGCAAGCTTCCAGGGCTTCTCTCCGGTATGGGAATGTCCGGGAGAAACTAAAATTTGGGATCTGACCCATGTCGTCGGGGTCTAGGATGCTAGCCTTTGGGTAGATTCAGCCGTAGGGATATGTCTATCGTGGAACTCGGTATGTAGGTCTCCGAGCACGCAACTTTAAGATATGGGTGGGAGCTGATTCTTTAGTGAGCGAGGGAGGGCAGACACAACGAGGACGATGGAAATGGGATAAGATATAACCTGTCCCACCCGTCTTGCTCGCAGGCGAAGGCATCTACCGGTCTAACGTCGCTCAAGAAAAATCGCTTTTTTGTCTTTCTGACTGACCTGTATGCGCTACGATCGACGTGTGGGTAATATGGAAGCCATACTACGGAGCGAGAAGCCGGATATCATCCCCGGCACCGATGTTATTTTCACGGGCCAGGATGCCGGCGAAGCGAGTGCCAGTGAGATCGTACTTATTCCTCAGCCGACGTCGGGCTCAGATGATCCGCTCGTAAGTTCCAATCCTCAATTCATGCCATACCTACCTACCTACCTACCTACCTAGGTAGCAGCTTAAGTAAAGCAAAGCGCCTACTAACATAGTCCATAGAACTGGAGCCCAACATGGAAATCCATCATCATCTTCAACCAGTTCATCTTCGTCTTCGTGAGCATCATGACGCCAATGGCCATCGCGCCCATGACGCTCATCTTCGAGGCCGAGTTCGACAAGACCCTTCCCGAAGTCAACATGTTGTTCGGCGCGGCCGCCATCACGCTCGGCTACGCCAACTTCCTTATTGTGCCTGCTGCCAATGTGTTTGGGCGCCGCCCCGTCGTCCTGGTCTGTAGTATTATCTGCATTCTGGCCAATGTCTGGCAAGGACTTGTTACTAGCTATCCTAGTTTTCTGGGCGCGCGCGTTATTTCGGGGGTGGGTGCTGCGGCGAATGAGAGTATTATGCCGATGGTTGTTGCGGATATGCTGTTTCAGCATCAGAGGGGGAGTAGTATGGCGCTGTACTTGTGAGTAGAATTTGTTGTTGATATGATGATGAGTACCTATATAAGAATGTGCTTACGATGTTATATCTAGTTGGGCGTATTTCCTAGGCCTTTTCATCGGGCCTATCATTTCAGGGGCAATCGCTTCGCAGATCTCGTGGAGGTGGTTTGTAAGTGCTGCAGCCCCTATTTCTAAAAATATCATCGGGCTTCGACTAACCACTAACTTAATCAGTTTTGGGTCTGTACTATCTTACAGAGTGTAAGTTCCTCTCCCATCTCTAATATTTAAAAGAACCCAAGGTTAGGTACCTGTTATAGATCTGACACAGGCATAAGGCAAGCCTGATCTTTCTCCTGCTCGCCCACCCGGAAACCAAGTACGACCGCCCTGTACCCCGTGCGCCGATCACCGTCACAAAGGTCAGGGTCTCCAACGCTACAGGCAAGCCCAACGACGGCATAGTCTCCAGCTCCAGCTCCGAAGCGCAGATGCAGCCCTTCGCCCTCACAGCCGCCGACCACAACGCCACCGGCCGCCCATCACGCGCGCAGTTCTCCCTCCTGCCCCTCCGGAGACGCCTCCGCTACGGCCACGGGTACGAACAGCACAGCCAGAACCTCGGCGCCGTACTAGCGCGGGACGTCCTCTCGCCTATCAAGATTCTCTTCTACTACCCGATCGTGCTCTGGGCGTCTTTGTCTATGGGCTTCGCGGCGAACTCGCTGTTGGCGCTAAACCTGACGCAGACGCAGGTGTTCGGCGCGCCACCGTATTTCTTCACCCCCGATCAGATCGGCTATGTTAACTTTGCGTTTGTGGTGGGTGCTATTGTTGCTTTGGTCACGGCGGGTCCGTTGTCTGATTGGATTGCGCTGAGGCGCGCAAGGGCCAACGGGGGTGTGTTGGAGGCGGAGATGAGGCTGCCGGCACTGGTGCCGTATATCTGCGCCAATCTCGTGGGCATGGTGGTTACGGCTGTGGGGTACCAGCGCTCTTGGGCGTGGGAGGTTATCGTTGTGATTGGGTACTCGCTCGTTGGACTGCAGGTCGTGGGGATCCCGGCTATTTCGATTGCATATGCGGTGGACTCGGTAAGCATGTCCCTTTTCAGCTTGACTCCATACCTCTTACTTTTTATTCGTGGTATGACATACGTTATGGATTTAGACTGCTGGTGATGAGATTTGCTTTTTGTAAGCTGAACTGGAAGGTATAGCTAACATCATGTCACATATAGTACAAAGCACTCCCCGGTGAGATTATGATCGCTGCCACCATCGTGAAGAATACCTTCGGGGTAAGTCGTCATACCTAGATCTTCCCCCCTTTCCGTCCCGGTCCGATACTAACTATTTCATAGTTCGGCATGATTTTCTTTTATAATGATTGGGCAACACGGTCAGGGTTCATTCCCCCTGTACTACTACTAATGGCCCTCACATGTGGCTTCTCGATCCTTGGCCTTGTTGTCTTTATCCCTTGGGGGAAGCAATTCCGCCGCTGGACCAAGGACTCCAAGTTACATTCTCTATAGATGAGTGGGAAAGGGGGGATGGTGATTTGCTAGGTCGCTGCGCGGTCTCGTTATAAATCTTCTTTGCTCATATTCGTCAATATTACTTAGGTAGTTAAGTAGCCGCGTTGAAGGACTTGACAATAGGGACTGACACATAATCATACGCAATGTGATAGCTAGGAGTTAGATATTGAATTTCTATATTATATACAAGAAATTTTACTATTTACCAATCTGATATATGCAAGGTAGAAAAAGTATATACAAAACTGCCAATATCAATATTCACACGACGGTCCACCTCTCAGGCAATAAGCGAATCCGTCACTAACGTAGTCGTCACATCATCATAAACGCATCCTCGCTAGCAAAAGCAAATGTAGTGGCGTAGGAAGCACGCATCAAGGCTCTTACAGACCGATGGATTGTCCGTTAATCGTCAGCTCGGCGCTGTACAACTCGCGAGCAGCATTCCCTTGGTTCGCGTTCAGGCGGCCGTGGAACACAACGCTCTTGCCGTTGGGGTCGATATCGAGACCTCCGGGGCCAAAGACACCGCGGTTATCGACGGTGCGGATGAGGATGCCGCGGTTGGTGTAGCTACCGTCGATGGTGCTGGAGAAGGCGTACTCGACGTCGTAGTCGTCGCTGGAGTAGCAGTGAGCACTGTAGAACAGGACGTAGTTGCCGTCGGCAATCTTGTACAGAGCAGGGGCCTCGACCACGCCGTTGTTGGAGGCACCCTCGTTATCCAGGATCGTCTTCGGGCTGTCGAGCAGCGTCAGAGCGTCCCGTGCCACACGCTGGATCTTGATCGGTGTCGACCGGTAAGCTCCCGACGGTGTTCCGCCTTGGCATGTAGTCGCGCCACCGAGACTGTTTCCGTCAACCTTCCACAAGATCCATCGGTTCGCCCCATCGTCGTAACCCGACGCATCAATCACACCTCCATTGGCGCCGTCACAGATTAGCGGTTGACTTTGCGGCGTAAAAGGTTCCAACGCCGAGCTTGAGGTTGCAGCACCGATACAGTGGTTACCACCGTTCTGGCGGGCAGTGTAGTACATCACATACACACCGGCGTCCTATAGTTGCTATCAGTTCAAGCCCCCGGGTATCTCTATATGCCACTGCATCTATTAGGAAAACTTACGTTCTTCTGCACGTCGGGAGCCCAAATTCCCTGGTCGTTAGGGTCGACCCAAGACCCAGGGTTCGGCAAAGCGTCGTTGCCGGTAAGTGTCCAGGACCAAGTATCAGATGATGTGGCGACGGGGATCTTCTTGCCGTTCGATGAAGTTCCGTAAGCCTTCCACGAGCCGTCGCCCCAGATGATACTCGGGTCGGGAAAATCGACCCCCATGAACGGGCCAGCCAGACGGCGGCCTTGTAAGCCGCCGCCGTTGGCCATATCGATCTTGGTCAAGTTGGTCAGACCAAGGGTTGGTAGTTCAGTTACAGCTCGAGCAGCATTGTTAGCTGGAAGACCAGCAACCAGGCCGGCGCCGAATAGAAAGAGGAAGTTCTTCATAGCTATTGTTGACCGAAGCTAACTGGGTGGTATTAGACTACGTATTTGATGTACGAGTTTATCCTCACGAAGAGGCTTTGCTTGTTCAGCGGCCATGATGGTTAGTATTTATAAAATCCAAGAAGGAGAACACTTCCGGTATTATTCGGTCCTTCTTAGCATTCATCACGAAGCGATGGAGCTGTGGGAAAACGAATACGTTGTTGCACAAAGAACAATGTAGCTAAACTAGGACAGAGCCAGTAATAGAGACAGCTCTTTTGTTTAGCTGCCTCGGTGGTTCCGGGGGTAGCTCTCCTCACATCCTGATGGAACAATAGGAACAATTTCCAGCGAGGGTAGCTTTCCAGGCGAGTTGAAACACCGCAAGGGACCGGCTGCACCAATAAACGAGAAACACGCCTTAACCCTTTAGAGGGACATCATACATAGTAGAACAAGTCCCATCACGGGGTGCAGAGTCGGGAGATGCCGCAACGGGAAGGAAATGAGAATAGAATGCGTCGACGAAGCCATCTGGAGCGTCCGTCCAATGAGAGAAGGCGGACAATCCTGCGTGAGCCGGGATCTTTTGCATCGCTTAAGTGGCAGTGGTGCGGTTTCTAAGGGGGGCTATATGTAAACAAGATCTTGATGCAACAGTGCCTGAAGCCCTGCTAGCAACATTGTGGTATAGATCTCGCTGGGCCATTCCCATCAACTCCAGATGGACCCCTTTCAAAATTCCATGCCAAGAGCCAAGTTTTAGCTGTAAGGAACAACGTTACATGAGCCGAATTCGTCTCATAAGATCAGATTATTCTTATAAAAAAAGGTTCACCTGCCTAATTCAACATTCTCTAGATAATTAGTCTATCCTGCTGCGATTTAGCATTTTATATTTCTGGCAAGAATCCTAGTACGTATGGCCATGTATGCGTAGGGCAGCTCGTAGGGCAGCTGATCGTCGGTGCAAGACCCCGGGACTCCAGCGTGGCTGGCATGGGTCGCGACACTAAAGTCGTTAATGATCAACACCGATCATCATTGATCATCACTTTTCCCTGAACATCTGGATAAGGGGTTTTTGAGCTTAAATTGACAACGTTGGTAATGAGATTGAAATACTGTTATATTATATTATTAACAAATCGGAAATCCTAGTTTGGCAACTTCAATCTAAAACCTCTTCAAGATTCTTCAAGATGGACTTCAAGATGGACTTCAAGATGGACGGGTTACATCCTAAGCAGGTCCGGTATTATATTTGACGCGTAATTAATTGATAATAAACTGCTACCTGGCACGCCATGCCACGCCTTGCAGCTTAATGAGCCCACACGCAATCCGACCCGAGCGGACCGGAGCCCAGGCCGTATATGTCACCGTAGATATACCGACGATCCATGATCAATATCCAATTATAATGTTTGAAAATTCGGCCATTACATATGTAGTACGTTGCCAATAGAGTCCACCTCAGTTACATGCGAATTAGAAGTGCCAGCAATGGCTACCCCTTGCCGAGATCCATAGCTCGAAATAGACTATCCTCAGCCCCGTCGGTATAGACCTAGTCCCATAATTTCTCCGCAACTATAGACTCGCTTACGACCAACTGGTCTAAAAAGCATCACGCCGAGATGTCCAGCTGCATGAGGCACTATCCAACTCATTCAATTCGATGGTGTTTTCTATTTTTCGCTAACGGCTCAAGATTCGGACTTGAGAGTAGAGTTACCTGCTTGGTTTCTTTTCTGCAGCAGACAGTGCTGTCCCCATTTTCTTCTATATTTCTCCGGAATGAAACTCATGTCTGGCACCCATAAGACTCTCGCAAGGAGATGCGTATTTGCCGCATCAAGGAACGCTTCGCATTTAACAATTTCCCAGTTCTCCTTGTCTGCGATGTAATCTGGCTCATTTGGCGGTAGGGGGTGACCATGCTCCGGATATTGCGTGTCGACTAAGAAATCGCACGATTTGATATCCACGTACTTGCCCATATCCTCTTCGTTGCGATCATTCATGCCGCTCGCAGGGAGCCAGGTACCGCTCCAGAAGCCAAACCCAATTCGTGCTTCAGAGAACTCCCCAGGTAGCAACCCACGGAACTCTGACCGAATAAATTTCGCATGCATATTCCGAGGTAAGAAGTAAGAGCTTGGGAACCGGTACCATTCCTTACCGTAACACACATAATCCCCACGTCCACCTAGACCTTTTTGGCCAATTACCCCAGCCCCAAGCGGTTCGTAGAGCTTCAAAGGTGCAGAGTAGGCAGTGTATATACCGATAATGCGAGCAAGTCCTAGGCCCAGCGACAAGAATAACACACCCACAACAGTGAAAAGCTTCAAGCGTGCTGGGATCTTTCCGACGAGGCTTTTAGGGTCGGGATTTCCGAAGGCCGATAAGATAATGTGAAACCCTAAGGCAGCATTCAGAGCGATGAAAGGATACACAGGATACATAAACCGCTCCTCTTTATGTGGCTGCATAGAGAAAATACCAAGCCACATGTAAAAGGGGGAGAGGAATACGACCGTACGCATCCCTGTCCCAAATCCATGTTGCTTTGAGGAGACGACCTTTTGGATGAGGAACAGAGGTAAAGACAGCAAGGCGAGAATAAACCAAATGTTGAAGTTTATGGTAAGATTTCTGAAATAGAAGGTCCATGGTTCTGTTCCGTAGAGGTTAGGCCCCCCTGTAGAAGAGAATATGTTGTACTTCACGATATTCCAAGAGACAACCTCGATTTTCTTATAGAAGAAAGTATTGATAGCCGTGTCACCGACCTGTACCTAATGAGAATTGGGTATATAGTTTGAAGTAGAATCACTTACAAGGAGCAATAAGGCAGCAACTACACCTCTGCCGACACGGAGGACTGCCTCGTAAAAACTCTGGGGATAGTTTAGGACCGCAAAGATAGCCTCCTCAATCAAGAAAGGAGCGCACAGAGCTGAAGCGAAAGGCCATCCCAGGATGCCCCCGACGGCAAACCACCATATGCCCCATGACGTCTTAAGCCCTCCCCTCCAGTTCATGAATGCGATAGTTCCAAGCATGGACGTGTACATGGCGAAGCTAGAGGGTAGATAGGCCGTACTAGCGTGGAAGTTTCCGGGGGACACAACCGTCGCGATAAGAAAGAAGAGGCCAATCCTAGGATTCAGTGTGAAGCTGATGACGCGGTATAGGAGCACTTGGCATAATGAGCAAACAAATGCCAAGACATACCGAATGAAGTAAAACTCAGAGAGCTATATGAATGAGAATAAGATCGTTGAGGAACAAGGAGCATGGAAAGTGGTACTTACCTTTGTATTTTGGGGTAATAATCTTCTGATATTACCGACTATAGCGTGCAAGCCGACATAAGACCAACTACGGATGGCATATTCTGGTGAATACTCCCAGGTCTGTAACCCATAACCATGTGAGATGTAATGGGTCGGTTCCCAATAATTGAAGGTCTCGTCGCAATCTTGGATGGGTGCAAATAAAGCAGATATGAGATTTACAATCAGGAAGATGTAAAGTGCCTTTATGGGTTCTATCATGAATATAGACACTCCTCTATGTTACATCGTTAGTGGTATTCACTCTTTTGGGATGGGCTTACATACTTCTTTTTAGCATGTTGTGCAGCTGGATGAACAAATTGCTGCTGCTGCTGCGGCTGCGACTGAGCTCCTGTAGGAGGCATATTTACTAAGTCTGCGTCGTGCAGCTGATGCAATGCAGCTCACGCAACCGAGGAGTAATTCGATGTTGGGGAAGTTATGGTTATAAAACTCAGCTAGGAAAGCTTTAAATCTGTCCCAAATGTTGAAAGTTGAGCTCCAATTGAAAATGACGTTGCGTCCGCGCTAGTGCTACCTAGCGAACAAACCCGACCCCTGCTGTCGGATAATTACATGCGTAAGAGTTTCTAAGCCGATTGGCCAATGGAATATGCCACTCCTAAGATATTCCGGGTCCACTTTATTTTTCTAGAACTGGGGCTTGCAGAAGCTTTCATCCAAGTTGAATCCATGCGGATTTCATCTACTATCAAACACGGTTGATTGCATTGCCGGAACTTTATCAAAACACGTCTCCGTTCGTACTTTTCGCGAACTTCCAATTATACAAAGTACAATTGGCTTCTTCGAATAGTTGTCATTAAAATCCTCGTAACTATTTGATTTGTGACAACAAGTTTCTGTCCTTAAGGCGATTTACGCCATCTCAACCTGGTAGGTTATTTTCTAGTGTAAACATTATCTTCAACTCGAACTTTCATAACATAAGACTTTTCACCGCAATGGCAACTAACAATGCTATAGTTTCTACAAAAAAAATGTCTGGGAACTTTGAAATTCCTGGCCTATCCATCTCCAGGGTACCAGATGACTCTCAAACCCAATCAAACGCTCCTAATGAAGCTCAACCTGTGACTTCTCAGCCTGCTACTGAGATGGATATCGATACTCCTGTCCCTTCAGAGAGTACACCACTACCTCAGATCAGCGAGGCACAGATTGAGAAGTCGGAGAAGTCGGAGAAGCCGGAGAGTTCTGATGTTGCTATCAAAGATGCACCACCCAGCCCCCCCTCCTTAACTTCAGCACTGGAGGCTCTACTTGGCGGTCTAGACGCCCCACCACAGGATCCGAATGTGTCATCTGAGCAACCCAATGGTGCAGAGCAGAATGGACAGCCCCAAGAGCAAGATGAACAAGGTGATCCTGAGTGGGAAGAAGACTCTTCTCCCTACGAATCCTCGTCTGAATCGAGCAGTTCAGATGATTCGGATGACGAGTCTGAAGATGGGAAAAACTATGAGCTCCTAGGCCCCGAGGAGACAGCCCGCATTCTTATGGAAATGGAGGGTGGCTCAGACGATGAAGGCGAGGGGAAGGCGAAAGGGAATGGTTCGGGTGCACAGGTCCGCACGAAGAATGAATTACCTGAAGAAGTAGTTCCTAAGCCCGATGTCGTCATAACACCGGAGATGACTATCACTGAACTTGGCGTAATTGAGCACATCGTTGAGAATACGGCTGTAGTCAAGGCGATCACGACGGGAGAGTACCAAGTGCTCGACAGCGGCTCAGTTCTCTGCACGGAAGACCGCACTGTTATCGCGGCCGTAGCCGATTTAATCGGCAACGTGAGACAGCCACGTTATACTGCAAGGTTTACGAACGAAGAAGAAATTAAGTCTTATGGTCTAGAGATAGGGGCCAAGATATTCTACCCACCTTCGCACGCGGTATATGTCTTTACTCAACCACTTCGGGAGCAAAAGGGTACGGATGCAAGCAATTGGCATGATGAAGAGGCTGGTGATGAAGAAATTGAGTTCTCAGACGACGAAAAAGAGGCCGAACATAAGAGGCAGCTGAAGGCTAAAAAGAAAGGAGGCCGCGGTGGTAAGGGCGGCGTAGGAGGGCGAGGAGGTCACACCGAGGCCTCCTCCCTTCCTCCGATGACTGGCCTACAGTATGATGACAACGACGAGGACGGCCCCTATCGAAAACTTGCAAGGCCGGCGAGCTTTGGGCAGGGCCAATCCACCCCTTCGGAATCTGGGTATTCAAATCATCACGCCAACAATAACGGCTCATTCCGAGGTGGTCGAGGTAGAGGCCAACGAGGTTATGGACATGGCCGTGGGGGGAGGGGCAATCGTGGAGATTCGCGAGGTGGACATTCCTTACCACCTAGACCACCACGAGGACAAGACTATCAGCCACAAACTCAGCAATACAGCTATCCTCCAGCTCCGCCTCCGGTTACTAACCCAGCATATCCCCCGCAGTCGCTACCATTCTATGGCACACCGAACAGTCATCAGCAGCCCAATACACAGTTTCAATTCCCTTGGCCCCAGAATGTCCCACAAGGCTTCGTTCCACCTCCACCGCCACAGTTTACCGGGCAGCAACCTGGCGCGTACTACAGCCCTGAGTTCTTTGCTGCTCTACAAAGTCAGATGCAGGGACAATCCAACCAGCAAAACGGCCAGTGGCCCGGACATGGCGGTGCTGGATAGAATCCTAACGCTATGAACGGCAATACGGGCTCGATTCTCCCCCATGCCTATCCGTCCCACGAATGGAATAATCATACTAATGGATCTGTTGCCTCAAACGTTAGTGGACTTCCATAATCTGATGATGGCCGGGTCCATGCTGATAATTTTATAGATACAATCTGTAGGGTGGCGTTCCAACCAGCAACCTAGCCAGCAAAGCCGGGTAGATAGAGTAGAGACGGAGGCGGGTGTACAAAAATCCCGGGGCAAGACTCACGGAAAAGGCCGAAAGGGCAGAAAAGGTAAAGAGGGCAAAGAAAATCAACGAGGCTCCTCCTTGTAGGGTGTGAGTTACGTTGCTCACCGAGCCACTTCTAATATAAGGTATTACTAGCACATCGTTGGGTAGGTAATTATAGTGTCTATACTGACATCTAAAATAATACGACAATCATGGAGGGTTAAGGAATATTGGCATCAAAGTCGAGTCTTGAGTCAATAGGAATATCAAGGCATGTTGATAATAGCCTGATATAGACAATTGACTTATACCATTCTAAATATGTTGCTTACTTGTGCACCTACCTAGGTATACAACACATACAATTCTTTTAATATCCATTTAATAGCCCACTATAGTGAAGTTGTAAATTCATTCCAATGTTGTCTTTATCTGAGTTTGCTTCTCCCTATCTCGTATTTTCGTCTTCTACACTATTCTACTACTAATCATGATGTAGCGAGTCGGCCCAAAGACTCACCGCATGCGATATCAGGTAAGCTACGATGCAGACTCGACATTGGGGTAGCTATGTTATACGAAGAGCCACAAACTAGACTACGGGTATACACATGTAGCCCTTAGGTACTTCTTAAGGCTGTCTAGTTACAATGTCTCGGTATACTTTTAGGGTAAGGCTTTCCGTTCCACCCGGTTCCACCGATATTCATCTCGGACATCTTGGATCTTGGTATACACTAGAAGACTTTAGGAGACAAGCTCGAAACTTTGCGGTCTATGTCCGCTTGAGCCGTTTGTGAAACTAGAAAGAAGAAAACGAGCGCCATCATTTGAAGCCACCCGTTGGTGCAGAAACGCCACCGAGTCTTTCGCCATTCAGCGACGCGGTCACGCTGGTACTAACGACTTCGTTATGCATGAATTTTCGCTCACCTACCAAAAAGAGAACCTTACCCGACGTTCGTTATTTTACAATTTGCATATAGCTTGCTGCTTTTAGTATTAGGGAAGTACGAAGTAAACTCGTAGGAGACATGAGTGACCTCCGAATCAAGACTAGAATATTGTTTAGTCTGTTCGTAACATAGAACATAGATATGTCTAAAACCCGATGTTTATCTCTTCTCGGCTTGTAGCAATATTGAGAATCCGAGGAAGCAAGGAGCGTACCTTACGTATACAATCATGCAATCGACCGACAGCTGCAGGGTTTAGGGTTATGTAGTAGGGTTATGTAGTCTTACACCGCAGATCCGGTCTAATCGAACTAGCCTTACACGCAATATCGATGATTCGATCGTGGGGTAGACTTGCTATTCATTACATATGTTACATATGCTGAAAGCACGGGCAAAGTTTCATTTCCTACCCAACGGTGCTAGGTATTTGAGATAAGGCCAACGATGTTACAATGTGACGACAGCTGAATATCTATTTATACATGGGCACTGGAAGTTTGGACGTTTCCACGATGTGACCAACGGAGGAACCAGTCTGTTCGTCTGCTTAGTGTGCATAACGCAATGATGGTCCTCCACACGCACACTAAGTCATATCGATTGGAACAAAATAGGGATCGGCCTCTAAGCTAGATAAAATGACAAGGATGGCAGGGTCCGATAATGTGAGGGGTGGTAAGAAATTTGCGATGCGGACCGACGGACGGAGCTGGAAAAGAGTCAACGAGGTCGGATGTTTCACAAGCCAAAATGAATTTCAACAGTGTTTATTTCGTAATGCCAGAAATTCGGATTCGAGAACAAAGAATAGAATAGAAAACGATATTTAAAAGAAAAGAGGGACGTCTACTGCAAGATACCGGGAGGATCCTGGGACTAGATGATGAAAAATTGGTAGCACCGGTTGGGAAAAAAAGATCCCTCACCACCACGCGGGAAGAAAACGTGATATCGGCACCAACATAGACCATAGAGTAACATAGGAAGGACAAAGACGTCATATCGGGTTCCACGGCAGAAAATATCGTGGGCTTATTGGGGGTGATTCGTCTTAATCATCAGATGGGTGTTCGCGCAGACCCACATCATTCCAAATAAGGATATTGATAGACCTGATAGGCCCGCTCTGCTAGTGCACTGTATGTACCTAAGGTACTTCGTAGATACTTTACGGCAGCCTGCTTCCCTCTGTGCTTTCTACCGATGCTGATGTCCGGCGAGGTACATACATAGTAGTATAGACACGCCTCTTACGTGCATGAGATAAAGGATTGAAAGTTGATGAGCAAAATTCCGATCGAGGCACGGGCGCGGGCGGTATTCCTTTCCGTATGGACCCCTTTAAAGACCAAATACACAAATTCGTACTCGAGTCGTCGCACTTCGTTACGAATACTTCGATTCAGAGAACTATGTATGTATGCGCCCATCAATTATTATTTTAGCTTCTGAACTTCAAGGACCATCCCGTAGAAACCTCTAGCTGAATTAAGGGGTCGCGTACGTAGTTCTATGCCTGCGGCGCGTGGCAGCGGTTTTTTATTGCTTTCATGCTAACCAATGGATATTTGATGGAGGATGCTTGCCCCCTGGCAGATCCCTGGCAGATCCCTGGCAGCACAAATTTCGCCTAATATGCAGGTTTAAATATTTTATCCAATCAAAATTCATTTGTACCTGAAAGTGGCGCTTCTGTGCCTGACTACTGCAAGGGAGCTTGGACCATGCGGGCTAGCAAGAAAGACCGAAAATGATCAACATTCGTCCATTGGAAGAGATGAAATGATTAATTGGGGGTGATGGGTGATTGCAAGGATGGGAAGATCCATTCAGCCATAACTTTGGATGAAGGATGATTCGGTGCTGACTGCAGCCCAACTTTTACAGCTAACTGGATATTGGCGCAAGCGAATCGACTACCTGGGGAAGATACGATCTTGAACGCACGGGACAATACGAGTGGCGAGTGGCGTTGTTCGTATTATATGTGTTTAGGTATCTAACATACCTTAGGTAAAGTCGAAGTAAACACGCAAATAATGTCTATTGTGTATGTATTTGTTAGCTGGCTTACATAGTATTAACAGAACAATAGGTACCGCCAATATCAGATATACATAGATAGCAACCTGAAAAGAGTAGACGGAGAAACAATCACCAAATTAGATGGACGGATACTAAATTGATATAACGCGCTCCCGTTTGCGAATAGACATAATGATATGATAGACTGCATGTTCATGCAACCACCCAAGAATAGCCGGGAAGGAAACCCTATTTCAATAATAATTCGAGAAGAACTATAAGTCCCGGCTCTTGTGTATGTAGTATGTACTTTGTACAATATGTGTTCAGAACCGCTGCTTCCAAGGTTACAGGTGATGAGCAACGGTTGCTACCGTTTGAGGTCTTGAATTACAGGGAAGCGAAGGACACTAGGAACCACCAGTTGCTTTGTATTATCCGGAGTATCTTCGTACCTTAGGACGGGAAACGCGCTAGAGGTTGGCAGCTGGCCAATCCCGGAGTCGCTCCTCCCACTGGCGCTTCACTATTCCAATTCATCCTCTCCTCTCCTCCCTCTCATTCTTTTCCTTCCCTTCCTCACCGTCCTCGTACGTCGCAATCCAGACACGCGGTCTCTTCCCCCTCTCTTCACGAGAATTGGGTTTCTTTCGTTGGATCCTTTCTCAATTACATTCATTTCAATCCGTAGCTTCTCGATTTTATCGAGGTTTTACACCTTCGTTACCCCACGAATCGCGATCTCGACGCTTGCCTCCGCGGTAAACAAACGCACAACAGTGTAAACTACGCCACTACCGCCGAAACCGAGTCGCATTACCACCAATATAACACCTCTACGTGGATTACATTCTTTTTAGAATCCGAGATTAGCACGGTTGCACGACGATTACTTCATCGCACTTACAATCACAACTCGATTATACTTACGGCTCTGCGGCGCGACGTACTTATCTCTAGGCTGAATGTGGTTGAGCCAACGACTTGGCTTTTTATAGGAGTAACAAAACGTTTCTAGTGTTCTGGGAAATTTAACTATTCATCATGTCGGGTCACCGTCACAACCACCTTCATAGAAGGCAAGGCAATAGCGGTTGGGATGAATTCGTCGGTGGCGTTGAGAGTATCGCCAACGACTTCAACCCATTCAAGCAGACGCCTACTCTACAGGCAAAGGCCGCCGAGCAATCGACAGTTGTTATGACCGTATACCAAACTCTGCCAAAAACCTTCGATGGCCCAGTTGGTGGATATAGAACTTTGGGTCAAGATGAAGATGCTTCCGAGACTAAGCCTACAGTGACACCAACCCCGGTTGTACAGGCGAAACCAACCAGTTCACCAGCAAAGGACCAAAGCACAGCGGTGGCAGCCTCGATCGCCAAGGCAGAGAATACAGCCTCGGCTACAAAGGGCGCTGAGAAGTCAGCTACCGAAGTCCTGCCCGGGTCAATTATGGGCACCTCCTCCGTTGATGTTGGTGAGCATTCGACACTAGCTCTCGCTACTAGCACTCCCACGACATTTACGAAAGCGACTAAGAACGTCGAGACATCCCAAATTGCCGCGACGGACGCCGCAGCCACTTCCTCTCCGACGGCTACCGCCGCAGATTCCTCAGTGCCCGACACCAGCGGCGCAGCGAAAGCTGGTATCGCAATTGGAGTTCTTGGCGGTGTCCTGATGGTCGGTCTACTTATCTGGTTCTTATTCGCCAGGCGTAGAAAGCAGCTTGAGCAGCAGGAAATCGAGAATGAGAAGGCTAATATGAGCAATCGCCGCGTGTCAATTCTCTCGACCCAAACCAGCGCTACCGCACCCCAGCTTAGTCTAAGGCCTGTAACGGCCGAATTCATGCCCACTTTCGGCGCACGACGATCAAGCAAGGGGGCTGCTCTCGCACTTGCAATTGGTGGAGCAGCTTTGAAGCCTGAAAGTCCCAATCGCTCTCTTTGGGAACGACCCGGCTCTAGCGGTGCTAACAATCCCGAGAATCCCTTCGGCAACAACGCGGAGCGTGCTTACACGCCCACTGAGCAGCCATCAAATCCATTTGACAACCCAGAGAACGTTGTTGGTGTTGCTCAAACTACGAATTCGCCTCCTAGATCTTCACCAACTGCCGGTGCAGCTACTCTAGGCGCAGCCGCAGCAGGCACCGCTCTAACCCGAAAGGCTTCTACTCGAAAGGAAGCTCCTGCACCTCTCGACCTTACCGTTCTTTCTGGACCTCCCAGTCCAGCCGGCACCGAATTCAGCGTTCATTCTGTTGCTCCTGGTCAATCGCCTGGCCCTTCCCGAAGCGCGGCAGCTATTTCAGCAGCTGGCGGCCCCCCATCGACAGCTGTTCACCGTGTCCAACTAGATTTCAACCGGACTTTGGAGGATGAGATGGATCTGAAAGCTGGTCAACTTGTCAGGCTTTTGCACGAGTATGACGATGGCTGGGTAAGTTTTTAAAATAGTGTATTGTGACGTAATAGTAGCTAACCTGACCAGTCTCTTTGCATCCGACTCGACCGTTCGCAGCAGGGAGTCGTCCCCAGGACTTGCTTGTCAACTCGACCCGTGAAGCCCCGTCCAGCTGGTGGACCTCCTGGAGCTCGTTCCGGCCCGCCTGTTATCCCCAGTCCGCGTGGCCCGCGCGGTCCAGGCCCGAACTACCCTCCTGGACAAAGAGCGATGACTCCCGGCAGCCGCCCACAGTCACCTATGTATCCTATGGCTGGTCGTCCCCAATCGCCTGCCTCTATGCGACCTCAGTCTCCTGCAACTGGACGTATGAGTCCACATGGAAGCCGTCCGGCTTCTCCTTCGAATGGTCGGATGAGCCCGGGTCCTCAGTCCCCGGGATCGAGACAGCAGCGAAGGATGACCCCACCGGGACCTAGTCCGATGAATCCCAACGGTGGTGCTCCCCAACAACAATACGGGGGCCCTCCTCAGGCACCCGTTGGCAGGAAACCCGTTCCAGGTCAAGCATATTAAGGTGTAACGTTTTGAACACCAGACAAATCAACTTGAATGAGGACCACAACTACTCGATATGATCCTAGTTCTATTAAGTATCCACTCGGATTATATATGGGTATCTCTATCGGACTATGGTTCATCAATTACGTCGAACTATAGATCCTCGACTTTGACGAACCTTAATGAACTTGGGAATGATTTAATCTTCTCGACACTCGCTTGCGACTCTTTGTTTTACACTTGATACATTTCAACCCTCTGGTGTTTTTCTGCATTTCCCTTATTTTCACTTCTATCACATGTTCATTCCGTCGTTTTCCGTCGAAAAGTTACAGCACCGACCCCGATGGAGCATTACTCCAGTTTTACTTTGACAGAGTTACTGAATACTGCTCAGATCGGGATAATCTGGTAATTTCTTGTCGATAATTTCTAGTTTTTGGGATGAGATTTACTCTCCCAATCGGCTTTTGAGGCTGCGTATGGTCAACATCTGTTGGCCTTACGTGGCGTCTTTTGCTATTGCCGTCACGGGGGTCAACACGTCGCTCTTATATTGGGCGATATTGGTTGTTAGACCTTCGTGGCGTCTTCAATCTCTTTCCAGCCAGCCTTGGAAAAGAGACAACTGGCAACTTTGGTACCTTCTCTTCATTTCAGCGGCACAATCCGGGATGATGAGCACGCCTGGTATCGGTATTAGGGGGAGAGCTGGATCAGGGTTGGCAATGGGGGTTTGTCGACGTTGAGACGCCTATGAGTTAGCTAAGGTCTAGCTGGAAGATGACGAAGGTGGATGATAGTGGCTAGGGGTAGGAGATGTGTGATGTTGATGTCTTCTATGGAGAAAACTAGGTCGTTACAAAATGAGCTTCTGCGGGGTTGGTTATGTTAGGGAGGCCCGGAGGTTCCCGTAGCTAGACTACCTATTTAGGAAGTCGAATAAAGTGATGATTCACTAAACCTTGAAGATTTGCTTGAATACAGGTCACTAGGATGTTCAATGTTATTTGGTGGAAATGTTACTTAAAACAGTTAATAAGTATTGTATTGCTTCATTTATATAGCAAAATACAAATACGTTCGAAGATTCTAGCTTAACCTTTGCTTAAACAGGTAATTTTAAATGGCAAAAGCCTTTTTAAAATCACGAGATATGTTTACAACTGTACCTTGCCATAATATTTCGAATGTCCTAATACATCGCTCTTTTAAGTAACATCTCCACCAAATAACATTGAACATCCTAGCGACTTGTAAGCCTTGTATGCTGTGTAAGTGGTTTCAAGGGAGTATATCGGAAGACGTGTGTAAAGTATGGAAGTGAAATGAAATCTCATTTCTCCTTCAGATAGCCGGTTGAAGGTACAGACATTAGCATTGGTTCAAATATCGGGACAATGTCTACCCCTATAGTCAGATGTTAGTGGCGTCTCTATAGCTCTATTCCCACAGTTGGGGTTTTCGGATCTTATCGTTCGATCCAAGTTAAGAGCACTACATAAGCTGGGAATTCTAGGTAATACGATAGAAGCTATATTAAAGTGAGAGGTAGTCATGAAAAGACGACCCTTGGGTTACTTAAGCATTTCGTTAACTAACATGACGATAGAGAGACTATCAACCAATTAATAAAGAAATCCTATCGACTAACCCGATCCAAGTTTCATGACGAGCAAAGTGATAAGTGTGAATAAAAATTTCACTATAGGAGGAAATAGACTACCGAGATACCTATTGACGATACGAATATTCTATATCATCAGCTTATCCTAATACTACTAGATAGGGATATTTATAGCCCCAAAGCCTTAATAACCTCCTCCCCAACTCCCCTAGCACTATCAGGATTCTGCCCCGTAATCAACCTCCCCTCAACAACAACTTTCGTAAACGGCGCGTCTGCCCTCTCCGCTGAGTGGCACATTAAGGTTAAGAGTGTTTTATGAAACATGCGATTTGGTACTTGATATTCGTACCTTGCGCAGGACTTTTGGCTACGTGGGACTGGATACACTGGGATTCAGCATTAAACCATGCATCTATCACCGGTATGGGAACTTCGGATTTACATTATATCCGTCGGAGTAATAGGCATCTTAAGGATCGGTATTGACTTAATTCCTCACATCGTGCATTTTACATGGCTGTTTCCGTCGTCTTTGGAGCTTAAACACCTTGGATAGATTACGCAGGCTCAAGCCTGTATGTTTCTCGAGTCTTAGGAGGTGCGAGCCTGGAACATCACGCCATCGAACTCTATAACATCTCGTCTCACTGAACCTGCCTGTCTCAAGGTGATATTTGTCACGTACTTTCCCGCTATTAGTTCAAGACTGTGGTATAGAGCAAGAACAAGTTTCAATTTATGAAGTGTAGCTTGCCCTATGAATTCCTGTGACGCAACAAATCCCTCGTCGCTCTTCCTCCAACCCCTTTCCACCCGTTTGCACTCCCTAGTTTCGTGCGACATTCTGACCGTCACCTTCCATCCCTCCCCGTCCCTCTCGTACGATGGTTCGATTCATCTGCAACCGACACCCAGCACTGCGTCATCAATGCCCAACTCTCCTTTCCTTCATCGACACTGATGCCCCCACGACTTCCCCCTATCCCGTCGAGCAGCCGCACGGGTTCTCATTCCTAGCACTATAATAATCTGGCAGTCCTCTCACTGATTCCTCTTTTCTTTTCCTTTCTTCTTCATGCGTGTAGCGATGGAAGAGGTAGCTCAAGAATTACTTCTTCCCCAGGGAGCCATTGCACATTGTGCCCCTGGGCTACCGGCCTTGTGCCCAATACAAGGTCGGGGAGCATTCGCACAATTTTTGATGCCCATTTGTTTTCATTGATCTCCTTGCTTTAAGCAGGGTCTCGAAGAAGACGCGTAGACTGAGAGGGGGGGCTGAAGGGAATGGGATGGGGATGGGAATGGCTGTAGTGTAGATGATTGATGGAAGGGGAGGAATGATAGACTTGGACAGAGGGGCGATGGTGAGGTTGGTGTGCTAATGAAGTGATGGGAGTGATGGAAATGAAATTGAGATGAAGGAAATTTGCTTCGTCGGGCTATCAAAAGGATAGCCGCGCTCTGCTCCGGATTTGAAGAAATCCATCTCAGCTTCGGACAAAGTATGAGGAAAAGAGTAGAAGAGAATCCAGACACCTTGGGGGGATCGAGTGCCTTATATAGTCGTAGACGAGTAAGGGTTGTAGCGCTATGATGAATACGACATCACTGACTTTGACCTTGTGAAAACTTGTCTGCCTTGAGTTGCATATTGGTACGGGAGCGGAGCGAATGGGCGCTCTAGGTTTTCTAAAGGATTACGTGTTTAATAGACAAGCTCGGAACTACGGTAAATGTTTACGAGCTATTTGCCTTGCTATGTCCCAGCACAGACATGGAATCAATGCGAGGACGTTAAGCATTGATGTCGTGAGACGTCTCCTTTGTGTATGGGTATCGGAGGATGACCACTGCAATGTACCATAGGCTGAGCATGTAACCCCTATACCTTAGGTACCTTCCATAGTATCATACCCACACTACCAGAGTGACTGTTACTCACTGATAGGCAATCAGATAGGCCATATGCTTCTATCCACCAGAACTCAAAGGGGGCTTGTGAAGTTGAAGGTGATGGCGACCTGACCCACCGCCACCTCGACCCTCTCGACAACTTTAAAAGGCTTTGAGTTCTGGTCCAAGGAATAGACTCGAAAGTGAGGCGAGTTATGGCGCATCTTATTATCGGGAACATTTTCGGGCTGGTGAAACCTGCCGCTAATGCGACTTGACGGTGCTGTAGGCTACAAGCGGTATGTAGTCTATATGATATAACGAAGGGTTGGATCATTATTATTCTTATCATGGCCATTTATATTGGACGAGGAGATCACTTGGGAGTAGGTGAAGCCATCGTGGCTGTTCTTCTCATCATGGCCATTTGTATTGCGCCTATCGAGTTACATAGAATGACGCTCATAACTCTTCTCATAGATGGAGGAGGCTGCTGTTAGATATGTCTCCTTTAAAATAGAAATTAGGAGTGATTTGTAAAGCGCACTACCCTTATGTTAGATCAATATAATTACTATATACGTGATTGATTGGTTATTTGTACGGTGGTCACCGATATATATGTAGGTATGCTGGGATGCTATTGCGATATTTACCCGATCCCTTGCTAAATCCCAGCCATTACAATGGCTAAGTTTATCTTTTTCCGACGTGGAAGCTGTAACTTGATGATAATCGGGAATGGGAGGAGGAAGAGTATTATATCGACAACCACTGCAATGACTCCTTTCCATAGTATAGCATATGCATCCCACGTCAAACAGGCATCGATGACAGTACTATTCAATAGATCTTTTCCAGCTGAATTACAATAAGCAGCTAGTATTGACGAACCTGCTACGAATTGCAAAAACGTCAAAACAATACCAGAATAGCATGTTATCCGAACCCACTTCATCGTTCCAAAGAGGCGAATGAAAAGGAAAAATAAGGGGGCTTTGGCAAAGAATGATAGGAATGACGCAGTGATAGTTTGGGCCGTTTCCGTCTAGAATAGGTTAGTAATATCAACGAAGGGGTTGAAGTAAACGTCTCTGGCTGATTTACGGATAAATAAAAGGAGTAAAGTTCATTTAACGTTTCTGGTCCTATTCCGCATATTATTAGATTCTGGCGTCGACAAAGGCTTTTGAACATACCAGGTGTAATTGTATAAACTAGGTTCGTATATGCCCTCACTACGAATATCCTCAGTATGAACACGACGACTAACAGTACAATCGCAACAATAGATAGATCTAACACGTCCTTCATTAGCATGTTAAACTTATGCGCAAATTAGACTGGGTAGAGCATTCGTAGACGTACATTCTTCAACCAGAAACTTCTTTTCTTTCCCCCAGGTATTCCATAAGCGGATAGTCACGAAAAAGGTAGAGAGGAGGATCGCAATTATCCCTACTCCAATATATAATCTCAGCGATACACTGCCTAAATTCGGATCAGTGCGATCCATCGCAGGAGGTGGTGGACGACCGGGCAATATCTATGATCTTGAAGCTCGGTCAATTATAGAAATGAGCAGAGCGCCGGTAGATTCTATATATTCGCTGAGCGGGACACCCCTATAGTAGGTGTGATTCGAGCTGAGCCCCCAATGCTCATGTCTTACAGAGTGGTGGTAGTACTCGCATCTTCATTATCGGTAATGATCAATCCCCGCCTCTCACATACATCTGGATAGCTACGATGACTGATTGAGGTCCTCTATTCTTCCAATCAGGTCGTCGGATTTACTCTCTAGAACTACACACCTGCTGTGCCTTATTTAAATGAAAACCTGAAAATAAAGAACGCCTAGCTTTATCAGTAGCGGTCAAATCTTAGAACCGGGTTCTCACTAGGAGTATCGAAAAATGTTTTATAACCACATCTCGTACTAAAGTATGATTTAGCCACCTAAGGTTGCTTCGACAGAGCTGTGTTATTACTTCTTACTCTCATCCTCACGGTTACGATATGAACTTTTGGGAACACACGCGAAACTTATTCACTACATGGGCAGATAGTGGTGCAAGTAATATGGATCAAGAAAAGAAACCTAATGCAGTATCTATCACGTATAAGTTTAGGTACGCTCAGTTATGTACGGTCAAGATTCAAGTGTGTGACAACGTGTATTTGAGATTAGGTGTTTGAGCTACGTACAATATATTGAGAAATCATCTAATATAGACATTTAGCTGATCAGGTAATACAGAGAGCTTTTGTTAGCAGTTTCAAAAAATAGAAATGAAATGTATTTTCAAAGTTCTATCTGCTAAAATGAGTGGCCAAAGGAACTGCTGGGGTGCTCGCGATAGGTGATCCCTTTCTTATAAATCTAATTGAAACGTCTGTTTATTACAAGGCTTAGGATTGGCGGCTGATATAACGCTGAAAGTAGAAATATATGTAAAAGCGAAGGATTGAGGAGAGCTCCACGACATTTCGGTCGGTATTTTAGCCTTACGAATCGATATCTATGCTACTTTAAACTGCTTGATAGTTTGTCGCATGACTATTATTGCTTATACCTGTTACAACTGTAGTTTCTCTTTAAGAGACTCTTAGAAGAAACATTCCATAAGATTATACTAAAGTGGGATCCTTGTATTACCCCGTCGGTTGTGCGTTTATATAAGGGGATCTCTCTACTGAACATGTTATAGATCGAGCCTGGCACCATTACATAAAAGATCGTACTCTCCAGTACGTAATATAATTGTCGCATTCTGGCTTCAAACTAAAATCTGGGCTACTAACAATCGCTACATAAAACATCCTAAATCCCTAAGTACCTAACTCTTACAAAATCAACCCAACAATTATACTCACAACTTACTATTCTTCCAAACCGGCTTCCGCCTCTCAACGAAGCTCTTCACGCCCTCAACCGCATTCTCCCCCTTCTCTATACGTCCAAACCAGCCCTTGAGCAGGATATCCGTGCCCTGCTCCGGCCCAACCCCTTCCCAGCCTAACTTCAACCCCTCGCGTGACACGATAACCGCATCGGGACTATTCCCCGCGATACGCTGCGCCCATTCTAGCGCCTTCTCCAGCACGGCTTTGCTATCGCCCTCCACGACTTCGTTCACCAGCCCCCACGCCAACATCTCCTTCGCGCCGTACTTCTTCCCGCTAAGTGCCATCTCCGCAGCCCGCTGCTTGCCTACGCTACGTACGAGCCGGGGCAATGCACCCGCTAGCGCGATGACCCCGATAGTAACCTCCGGAAGACTAAAACTCGCCGACGCAGCCGCGATGACCAAGTCGCAATTAATCGCCATCTCCATGCCGCCGCCGAAGCAAATGCCATTAACAGCGCCGATGATAGGCTTGAGCCCGCCGCGGTTACTCATGCCGCCAAAACCGCCGAGCGGGAAGCGCTTGTTCTGCCGGCCGTGCTCCTCCGCCGACACCGCCTTATCCGCAGAGGAAGAATTGATAGAATCCCATTCCTTCAGGTCTGCGCCCGCGCAGAAGGCCCTGCCGGAGCCGGTAATGACGGCGCAGCGCAGGGAGGGCTCCGCATCGTACCAGTCCCATAGGCGCTCGAGGGCGAAGTGCTGCGGGCGCGGGATCGCGTTGAGCTGTTGTGGGCGGTTGAGCGTTACGAGCAGGATGTGTGGGCTCGGGAAGGATATTAGGGTGTCTGGGACGTTGGGTGGTGGTGCTGTGAATGAAGACGGGAGTTGAGATTGGGGAGCCATGGTGGGTGTGTAAAAAGGAGGTTTGGGAATTTGGCAAATACGCAAGAGACGAAATCGATTTATTTAGGTTTGATATCTCTAGACGGGATGATGCAGGAAATAATGAAAGGTAAAGCGGTAAGTTAGATTATCTTCAGGCCGTGTAATTGCTCCCGAGACAAAAAGTATGAGATAAAATAAGCCAAATAAATGTTAAACAAAGTATAAATGAGATGTAAATAAGATTAACTATATTGAGTTCGCTCGGTTAGACTGGTAAGTTTGATGTTTTATTAAGAGTTCTTTATTAATCGATTCTCACCTTCAATTGCCTCGGCATTCCGTTAGACCCACAGTACTCCGCAAATCGCAAACCGGACCCGGACCACGGTTGTTACCCCTGACGGTCAAGCTCCGCACGTTACTACATATATTCAGTTACTCCAATTTACAGTACAAGTTGTTCTTAAATAATCAAGCAAAGTAGGTATAGCGAATATGCTTCGAAGAATAGCGCTATTATACTCCGTATTACTGTAATACATAGCTCTTGATATCCATAGAGCTATTGTTTCTTATGGTTATCATGTAGAATGAACCTCGCGTCTGAAGACAGGTATGGTTCATCCCCATCGATCCGGATATCCGAAGGGCATTCCCTTCATTATACTCCCTCCCCACACGCAGACTATCTCAAACTGCGGGTTAGATATCCTCAATTACAAGACGAACTTTTAAAATTTTGAATTGTACAGTGGTTACCGAGGTATGGTGTTATTGCAAGGCATCGAGAAATCAAAGTACCTTCTCACCCTAGGCAGAAAGACCACGCTTTTCACTCTCGGTAAAGAAAATAACCATCCTCCAAAGCTTCTTAACAAGAGCTTCGGCTTCATCATCCAAGGCCTAAAAGTATAGTTAGCATATTGGCATAGTTATTAATTAAAGAAATCGTGATATGATAAGTCACGTACCTCTGCTAATTCCTCTACCAGCTCCGCCGGTTTGCCGTGCTTCCGAAGGTGCTCTTCTACAACCTCGATAAGAAGTTGCTCCTGGACACCTAGATATTCGACCAGTTTCTTCTCGACAAAGGGCCTGAGCTTCTCGCGAATAACACTCTCGTCCAAGAAATCCCACTTAACGTCCCACTCCCAGAGTCCTTCCTTTTCGTTTGGAATTTCTTGTGCCAACGCACGCACAGCCTGGTCACGTTCTTCGTCGGACATGGCCGCAGCAGCAGCGGGCTCAAATTGAATTGGTATGAGCTGGCGCCTAGAAGTCGCATCTTCGTCTTCGTCCTCGAGAAGACCCTCAACCTCGGCGATGGTCTTCCTTTGTGGCGCCGCACGTTGTGCCTGCGCCTTCTGCGCAGCTGCGCCGAGAGATAACTTGAAGGGTTGAGGTGCGGTAATTCCGACCCTACTGGCTTGCCGCTGTTCCATCTCCTGAGCTTGCCTCTCGAGGAACGAATCAGCCATACCCCGGGCTTGCTCGCGCTCTGCCTCTTCCTTGACGCGTTCTTGCTCTTCTGCTTGTCGGTCCGTGTCATCGGCTGCTATTTCTCTAGCTCTAAATGCAGTGCGATTCCTGATCCAAGCGCTCCGGTCCTTGTAATAATCTTCCGACTTTCGTGATGCCTCCGCGTCGTCATCAAAATGTTTTAGTCGCTGGAGCACTTTATCTCTGTTCTTAGCAAAGTCTTTTGCATCCGAGCCGTCGCGCTCCTTCTCTCGCTCTAGGGCAGCTGTGCGAGACTTCTCCCGATTCAACCATCGGCGCTCGGCGTCCAGATAGAGCTTCTCAGTCTCCGCATTTTGCTTGGCGGTCCGACGACGCTCCAATTCCTCATCACTGGCCGAATCGTCGTCGTCATCCCTGCTATAAGATAGACCACCATTTGTCGTGCCGCCGTTAATAAAATTAATCGACCTATTGTAATCCTTGCCCATATCAGACTTCTGTCCCTTCGGACCAGATGGCGCATTCGGCATACCGCGCGGTCCTAGCGGGATATTATTTGAACTAGAAGGCGGCGGGGACGCTAATCGAGAGGGCCGAGATGCACCATTCCTTTGACGTTCCATTGCCTCGAGTTCTTCCTCCCTCTTCAAGCGTTCCATATCTCGCCTAATACTTCGTTCTCTGAAAGCGGCGATTTCGGCAGCAACGGTCTCGCGCATCTCAGCTGGGATGTCGGCTAGTTCGTCCTCCTGTGCCAAGGGGATATTAACCACCTCAACATTCTCGCCGTTCTGAGCCGAGCTGTCACCCATGGCGACATCCCCATCCGCGTCTGCTCCAGATCGCGAGGTAGGATAAAAGAGATTTTTTATGGTCTGCTTTAACGCACCTCTGGCAGCTTCCCGTCTTGCCTCTGCACCGGAGTCGTCAGGCCTGCTCTCCCTATACGCCTCTAGGTATTTTACCGAATTCTCATCTAGTTTAATTTCAAGGGTTGTTTTTTCGAAATTCGCGTAGGAATCGTCGTCGTTCGCGGGCTCGTCTACTGGTACTTGCTTTTTCACGGGTACCTTGATATCTTTTAGGATCTCGGAGGCGAGCCAGAGGGACTCGATATCTTCGAACTGGGCAAAGCCAAAGGTCATTTCTTTCCCACCAGCATCGACAGCTCTGTCCCAACGGCGCACCTTGCCCACAGTGCTGAGGATCTTCTCCACACCCTCGTTGCTACTAATTCCATCTGTGATACCACTCACAAAGACAGTCCGCACGATTTCCTCTTTGGTAGGTGGGACTAATGCTTGCATATTCTCGCGTATGGCCTGTCGCGTTTGGTCTAAGCCACGTTCCATCCCTATACCCGCTCTAGGTCCAGCAGAACTGGGGTTTTCGCTGTCTTTGCGACCTTGCATACCAGGGGTTGGGGGTTTCGTGGAGGTACCGAGACGAATGACGGGGGCGTTGAAGTTAATATTAGGCATATTCGGAGGAGCTTGGAAGTTGGATGGCAGACCGCTAGGTCGATTAGCTTGATTGATGTTGTGCTGCTGAACGCCAGGTGGTGGCGCCATTCCTGGGGCAGACATGCCTGGAGGAGGTCCTGGGGTAGATATCAGTATACGATAAATAACGAAATGCTCGATTGCGACAGCAACCTACCTAGACCAGGAGCAGACGGAACACCTGGAGCACCGCTAGCTCCAGGATATGAACCGTATGTCGGAGGCGGGCCGAAGCCAGGCACTTGAGGTGAGTATTATTATCAGCATCGTTCTAGTCCTTAGAATAACAGGACATATCAAGTAAACATATCAAGAAGCTACTTACCTCCACCGTAGGGATTATACGCCATAATAAGAATTGCTGAATGCTACTAGATTCCGGCAGACGTAATAGAGGGGAGGTAGGAAGTTAACCGAATAGATCGGTGACAAGGAGGTATGCGAATCGCAAGGCCTCGAATAAAATAAGAGAAAAGACTGATGATAGGACGAAAATGTTTAGCAAGGGCGAAGTAGTTTCGCGCGAGGTTTGAACGTTGACAAGGTTCCAGTTTATTAGAGGTAAAAGTTTAAGCACAGCCACACGTGGGGCTTACCTTTTTGAATCACCTTATCTTGATATGTAGATATCATGTACCGTAACGTACCTGAGATACGGCAAATCATCGGCACTAGAGTCACGGAAAAAAAGAGGACGGAGTGTGGACCCATCAAAAAATCGTAATGGACCGCAATTAACGGAACCTTGGAAGCTTCGCTTTCTTTAATCGCGACCACCGGAGGAAGTCCTTGGATCTCAAAGTCTCAATCCCGAGACTTGGCCAAGTTCCGCAAAAACTCTTAAGATGTAAGAATAAATAAATACCAAACACCAATTATGCTACACCTTCCCTAATATTTATATTTTATAGGGCTGAGTTCTCTCGGGTAGCGCAAGTCGCCGTTCGATCAACGTCACTCCTCCGAAGTTCCACGTCGAGATGGCAACCATGCTCCTTCTCGGCCGTGTCTACTCCCTTAATACCTAGTATAAGGTATATCTCAACCTCTCCGATTCTCCGATCAAATGATACCGGCAACGGCCTTCCTAAAGACCCTACTCTTCCTCCCAGATCGCCTCTAGCCCGGGTGCGGCACCAGAACTATTCTTCCTCTATTTGGGGCGATCCTTTTCCAGAAGAAAACAAAGGCGATGATGAAATCAAAAAGCCAAATATCTCGGCATACGATGACCCCTTCGCTCCCGAGATCGATTTCGAAACTGGCGAACTTAACAAGAACAAATTCCTAGAGGAACGACCAGTCCCTACCCGTCCTGCATTGCGCCTTGTCCCGCGAACTGGCCGTACTATTCATGTCACTCGAAATGCTGATGTAGCACGGTCATTTCAGCTTTTATCCATCCACGTATCGTCAAACAGGGTCCGTCATGACTTGAACTCTCAGAGGTACCACGAGCGACCAGGTCTAAAGCGAAAGAGGCTCAAGAGTGAGAGATGGCAGAAGAGATTTCAAAAGGGATTCAAGGCTTGTGTGAAGAGAGTCAGAGAGTTAACAAAGCAGGGCTGGTAAAATCCAGATCTTTCGTGTATAATTATCCAGGTCGACCTGAATCGTATCATTCATGTCGCCAATTGTATAGATCTAGATATGCTGTACATTATGCGACTATGCTCTCGAACCTTCGAACGCATAACTGTATCAAATGAAGAGGCAACAGTAGCGAAGTTGCCATAGTCAAAAAGGGGCGGGGCTATACTTGTTTTATACGACAAAAAAAGGTATATCCCTACCCTTCGACGTATTTATCACAATCCTAAAGGCATCAACTACCTATTTAATCTCGGCATCTTATCCAGGCAAACCTATAGCTAGTGGCAAACAACCCAAGCAAAAAAGGTGCGCCTATCAGTGTTCAGGCGACCGAACTGCGAATAAGATATCATATTTAATACCCAATGCCGTTACAAGTCAATGGTGAATTTATAAAGATCTCATTGTCCTGATTAGCATTAATCAATAACTCAAACACTTGAGGAAAATGTTAACATCATGTGTACCTAGGTACATAATAAGCAACCAAGAGAAACGTGCCGAGTGCCATGTTAGGTCGGAACGGCCTCGAAAGAAAAGTTTGATTGTCTAGTAGATTTGTAAAAGGAATTGGTATCTCTTGTTTACTTACGAGAGTATGGCTACTAGAAATAGTTATAATATAACTCAGAGTCTAAGCATAGACGAAGACCAAGGACACAAATCTACAAGATGCACTGGAAACTAAAACTCTCGACGTATGCCTCTAGCTGGCTCCAGACGGGTCTCAAAAATATTAACAGGGTTTACTAGACAGCCAAGTTGAGCAGGGAGAAGTGTATAGCAGGATAGAAGTCAAAATACTAGATATTTCTACACAAAAGGAGAGTAGCGTAGACACGTCAATATATTTCGGAACCCAACAATGCCGAGGGAGCTTCACAAAAGTGGAATGTAGAAGCTACGGGAAGAAGAATAAGCGGTGAGAGGCAGCAGAGACCTTAAGATAAAGGAGCTGAGCCTCCGTTGCTGAAAGGGATTATTTTGTCTGGAGATTTAACACATACACAGAAAGGATTGTGAGCAGAGATAGAAAAGCCACAAGAGTAAATTTTAAACGACCTACATTAGGCACGAGAAGGATCTAATGCAACGCTCCGAAATGTATGCACTTATAGAAACCATAACTGCTAGTCTCCTATGGATAGCCAGAGGGCGTAATTTACAACTTAGCAGCGCACAAACTGATGCCAAAGTTGCAAAGCTTGAAAGACAAGTCAAAAGGATACGGTTAAGGCTTGATAAATATGACAAGAAGTTTCAAAGAGAAGACCAAAAGATCAAAGATATGAAAACGAGCAAACAAGAAATCGCGGCGCCGCAGCAAACGTTCGGAGAAACAGAACGCCAAGACAACAATAAGCACACAAATATAATTCAAATATCATCGGAAATAGAAGCGGAAACCATACAGCTAAAATCGAAGGAGGAAGAATTGGTTGGCCTAAGACAAGAGCTAGGGCAAGTAATTGTAGAGTTAGAGAAGCTACGGAAGCAGGAAAGTTTGCATCAAGAAGCTCTACAGCGAGAACAGAAGGATTTCAGTGTAAAGTTACAGGGTGTTAAGAATACACTGAACAACGATATCCAATGTTTAACCAATAAACTGAGAGTAGAAGAAAAAAGGAAACATCTACTTTTTCAACAAGTTCAAACACTCCAGGGAACAGTCCGTGTAATATGTCGCATCCGACCAGATACATCCGGTCAGTTACTGGAATACACAACGGAGACAGGATACTTCTACGACCACGCGACTAAGTTAATAATAGTCCAGGAAGAAGCGCTGCAGTATGAGTTTGAGCGGATATTTCTCCCCAAGGATACAAACGATGATATTTTCAACGGAATCAGCCACTTCGTGAAATCGGTCCTTGACGGGAAAAAGGCTTGTATATTCTGCTATGGCCAATCGGGTACCGGTAAGACATACACGATGAGTAATCTAGATAACGTGGGGAATCGAAAAGACGACGTCGACTACGAGAATGATGGTATTATCCCAAGGGTGAAGACAATGATCTTCAGCGAGAAGAAAAGGCTCCGCGAGCTCGGCACTGAGCTCGTGGTTAGTGCACGCTGTTTTGAGATCTACGACGAGAATCTGTGGTTAATACGAGCAGACGGAAGTAAGGAGAAACCACGGGCTGTGAGCAGCATCGTGAATTCAGAATTCCAGACGCTCGACTCGGCTAAGGACTTCAGCGCTTTAGTCAACACCGGGATGAAAAATAGACATTTCGGAGCGACTGCTTTGAACAAGAGCTCGTCTCGGTCTCATTTCATCATTAGCCTCAAAATAGTCACCAAAATCGACGGTGGCCACGGTAAACCACGCGAAGGCCTGTTCAGCCTGGTAGATCTCGCGGGCTTCGAGAGGACCGAACAAGCAGAAACCATGGGGAAAGCTTTCAAGGAAGGCAACGACATTAACTTATCACTCATGGCACTAAGAAGCACATTAGACGCTCTTGCCAAGAATAGACCCCTAAAGTTTAGGGATAGTATACTCACGATGGTCCTGCAGCCCTTTCTTGGCGAGGACAGCATGACACTCATGTTTGTTATGATTAGCCTTTTGAAGGATAACTGGCAGGCGACTAAGTGGACACTCGAGCTTGCGAAGATCGTAAGTTAGGAATGTTTATGGCTTAGGTACTCTGTTTATTGTATATTAAGACGCTAACCACCGGTCATGATTTAGGCTCGGGTCGCAAAGAAACGAAACAGAGATAGTGAACGTGCGGCAGCGGCAGCGGCGGCGGGAAGGAGGAAGCCGAACGTACCAGCAAGTACAGCTCAACTGCGAAGGGGCAGGAAATAAGCAAAATCCGTCAGCTATTTGGGGGAGGGGGGAGGAGATCTTGGTTCGAATTCTCGTGATGTACCTACCTAGGAGGTAGGCAGTTCGGTTAAGCTGGGTAATGACCAAATGAAACCTCTCGGGCGTCCAATACCAATACCTGTTTACAAGATACATCTCGATACGGACATTCACGAATCTTAGAGTGTATCATTCCCGGTCAAGGGTAGAAAGGGACGGCAAGAAAAAAAAGCCTCAAAAGAGCTGATCTCACCGGTGTCTTCAAGGCCGTACTTCTGCATACACCGGTTCAGACGCCCCTTTGCCATTGCGTCACGATGAATCGTCTCCCTCTCACGAGACGTGAATGCCGGGGTCGCGACAATCTCCGCTCACTCCCAGGAACAGGTTTTACTTCTTAATGACGGGAACTTGATAAAGCCTCATATTATGCCATGGCCACGGACGGATTCATGGGTTGTGATTGGGCTGGGGCGCGTTTACTCGGGCTTCTTCATACATTAACGAGGCGACAAATGGCGTCTTGACTTTGCTGGCCCCTGACAATCATTGAACACGCCCAGGTAAGCACTCCCACCGACATGTGGCCACCATTTAGATCGTGTATTTCACTCAACGAAGGATACCTACTGCAGGCGTGTTAAGTCCGTGAGAATCGTACCGAACGCACTTTTGCCGCCCCTGTTACGGGCCGCGTTCCCCTTGTTACGGACTCACCCTGTTGCTTTTTGCGAGCAGTAGGTACATTCCGATTAGGATCTTCCTAAGAGGCCAAGAGAGCTACTCACGCTCATTCTAGCGGCTACTTGGCCCCGTAAGATGTCAGTAAGTGAGCTCCGTAAATAGAATAGAAAGTTGATCGGTTATTAACATTACGTAGCCCCTTGTCACCCTCGACCTAGTCATTTCATCTGTTCCTTGTGGGAGGGGGTTGAGTGGCTGATGGTGGAGGACAGGACGCATCGGAGGCCGTTGAGCTCGAAGCTAGGTCGCTAGTAGGTACATCGATTCGAATCAATAATTCTACGCGCAGATGCATTGTGCTTGGGTGGCTGCTAGGCACATTACAGGCTGGTCAGCAGGCTCCACTGGCCAAAGCGTATCACGACAGTGATGGCCCCCCTGGAAGACTCTGTCTATCGACTGTCACACTGCTCCTTGTGGGATCATAAAATTTAATACATAGAGGATCTTTTTATTTGAATGGCTTTGGCTTCCGGACAGCACGGAACTCCCATGTTTTCCGCGCCCACTTGGATACATGGCCTGCTTGAGCTTCCTCTTGTAGTATTCACATCGTAATCTTTACTTAGGCAGCTAGCTTCATACCTAAAACATACCACATACCCACGGCCCCATGGTGAGCACTGTCGAACAGTATTTTGATTATCGTATCAAAGATATCATCCAGCTTACTTGGTCTAATGTTTGCTGTGGAGAGAACGGGGTGTAAATATTGGCACTGTTATTATCTTAACTGACTATACGTAATTGGAACGGTAGTTTCCCAGTATCTAGATATAAGACATAGTTTAATCTACAATAGGAGTTAAGAGCAATGTGTTATTCCGTGTGCAATACAGTGGTGAAGTACTAGTTGTAACCTTGACCTAATATCTTGAAAGTGTTTCCAGTTTGACACAGTTAAGAAATCGAAGCCGCTTGGTAGAAGCTAGCAGAAAAATAAAGATGAATAAAGGTATATATTGCTTACATATGCACGAGGACTAAGTTATATGTTTACAATCTGTATTTACAAGGTAATGAGGGTTTAAATACTTTGCTATTTAATATCAGCTCCAAGCGCTATAAGATGAATTATTGTTAGGTATTGCACTAAAATTGTTAAAAGAATATGTTTTTTACGAAAGAAGTATGTAATAAAAGCAGCTAATTATCCCTTTACGGGGTCGTATATAGGTAAGAATTTTTGCTATTTTTGACTTGGTCTTGTTTCCTGATGGTATATTTTGATTCCTCTGTTCGATTGCCGGTGCTTGTGAGCATTTATTTAGGTGTGCTACTTTTAGAGTAAAGGAGGACCCGTATCCACGTTTTGTAGCTTGTGAATGCAAGAAAAATGTATCTTTAGAACAAATAAGTTCTCTATCCATATGGGGTGCGGATGAGCTTCAATTAGGAGTAGGATTAGTTGAGCTATACTACGTTATACGTCATCGTGATGCCGGCACTTCCGCCGAGTTCAAATACATCTTAAACCTATTTCCTACTGTTTACGATAGCATACTTGGAAACTGGTAGCTCATAGTTATATTTAATGGAAACCATTTCGCCAGTATCCTCTCCACGTATGCTTGTCCATGTATTTCTCAGGTCCCGGGCTCAATTATATATTCAATAAAGGCACTGGGGGGTGGTATCATTCATATCGCGTCGGTCCCTCTGGATAATGATGAGGTCGTGGTGTGTGTAGTACGGCTCGGGTGCTGGAATCAACTCGTGGCGGACGTAGTAATCAAAAGGACCTGAAGGAAACTTGGCGGTGAGTCCGGGTTGCTTTACATGCTAAAATAGAATGGTTAACATGAGAGATGCTGTCATACCTATTGAAAACGGTGTCAAACCCACCTTCCTCACAGCCTATCTATATCTGAATAGCACATAGAAACATTAGAGATATGGAGCGAAGTTGGATATAGTAAACGGCAATAGTTTAGTGGGCTAGTATGTCTGATAGTAAAATCGTTGTAGTATTTAGACTATGTACGGAGTTAACTGTTATGATTAATTCGCTTATTCCTGCTCTTTCAACTAGGGCTATAGACTAAATATTATAGGTATGGCAACACCACGACGCACGGATATGTGAAAGGGGAGTGGAGACTGGATATCCTGTTGTCCATAAGAATTACAGCACTCTGTGCGCTATATTTCTGATAAATCATGGCTATGTCTTCGAGGTAATATGGGGAACCTCACGTCATTATCAAATGTCAGAGCGTATACGGCAGCAAATTCTCCTCGGTCACCCCTCAAAACGTCAATATCTGGTTATGGTGGAACGGCGAATGTGACATAGGAGATCTCGATGAAGGCTCCGTTCCCTCGGGGTGGGAGTTTGACGCGTGTCCGTTAAAGTACCTACTTAGGTACGTATCGAGTGCTAAATGGAGAATAGTTTTCGGCAGGGCTGAACATATGTTGGTTACTCGTTGAAAAGATGATGGTCTGAGCTCCTACTAGTTAAATCATACTACTTTAGCTCTTTCTCTCTTCTTTGCAGCTTTTTGCGTGGCGACAGGGATAATGAAACGACACCATTGCGAAAAGTGAGGCGGGAGAAATGAATTTGACATCTTCAAAAGTTTGGTTGGTTTTTAGAGCGACGAAAATGTTTATAATCCGTGTTCGCCTCGAGTTAGCCCGAGTGAAACTAATTTGGTGCTTTAATTGGTATTTTCAGGAAAGCTGTGCCGTTGATGCCGGCACCGAATGAGATAATGGGTCAGTTTTTATCAATTTACGAATCTAACTATATAGTGGAATGATCATTAATACACCTTTAAGCAGTTGGTAAGGCTGTCCACCAACCAAAAAGATCTATCCGGTGAAGCATAGCAAATATTGTACATTCTTCCGGTGGGAAAGCTTGTAACCAATACAAAACCCGAGCCTAAACTTCCTCTTGTGAACGCACAATCTGGTTATACACGTGGGTAGATAGGAGGCATTGATGCCCCCTATACCTGGAACAGTCCAGAAACCCTCCCACAGACCACCAAATCGTTTGACCGTGGAGCCACATAATGTTATTACGTAGCGGCTATAGATTTAATGACAATGACAATGACAGCTCCAATAGCCAAGCCCTTTAGATTGTTTGAAAGAAAGCTCTACGAATCCAGGCCAGCCTGGTCTGCCTTGCCATTATCGCAAAGGGTGCTTTGGGAACTATTCTTTCATATCCATGGGGGCCACCAGGCCACACATGGAGCTCTGCTTGAACCCCACCTTCCCATAGTTTGGAGGCGAATGCCACAATCTCATCCCGGAAGGGTTCAGCCGAAGCGCAGTCGAGGTATGTCGGTGGCAACCCTGAGAGATCCTGCCCTCGAGCAGGTGCTTCGTATTCAGTAACAGAGCTGCTCCCAGCGCGCTCACCGAGGAGGCAACGCCAGGCAAACCTGTTTAGAGTCGAGTTATAAAATGGGCCGGTGGAAAACTGTTGGGACGAAACCTTTTCGTTCCTATCGTCGAGCATGGGGCATTCGAGAACAAGGCCACACAGCTTCGGGCCGCCTTTATCACGTGCCATCAATGCTGTAGCCGCTGCCAAACCGCCCCCAGCAGATGTGCCGTAGAGCAGCAGGCGGTCAGGATCGATACCTAGTTCTGAGAGGTGCTTACCAGCCCAGAGCAATGCAGCGTAACAGTCTTCTGCAGGCTGCGTACCGGTATTCTCTGGCGCACGTCCGTACTCCACACTTATAGCGATGGCATTGAACTCCCTTGCCCATACGACACTAGTATCCAATCCCGCGAAGCGATCTGCTGCAACTAAGGCGCCACCGTGGATGTAGAAAATGCATGGATGCTGATCACCCGTCGCGGCCGCTGGCCGTACAACCGAGACCGTTAGATCCCTTCGAGGCCCAGGGATTGTAACGTCGTCGACTTTAACACTCTCGTCGGTAAGTAGAGCGTTCGTGAGAGGCTGAGTCCTCGCCGCCGCATCCTTCCTAAGCTTCTCAACCTCATACCTCTCAGGCGTGCCGCCTAGAGCTTTGAATATCGCGTCTATCTCAGCGTCATAAGGTGGTCTTGGCAAGCGGTCAGCTGGCCCCGCCAAAACCTTGCGCATTCTGAGTGAGGCCGTAATCTGCGTAGATAGTCCAACAAGTCCGGGGTGGCATAGGGGTGAGGGCTTCCGTGTCGAGTTGAGATGCCCTTGAGAGTTTGGGTACTACGCGCCCAAGAAGTGGCCGGTCGAGGAGAGGGTTTGACATTTATATCGGAGCATTACATGTACAGGGGCTAAGTCGATGGCGACAAGCTAACCTAGCGTGTCCATTGCAAGGGATGGAGAACTAGCTGGAGACGCCTTAACCAATCGCGTGAAGCATAGCTAGGAAAATTTCCGGTAGTCGGTGAGGATCGAAGAGAAGGCGTCTTTGGAGATCGATTCCACAAAAGACGGTTCCTTTGGAGAACCGGCCAAGCGGATAGCGAAATAATTCGCATATCTCGAACCAGTTCAACATACGGTTAAGTTCAAATATAGCTTCCTATCGCGACCAATCGTCGGAATTAAGACCCGAATAAATGGGTGCTTCGGTAAACTAAAGCTACCACTTTTGTTATCTTTCTGACGATTTAATTCGGTAGGTAGTTCGAAACTGTGGTTGTCAGTAAGACTTAATGTAACTAAGTGTCAATGCACTCTTTTTTTATCACTTGCTTAACGGCCATCTCCTATCTGTTCTCCGAAATGACTGATCATCTGCATAGTGACTGGTCAGAATTTACGTGTCGGCGATAAAGATGGCGACATAGAGTGAGGCCGATAGTGGAAATATGTATAGAAGGGAAACAAACTCTTGTCTATAAGAAGTCCCGTGACGAGACTTATATGCATGCTGCATGCAAGCCGCAATCATCCATGGTTCAATACTCTTATATAGAAGCTATATTACAGAGTAGAAGCTGCAAGAAGAAACCCGGAGCCATGGAATCCAAGGAAGAAGCATACCTAAGCGGAGTGCATTAAAACGTATATTTGCGTTTATAAGATATATTTGCGTTTATAAGGTATAAGAAAACTCTCTTATATCGAGGAGGGGTGAATAATAACGAAGGATTTTTTTTTTCAGACTCGTCATATTTCTAATTATAATAAAAAGTAAAACAGATCTGATCCTATCTGCTCACCGATCTTAACACATTCCCCAAACTATCCCCAGACGCCACTACCACACCATTATGTACGATGGCGAGCCATGGAGTTCCGAAGACGACCGAGGTAGTTCGAGGCGCACCCGTGAATATTGTTCTAAAAGCCGATCAGCGCACGGGCCGCCAAGTAAGCGGAACTGTTCGTGATGTTCTGACACGAGGTGACCACCATCGCGGTATCAAAGTTCGACTTACTGATGGTCGTATCGGGCGGGTCCAGAGTATGGGCACTACTACTTCATCAGCATCAATATCAAATGCTATCTCCGATGATGATGTAACATCAGGAAGTACGTCAATTATAGGTGGACCAGTCGATTTGGTGGAGGGGACTACTTCACAGCCACGTGCGCATCGCCCGCGTTATCGGGACGCGAGGCTAGAAGAGCCGCTTGATGTTCCACCTGATCAGGCTGACTTAGGTGCATATATTGTACCTTCAAGACGCAAGGGCAAAAACAAAAATGGTTCCAAGCAGACTGACCAGCCAGATGGGTCGGCCCGGGGTGACCAGTCCTTAAGGAGTAACGTGGTGGCAAATTCTACTACGGATGTAACATCGACCACGGTGACATGCCCAGTCTGTGGCGCATTCGAAGGAGACGAGACGGCTGTGGCTCACCACGTGTCGGAACACTTTGAATAAAATGAATCCGCTGGCGGGCTTCTAGACAAAATTTGGTGTTGGTTAACTCGATGGCTATACCAAGCCGAATACCGATCAAAGAAGGGGTTAGGATAATCTGTATGAACCGTAGCGGGGAAATCCTCAAATATGCTGCGTACCATGGTAGAGTTTGCTCTCATGGCCCCTTGGCCCGGTCTGCTCTTCTGCAATCGGTATTCTACTCGACTACTAGCTTCCAGCATGGCCATAAGCATCTAGCCAGCAATGACGGAAGTGGTCATCGATGTAATGTACTCAAATGAATCGTTTCCGACAATGGTGACCTCAAGGTCATCTCTACTGAAGAGGGAGATGCCATCAGGGTGTTCAACCCACCATCAAGGTTCTCCTATTCGGTCCCTTATAGCCGCCAGTCATTCTATGGATTTTCTGTTACTATTTCTCATAACACCGAGGGTACACAAATATGACTGGTAGAGAGATGAGCGATATACGGGTCCACGACGTCGTTATTATCGGCGCTGGACCCTGCGGCCTTGCTGTTGCAGCGCGATTGTCCGAACGCATGCCGGCAGCGAACTTCTCAGACGATGAACATCAAAGGTACCATTGGATTAGGAAACACCGAAATCATGCCAGTATCAAAAACTACAAGACGGGATTCGAGACGCGTCGAATGTCGTCTACCGCTTCACCAGGTAGTGCGGGCCTAGACCTTCTGGTGCTAGACGCCACAGACAACTGTTGGATGGCACGATGGGATACCCTATTCAAGACATTCGATATCTCTCATCTCCGAAGTCCAATGTTCTTCCATGTCGACCCAGCCGAACGAGATGGCCTGCTGGCATTTACATATAGAAATGATAGAGGGAATGAACTTACAGAGCTTCGGGGCTGTGTTGGGAAGGAACTGAGTAAACACCAAAGAAAGAAGAGGGAGAGGGCCGGAAGAATGTAAGCTTTCCTATTCGAGTTTCCAATGCGGGCATGCACTCAACCATGAAAGACCACGGACAGAACCCACTGTTGACGAACGTGATCGAAACGATTATTTTGTTCCTTCGACGCCTCTTTTCGCTTCGCATTGCGGATGTCTTATGGACCGCTATGGATTACGCGGCAATATTGTAAGCCATGAAAAAGTGGACGACATTCGCTACGACTACGTCGAAGACGTCTCCGAAGCCGACAAGGTCTTCACTGTCCGAACAGATAGGGGTATCCATTACGCAAAGACCGTAGTGTTGGCCGTGGGTGGTAACCCACCCCAGATCCCCGATAATCTCTCAGAGGGGGCGGAGGGAGCAACACACGCTATGCATATTAAGGAATTTCCGTCTTCTCACGTTAGAGAAAAACTGAGTACTAGATCCCCTGTTAACATCGTGATTGTCGGAGGAGGGTTAACCTCAGCTCAACTGTCTGACCTGGCCATTCGTCGCGGGGTAAATAAGGTGTGGTTGTTGATGCGTGGACCCCTTAAAGTGAAATATTTCGATATAGGGCTCGAATGGGTGGGCAAGTTCCGAAACTTCGAGCAAGCCGCCTTCTGGACATCCGATTCCGCTGAGGAGCGATGGGAGAAGATAATGACTGCTCGGAACGGGGGTAGCATTACGCCGGCATACAAGAAAGTCCTTGAGCGGCATCTCTCTACTGGGCGGTTGTCCTTACTACAGAACACCACGATTAAGGATAAGAGCTGGGACCCGTGCTCCAAGACTTGGACGGTGTCGCTATCGGACGAGAGCCAAGAACTCCCTCGGATCGACCATATCTACTTCGCAACTGGCGTTCAGGGCAATTTCGAATGCCTTCCCTTCTTGAAGTCGATGTGCTCTGATTATCCTATTGAAAACTGCGGGGGTATGCCATGTATTACGGAGAATATGGCGGTAAGCTTGTTGCATATTTGTTTGTTGTTTACCCCTGAATGCCCCTTTGGGGGTTCTGATAGTTGCTATCGATGTTCCCTAGTCTCGAGTTACTTATGTCCTCTTTTATACTCTAGTTGTATAACACAGCTAACTCGGCATACCGCAGTGGAGAGACGACGTCCCCATGTTCCTAGCCGGCAGGCTTGCTGCGTTGCAGCTGGGACCCGGCGCCCCAAACCTAATCGGTGCTAGGATTGGAGCCGAGAGGATTGCTTGGTCAATCCAAGATGTCCTAGGTGCTAGGGACTCTGGGAACGATATCGACTCTGACAAGTGTGAGTTCGATTACCTTACTGGGAGGGGTAGTCGCTACGACGCCCTAAGCGAGGATATATAGAGACCGGATTGAGTAGTGCACCGGCCAAAAGCTACCCAGGTATGAAGTCTCATAAAACTAAAAACACTCACGAAAGTGATCGAGCATGAGCACTACAGTTAAGGCCATCCCATAACAAAGCTTAACACTCGGCGGAACGATCTTCGGAGGAAATATCGGAACACCAATTTGTTTAATGAGTTGCTGAATTGATAGTCAATTAAGTAGTTGCATTTGGCATATCTTGAAGCGCCTTCAAGATGGTACTTACGTTAAACTAAGGTCGTGCAATTAGGCGTTGATCTAATAAAAAACGCATCCGAAGGCCAGCAATCTTACTAAATTCTAGTAAAAATGCTACGACGAGACGCATCAAAAGTCACCTATGACAATCATTACAGCCAAAGCATAGGATACTTTGAAATTTACTGAAATTACCATGAGTAGCAACGTTTTAAAGATATAATGTGTTACTCAAGACGGAGTCCTTCATAGGCCTAAAGCCCGTACAAAATACAGGATATCATCAAACCCCCAATTTGTTGTACAAGCGCCACCAGCGAGTCAGTAATCCGGTAGGAGCTCAATGCTTCCCGGGAATGATCTTCTCGAAAGTCCTCTTTACTTTATTAAAAGAGTTACGTCTCCTCTGTTTATTAATGGTTAGCATCTTTCAGCGCCAGACATGGACCGAGTACTGAGGAACTTACCTCGGCCCGAGCAGCTCGCTCCTCAGCTCCGTGTATCAACTGGTATTCAGCCTCTGCGGCTTCGTCTGTGATTCCTCGCTTCATTGCGGCTTCGTGCTCATGCTCTTCTTGTTCGGCATGATGTATCATGTCGTGCGCGCCCATGACGGCATTATCTGGAAGTCCGTGGCCGTCGGCAGACATAGCGATTAATGTTATTTCTGATGTTGGTATTGATTTTGATTGTGCTTGAATATTCTTCGGAATGTGTATGTTGATGGCAAACTAAACCAAGTCCTATTAGAATCGAAGGAAACTCGGGCATCTATATAATTGCGTTAGTTTCCTGGACGGGCCATCCATCTCGTGATGTCTCATGACGAATGACTTCATGTTTTGATGTTAGCCGTGCGACGCTGCGCGAACGAGACTAGCACCCCATTTACAACCTCGAGTTCGCTCGAAGGTTCGAGTATTTGTTCATTGGCACGTCATACGCTGTCGATCCACGTCGTTCGTCTGGGGTAAATGCGGAGGAACACGGAGGAGGGCAAATCCCCAACCCTCCACCATCGCCGACCGCAACCTTAGATCTACGAACAAAATCGATCGCGGCGCTAGTTTGAACAACCGGTCCGCGTCATATGTAACATTAGGAAACTCTAAGATTGACGATATGACGGTAGTGTCAATTAGAATGAGTTTAGTAGCTATCGTCCTCATTCTTCGTCCCCGGCGTGCCGGCTCTGCGAGCTTGGCATCGAATCGAAAAGTTCTGCTGGAAAGTTCTAGCCCGGCAGATGACTAGGTACCTAGGCACCTACACCAAGTCTAGCAAATAGCTCTATATGTTTAGGACCAGATAACGTCTTCCCTTTTGGTCGGAGAGAAGAGTTACAATAACCTGTAAGCAGTCTGTAGCACATGGCGAGAGACATGTTCACAAGCTTTTTAATATTAACTAACCTTCCGACTGTTCTACTGTCACACGGTACAACACTCTATATAATATTCCTTCAAGTTAGCTTAGCCCCGAGGTACTTCGTAGCTCTACATGCATTGGCTCCAGCATGGGGCTTCGCACCTGTATAAGCTATTGGCGCCATGTAGCCGACTCTGGAACTATAGTGTCACCACTTTGGTCATCGTTGAAAGTACCCTAAATGCATTCTATACAATTTATTTAGGTGCCTTTCTATATACTAGAATCCTTTTGACGAAACTGCGCCTCTAAATAGGCACCCCATAGGTAATATCTACAACGTCTGCTAGCTTGATCTGCTTTAGGAGGGTATTGAACTGATATCATTTGAGTAGTAGATATTATATGCTTAAATAGACATGTTCTTCCCTGCGTGGCATAGTTATTGTTTCTTTCTACGCATTGCTCCAAGCTACACCGTTACCTTCCCATCGAAAATAGTCGGAATTGGTGCATGTTTACGTTGGTCTTCCTCTTACCTTACAGCCTCTAATTGCTAAAAACTCATCAAAACGTTCTCGCCTCACCTAGTGGAATAAGAGGAGGCTCGGTCACCTCTGAAAGGCTATCCTTGGTCGGCGCAACACAATATTGGGATGAAGGCAATATGATGAAAACTAAGTATAATGTTTATGTTGCAATTTCAACCGGGTTAACATTTAACATTTCTTATATGACGATATATGATCTTCCGGGATATCTTAATACACTCCTTACTACAACGGTGAAACACAATGTCTACCGACCGGATGGGGAACCGATGAGCCGCCTTCTGGAAGTTGGCTTCGCTCTTCAAAACTCAAACTTGAGTAAGGTCATTTCAGGAATCGGAGATACCTTGACCAATGAGATTCGGAGCAACAATCCGGGAGACAACTATAACGCTTCTACGATCACAGGGAAGGCCTTTTTTAATGAGCCTTATATTCATGTTCGTTGGCCAGTGAGTACCACCTAGAACTATCTTTCCTTTCTCTTTCCTTCTGAAATTATACCTACCTCTTTTTTTGTTTTCTTTTTGTCTCTGTTTACTATTAAATTGTTGACATTTTATGTGGTAGTGGATGATTTTGCCGCTGGCCGAGACTGCGCTGGCGGCAGTTTTACTCATCGCTTCGATTATTATTACTCGCAAGCAGCCTTTACTGAAGCAATCAATTATTTCGTTCCTACTAAATCGGGTAGAAGGATTAGCGACGTAGGAAGATGACTTGATGGTATCTTAGGTTGGCACGTGAGGGACTCCTGAATCCACTCTTTCAAAGGATTGCTTACCCCTATTTCGGTACTTGAATACAAGAATGCTGACAGGATGATATCTCCGTTATAAGTATTCATTGCTAAACCAAAGTAACTTTGCACCAAACCTATAGCATATCACCAACTCATGTCTGCAATAGAACCATCTTGTAATTCTATTTGAAAAAGGTATAATGTCTCGTCTTAGCCGTGGGTGCTTGAGATGCCGCCAACGGCGAGTCAAATGCGACGAAGGACGTCCTGCTTGTCGGCGTTGCGTAAACCGCAATGAGGCGTGCGAAGGATATCGCGATGAAGCAAGCATAGTATTTCGTCACGAGAGGAAGAAAGTCGTTGAGCGTGCTAATGCTATGGCAATATCACCCGCTACGACGGCATCGCGGAGTTCTAGACGGAGGAGCCGATCTACCGACAACGGGTCATATCGGAGCAGACCGTCTATAACATTTATCTACCCTTCTAAGCTCACGGCGGAACGGGCTCCCGGACTGAGGTTACCGGAGCGGTTTCCGTGGACGAATACAATCCCGGATCATTTGCGACCTACCCCCGAAGATGATGCTGTCAATCGGTTTATGGATAAATATGTCTTATATCCATGCAACGAGACATCATCACCCGGCTTTCTTGAACACCTTCCATGTCTATTCAAAGACGTAAATGTGGAAGGTCGCTTCGCTCTACGCTGGGCCGTTCGGGCTGCGGCGTTCGCTGATTTGTCGAAGGCGGAAAATAGCGACGCCCTAGAAGCCAAAGCATTCCATTGCTACGGGTTATCGCTTTCCGCACTGAGCGAATCGTTAAAAGCGGTGGGCAAGGTCCCTGATGACTACGATCTCATGGCGGTGGTTATATTGGATATCTTTGAGGTATGCATGGGCGTTATTTAATCCTCATATGCATATGCTGAGTCCTTAGACTTTCTTTATTGATAATCCAGCAATGAGGGGAGCTCACGCTCAGGGAAGTACGTAGAATTAAGAGTCCCCTGGTCCCCTGCACCTCTTCAGCCCCTTTTGGGATGCCAAGATTTCTTTACTAAGCTACCCTTAATCCTGAGACCTGCCCTGCCCCCCATATGCTCCTCAAAAGCAATTATTCACTCTATTTATTCTAGTGGCGCAGATCCTAAGACTGCGGGGATCGGACCAGATTTATAGCCCTCGAGGCTGGAGTCTATTTAGGCTTGCTCACCATAGAATTGTAGGTTTACCCCCCAGCAAGGCAAATTAGGCCAATAGGATATTTACGAGTTATAGCAAAAACAGCAGTTGGCTTTCAATATAAAACCACTCGATGAGTCAGACCATTGGATTGGCCAGTTGAAAGATGACATGCCTTTTGTTCGTCTAGAGAAAGACTCTCTTTACATTAGCAAGACATGCGGGCGGGCGAGGGCGTTACAGGATGCCCTAGCTAGCGGTAGCTCGTCGATATCTGAGATCCTGGACATAGTGCACGAATTAATGAAGCTCGACAATGAGGCGGTTAGCTGGCGGCAGAAGCCAGAATGGTCGTACAAGGTCTTAAACGTGTGCGACTTGCCCCCTTTCTCTCCTTCCATACGACCCCTAGCCAGCACTATTCAACTCCACCCCGATCTCTGGATTGCCTATGAGTGGAACTACCATCGTGTAGCGCGAATAATTGCCCACCAGCAGATTTTGAAGTGCCTAAAAGCCGCAATGGAATCCCTCAGCCCGGATGATGTAGCAAATGAGACTCTACAATTCTTGATTGAGCAATCCACCGGAACGATACGGGTGCTAGCTGATGAAGTCCTTTCAACTGTGCCTCAAAGCTTTGGCGATATCGACAACTTAGGACGCTTACACGATGATCATAAAGTGGGACCTCCACGGTGTCGGGGAATAGGGGGATACCTTCTACTCTGGCCTATCAAAATCATCAAAGCGGAACAATTCGCAACGACGCCAGAGCAAAAGCACAAGGGGCAAACAGTATTTGAGCGGATTAGAGAGTACACCGGAATGAAGTCACATCTTGGTTCTCTAAGCATTATATGACTTGAATGCCAGGTCAGTTAATACAATCAATCAGTGGCATCCAGGGGCATATTAAAAAGGGGTAATGGCAATCACGTGGCTCTATTTCTAACATATATTAGGTACATAAATCATTCTAATTGAATAGAATATACCCAAACCCCTGTCCGAATACCTTGGAGTTCTAACCTCTATTCATATCATGGGCCCCCTTAACCAACCAAGCCTAAACCCGCTCCTATAAGGAATCTAGCAAGCATCAGAACTATTTTCGATCAGGGTCTCCCCCAGCTCCTGTCCGTTCGGTAGTTTGACCTTTTCCGCTCCCACCATGACGAATGCGATTCTACAGACCTCATCCGTGCGGTTGTGCCACACGTGGTTGACTCCCTGCTGCACGACCATCTCGCCCGCCTTAATAGTCCTCTCCTCGCCACCGTCCAGCCCAAGCACAATCTCGCCCGACAGTACGGCGCAGTAGTCTAAGCTGGAGGTGCGGTGCATCAGTGACCTATAGTGGGGCGCCATATTGGCTATGCAGAACATGACACCCGCCGGCTCAGGACGGGGAATCGTGTTCTGGAGGTCCTGCGGTTCGTCCTGGTTGTTTACAGGCACCGAAGAGCGAGTGTCAAAGATCGAGAAGGAACTTCCTCCTAGCCCGAAAGGTATGAAGGGTTGGTGTATTCGGTCCGAGTGAACGATAGAGGTTCCCTCTTCGTCGTGGGCCGTGACGACCACGCGGACGCCGGGTGATGGGGTGACGTCTGAATTCATGATGAGTTTTTAATGATGGACTTCGATGTGATTTACCTTGGCTGCGACGGAGTGTCCTGAGGCGAACTATAGTTGGCGAAGGATATAATATACAGGTAGGTAGGGATTACAGGCCGTTCCAAGGCCACTAGGTTAGGAGGTAGTTATGCACTGTCCAATGTTGGTAAGAACCAGACAAAGAAGAACCAGACAAAGGCTATGTCTTGAGGATTCGGTAGTGAGTCATTGAGAGGAGCACGAAAAGCAAACTCCAACTCCGGAAGCCGGTTTTTATACATGAAGTCTCTCCTATATGATACTAGTAGAATGTTAGACTGCTAGTAAATATTTACCTTAAGTAGGTACCTAGTTAACTTATATCAGAACCTGAATCTATATCGAAGGCACGTACCTCGTGGCACTAACCAGATCCAGCTTTTGACACGAAATGAGCAGTTGCGTAGCAGAACTGAATCCGCGACTCCCCCGATGACCCCATGCCGGCAGTAGGAGTTGAAAGCGCGAGACACTCCACTTGCATTGTAAAGAGATACGTTTAGCGGCAATGATGTCAATTTCCCCTTACTTAGCGCGCTGCGCACGTGCTGTTCGGTATATAGGAGTACACGATTGGCGACCTTTAATCAACTTTCTAAGACTTATATCCTATTTCTTGACCATGGTTACTTTGACAGAATCGTACGATGTCTAGTTTGTTTTAGTGATAAACTACTAGGTAGTCTTGTCGGATACCCTCCACATGTCATAGCGATATATTTAGGCACGTATATAATTGAATTGCGATATAGACGTTCCATTGGACTCTGAACTTTGGAGGGGTTTCTTACCAGGTACTAGGTTAGTGGGGGAAAATGCACCGCAGCTACGTTAATTAGAAAGGTTTGGCGGTAATCCGTATTCACTCTCCTCAACCCCACCCTAAAATATAAGGTGAATTATTTGAGAAAATTTCAACCGTCTAAAGCCCCTATAGCTCAGTGGTAGAGCGTTCCACTCGTATCATGTGATTATATTATGTATGATTTAGTGTACATCGAAATGGAGAGGTCCATCGTTCAATCCGGTGTGGGGGCACTTTCTTTTTTTCCTTTTTTTCCTTTTTTTCTTATCTTTCTATTATCATCATCATTATCTAACCTAGACCACTAGATTATATCATCGGTCTTAATTACCTACCTACTCTTTATCAATAGCTTGTCAATTTCCAGGGTTTAAGCATAACAACGCTTTATTGTTATTATATAGGTACATACGTACACCCTTGCCAGGCAGGCCAGGATATACAATACACTAAACCTTAGTGGCCTCCACTGCCCCATGCTGTGGTGGCTAGTACGGGGTATATTTTTTGACGCCATTCTTCATCCAAGTCCTACAGGTAACTTACATATAGGCTATTTTATGAAGAAAATATGTAGTAGCCTATGTCAGTAGCTTGTGCGAGGCTTGATATCTTCAGAATTCGAGATCAACGAAAGATCAATAAGTAAAGACCAAAGGATTTCTTATAAAAATTCCCTAGTAGCTACTTTATGGAGGCCACAAAAGTTTACCATCCTAGCAGAAGTGTACAGGTAAGTAGCGATTGTGTTCACGCACAGCATTGTTTCGAGAGGTGTGAGAACTAATATTTTGCCATCTTTAACTCCATCTATATAAAGTATCTCGGACATAGGGCCTGAATTGTTATATTGTCGGGATAGCCCATGGGTTTATGTAGTGGTCTATGACTCTACCCAAGTGTTCCACAGTATTTGGTCTTTCTTCATTGGCTTCCCCAAGAAAACCCACGGGAAATAACTAGCAAACTTCATAGCTTTGGCAGACAGTATAGTAGCGTAGTGTAGCTGGTTATGATCTGATGGGATTTATTGTTCCATCCTATCTTACCCGTGACGGTTGGTTGTACATACTGCAAGGGAACCTCCGCTATATTACCTCCTTACTTTTGAACGTTCCGTGGAGGCACTTACATCACGTACCTAAGAATTTGACTGGTGTTTATAGGTACAATGACTACATGTATCGCATACAGTTAACTATGCGGGGTGTACACCGGATCTCTTAGAAGTGAACAATGTAGCTGACACGGGTGCGCTGAAGGGCCGCTAAGCTCCACTCTATCTTAAGGCACAAGGAGAATAATAAGTGCCGCGCGATCTGCATGTTTTAATCTGACCAGAAAGGATCGCTAACATGGTACAGGGGACTAAACTGCAAGAATTCAAGGGTACAAAGTCCCTCTTCAAAGGCTTTTGCAAGCTTCTTTGCTCGCCAGATTTGCCAAACCCGGTCGACAGCTGCTTTTGGACTAGGATTGTTTACTGCCGAGCCGTTCAATTTCTCTGAAACCTAGGTTTCCTAACTGCTAAATCAAGAGTGCGGGCTATATCGTTAGCACGAGTACCGTGAGGTCCGAACGATACCTATTGGTAACAATGCCACGTCTGGTAATGTTAAGCATGTCTTAACTGACTGTCACGGTTCCGTTAGGTAGCATACCACTGTCATGGCTTAATCCGGTCCCTATGATTGGGACATAATATATTACGACTAAAATACACATCGCCCTATATTATATAGACGACCTGCCAAAAACTTAAACGAGCCAAGTTAAGTAGGCTGAGGGAACCTCTGGAAATCAGAGTTGGGAAGTTTGGTTCGAGAGGTATATCTCTGGGTCTCTCCTACGCTGGATCGTAGGAACGTAATGGTATGGAATTGTTGCCTGCTTCTGTGGAGTATTTGTCTGACTGATGCGAAGATTGCGGATCGGGGATTTGGCGTAATTGGTTGATGTCGTTTGCGTCTTTGCTGGAGCGGGAGGGAAGAAATAAACTAATACTGGTTTCAATGTTGGAAGACAAGCTGATATTACAGCAATAGACAATTCAATGTTAGCCCAGAAGAAGACAGGCGATGTATAATCTAATTATAGAGATGCTTTAGTGATCGCACGCTGCAATATGTTCTCATAGATACCTAACGTACATGTGTCATCGTCAGTGAAGATAAGATACAGCGAATTCACTTCCAATGACTGGACAAGCCGAGCAACGCTGACGGCGACAACGCTAGAAGGACTTATTAGCGACTGGTGTTCTTCGGGATATTAGAAGGCCAATACTTGCATTGCACCCAGCAGGAACATTCCAAGCACTCCGAGCCTATCCCTCCAAGGCAGATGTAACCGTAAGACAATAGGAATTGGCATAGCTAGGATGAGAATATCAAATATCAGATCAGTGACGAGGGTGGAAAGAAACACGGCGGCTTCATCAACGCATTTATTGTTATAATATGGTTCTATCAACGGTGTGACAGGATAACAGCTATACCGAGAGTCAGTAATTACTTTTCTAAGAAATGGTTTTAAAAATGTCAAGCATGTCTCAGGAGCACTGACTCCTCGTTCATCTTGATTAGGGAACCTTGGCTCCAAAGACAGGCTAAAAGACAAAAAAGGAACTCTCGGTATTACTCACATGAATAGATTAGCGAAGAAGAAGGAAATGGACCATACGCCGAGCAGTCCAAGCATGACATAGACGGCCCATCGGAAAAGGCGAATATTATGAAAGATTCCATCGTAGAAGACGAGGATCGATGATTTCACAAGCCCGAAGCCGATGGGACTGAGGACATTGACGGCGAGCTTAGTCTGGGAGAGTATATCGTTAGGTATGTCTATTAGTTATGCGGTACAGTCTGTCCCACTGCTCACCCTTTCGTAGACCAGGAACCCTGGATCATCCAACATAGGTTGGCTATCAGGCCCTAGGGCTTGATGCTTACCTAGTTGTCCATCGATAGTAGCTATGAGACTCTTAGCTACCGAGTTCGAGATACCCATAGAGAGAGACCAATAACTTACCATAGAGCTGTAAAGCGCAACAAGTATATCCAACGAGCAGCCCCCCGAAGCATAACCAGTCATATGCAGATACATGCTTGCGCTTCAACCTTCTTGCCCATAGTCTTAACCCGAAAAATATTGTAGGTAGAATGTTGGAGCCAACGGCCAGGCCTATCATCAACTCTTCGCTATATGGTCCCAGCATCTCGGTAGTATGGTTAATGATCATACAATGTGAGATTACGGAGGGCATACCAAGGGGAGAGGTCATTGAAAGCTTGTAACCAATACAAAACCCGAACCTAAACTTCCTCTTGTAAACGCACAATCTGGATATATACCTACGTGGGTAGATAGGAGGCAATGATTCCCCCTATACCTGAAACAATCTAGACAACCTCCCGCAGACCACTGAATCGTTTTCAAATATACCTTTCACTAGGTCAACGCCTAATGGCACAACTTTAATTCGACGTAAATACTATCCTGAAAAGGCTTAATAATATAACAAATGCAACTACTTAATCGACTATTAATTTAGCAACTTATTAAATAAATTGTTTTCCCGATATTTCTTCCGAAAATCGCTCCGCCGGATGTTGAGTTTGTTCGTTATGGGATGATCTAAGCTACAGTGCTTATGCTCGACCACTTTCGTAAAGAGTTATGAGCATTTCAAGGAACACAGAGGTAGTAGTAAATTGTAAATAACATGATTCGTACAAGGTGATAGTATTAGCTTATTTAAAGGATATCCCAGGGTCTCTATTTTTGCTTCTCACTGATATTCGTATTTTCTAGGTATTTAACAGGTAGATATTTCATAATGTACTTCCTCTTTCCCGCTAGTTATCTAAACTAACTTCTTCTCAAGCATGCGGTATTCAGTAGGCCCTGTAAGTAGCGGTGCCAACTGCGGGTAGTCAAGCAAAAAGTCTCGACGCTTTACGATCTGATAGCCCAACTTCGTGTACCATTTCTGCAGGCGGATTTTGAATGGGTGCTCGAAATGTTTCGGAAATAGGACGTCAAGTTGGGTGAAAACAACTCCAGAACCCCCTAGCTCGCTGAGGCAACACTGCTCAGCAAACGCGAGCAGGTCCCCACCAAGTCCGTTACCGCGTAGCTCGGCCACGACTGCCAATAGGCCGAGTTCGGCGCGGGATTCACCAAGTTTCCGAATAGAAATACAGCCTAGAGGAATACGACCACCGGACGATGTATGTTGTGACGTAACTGCTAGTTCGCCGGATCGCACGAGAGTTGCTACGTCTTGCGCCGACGTTCGTAGGTAGCCGGGTTTGAAAATACCAGCCTCGGTTTCCGTGTATGCGGCGTTTATAACTTCCACGAGAGCTGCCACGAAAGCCTCGTCGTCCGCAGCAGATGAGGGCGGGATCTCAATTATAACTTCCTGGTCCAACTTCATCGGTGGGCCTGGCAGTCCTCCCCTAACGGGCGCCGAGGGCACGCTAACGGGAGAGGTTATAGATTGTCTCGAGATGACTTCCGTGGCATCTGTATCGTGTGAGGCCATGATGCAGTTATTTAATATATGAAGACTCTATAAGATGCCACATGTTATATGATAGTTGACTACAATTCAAAGATAATATCTCGGTTCGGCTGAACGAAGAGTCAAGTTTATACCTAAGGTATCCTATTACACGATGTCCGACTTTAGGGCAAAATAGCTCCGCCCCGGTTACATGAGTCACTTAGATACGTAGGTACCTAGCAATGCCCTACGCTATGTTAATAATAAAGAGAGCCCAACGCAATCAGTTCAGAAGCGGTACGGTATGAGTAATTCTTACAACCAAGTCGGTCGGTATATCTCGGTTAACCTCATCTATCCTTGACTATAAGTTTTCAGTAAAGAATCTATGTGGTATAAGTTTACATTATAGATTGTACTTCACTTATCAATCCGAGTATCAGTCGTTGCATGTTGAGTTAATTATGAATATCCTCGTAAGCTTAAAGCATAGTTATATATATATATATATATATATTGAACTTCGAGATCTGTTTCTACTTCAAAGTATTAAGCTACCTCGTGATCCGTCTCGAAAACGCTAGCCGTTTCCTTCAACAACGATAAATCAATAAGACCCATTATCCGGCCGTCGAGCCGTCTTACATTTTCATCCCAGTACCAATACACACCGCATACTGCTATCGTTAGAATAATCTGCGCGATTCCTAGACCCAATGTAGCTGACTTAAGATCATCCCACGAAAAAACAGCATTAGGGAGACCTAGGATAAGGGCACCTGCGACAATATTCCGGAAGCATGTAAGACTGCCATGCATATCCGCCGTGTTGCGCAGGCAGACTGTAAGGTTCGCCGAAGTGAAAGCCGTAGATCGCTGGATGACGGGCCAGAACGTGCTGTCCAAAGCCAGAGACCCAGCCGCCAGAAGTCCGAGGAGGAACGACACTACTGGGAGACTGACTCGATCTAACCCAAAGCTCCACGGCATGTTGAAGGGCATTGTTGAGCTATCTGTAGGCATTTCCATCGATCCAGAGAGGTAGAGGCCAAACCCTAACATCCCAATTGAAGCAAAAGTAGTACCAAGAGCAAGCGTCGCGAGATGGACAGTTCGCGAAAAGCGCTTAAGAAATGAAGGAAAGGCAAGCACAACAGCTATAGGGGTAGCAAGGAGAAAGGGGGCTGTCATTAAGGAGCCAATAGACGCCGAAGATAACATGAAAGGAAGTGGGGAAAAGAGCATCGAAAGTGAGTGTAGTAGGCTCCAATAACCAGCATATGGCAGAAGGGTCACGGCAAAAAGGAGTGCGGTCGTCGGTGCAATTATGGCTCGGGGGGCTTGCAATATTAGTGCGAGGTTAATTTCATTCGCCTGGTATGACCAAGGCTTCATCTTAGTAATGTACTTCATGACAGCCTCCTTTGTGTATGTCATATTCGGCCAGAGCGACTGGGAACGTTCAATGGTTGGTACCTCGACGTCCAATATGGCACGATTGTACGCCGTCTCTGGAGCGCCCAGCACAAGTAATAAGATGGAGAACGTTAAGAAGGCGCTCATAATCTCGAACTGCAACTCAAATCCCCTAGGACCAGCTGAAGCAACGCCGCCAAGGAGCGGAGAGCCTAACATAGTTGCGACTGAGATAGCATGATGAAGGATAATCTTAGATTGCCTCTCATGCTCCTGAACAGGCGAATTAGCGCATGAAATTTGAAGGAAAATCGCAAGGGGGTTTTACTAACAAAATATGTATCGTGGATCGACCCAAGGACCAGAGTATCGAAGGCACCCCAGCCCAACCCCTGGAATATCCTCGCCGCCATATTTTGTGCCAGGTCCCCCCTCACTCTTGTGTTCCAAGCAGTCCCTATAAATATCATCACCATTGAAATCAAGTATACCGGCCTTTTACCCCATATCCTCGATATTGTTAAAGAAGCTAACCCCGTTATCGCAGACATCATTAATGGGACGGCGGTTAAGGCTACCGCTGCCGTATATGAGACCCATTCCCCCATTGCAATAACACTGTTTACGCTGATATAAGCCGTCTTCATCGTCCCTACTAGTGCGACCATAGAAAGTAACGCTGCTAGATTTAGATGTTTCTTCCACAATGGCCAATTCAAAGGATCATTGGGATCCTCGCTGGGCCGTGGAGACAATTCGACGTTCGCATGTTTTCCTGTGCCGTACTTGATAGTCCGTTTCGATCCCGTAGTCGAATATGACAACGCAGTATCTGTAGTTACCGCAGTGGCTGCGGTCTTCGGCCTAGGATCCTTTGATATCGGCCTCGGAGGGCGCTTCCCCATCGACGGTATGCCCAACGATAGCCTTCCATCGCGCCCATTCCCTCCTAGCACCGTCAGCAACGATTCTAGCGTGCTCGAAATTGTTGATGCTCGATTAATATTCGACCCCTCAGTCTTCCCACCAAGATACGAAGGTAAGTGTAATGGCGACGGCGGCGGTAGAGGCGGGAGCGTCTTCCGATAATTAACTGGCGGCTTTGGTGTTGCAGGTAGACTCATCTTCGGATTTGATATCTCAACCATCGGCCCCGGAGATGCCATGACGGCGATTATTGCGATATGGTCCCTCCTCTGACGACGGACCTCTCACTGAAACTTTCGCGACAAGTAGTTATCTCACGACCGTTGTCCTAAGCCTAAGAATGCGCGGTCGACTTTATCGCCAGCACGCGAAAACGACCACCAATTGATGAGGGCAATTAAGAAGTGTAATTAACAAAGGGCGACCAGGCCCACGAAGATCTACTTCGAAGAAATGAAAGCGCAATAAAATGTTAGTACAATATTGAAGACGGCGAACACCACGTTGGTGTTGCAAATGTAAGAAACTCAACTACGAAGAGGCACTCGTAGAACCGAGATCAGTAAGGTTCCCATTCACTGGCAGGATGGCACGGACACTTGCTGTGTGAGATCGCCATAGAGCTTCATGGGTATCGCGGACGCTAGTCGGTGTGAACAAGGATATTATGTACTATATCTCAAAATATGGCTCGGGTTTGGTGAGCCCGGCTCACTGGCAGACTGGCGAAACAGCCCAGAGTTAAGTAAATCCTCGATAATAACTTGATCGAGGTAAACAAAATCCTGTTATCGTCATTCCTAATCCCCCTCCGAGCCATCTATTAATTGTTCTCATGATCACGAGGCGAAGCAAGTGGTTTATGAGTCTCAGGATCTATGAGATAGAGTGCGAGTCCCAGGATGTCAACGGTGTGAAAGGATCCAAGTCTGCCAAGCTAAAATCCTTCCCTCTGCACAACATCTCACCTACAGCATCATTTCCGAGCAGCAAGAAAACGCCTTTCGGTAAGAAGCATAGAATGTTACTTACCTAGGTGCATTAGGTATTTAATCTCTTAACCAGATCAATATGATATTTTACTTGCGGTTTAGATCTGGACCAACGGAATAGATCGAGGACGAAGACAGTGAAAAGAAAAAGAGAAGAAAGAAAAAGCTCACGGAGCAATTCGGCAGATTCCGATCAGCGCTCGGGCCAGTCACCAGTGTGAAACTCGCCTGACGCAGGGAGTACGTCGCGGATCATCCCGCGCTGCATCAACGAAGACAGATACCTACCACACCATAGAAAACCGGCCAGCTAAATGCAAGTCCAACTCCAAACCGGACGAGCAAACACTCACCAAAGAATCGTTATGGACCAGAATATCCGACAGGCCATCCATCGTAAGATGGCCTTACTCTATACATATGCCAAGTCCACGTACCCAAAGCAAGTCTTCTTCCCTGTTTCCATGTGAACGTGGCCCTAGCGTAGTTGAACCTCATCGTCCCGTACGATCGGAGAATTAAGGATAGGGCCGGTGATCCTCGAAGCAGCCGCTAACGCACGTATTTATGTACAAGTGAACATATCATCTTGCCATGTGTGTGTGCGCTAGTGTATGACTCGGTCTAGACTCGGTACTATGGTATGCGCCTGGGCCGCGATCCATGCAGGAACGACGCAGCCAGTCCCGGACGGCAACGGGCATAACCGGGTAGGGAGGCGAGGGTCGATGACGGTGAGCCCCCGACAGGTGAACCGGACTAGGTAGCTCGAATCTACACATGTAAATATGTAGGTTGGGTACGTACATTCATGCACTCATATATCGTCTCGCGCTCGTCACGGCCCGTAGAGCTAGCGGTGAGACTCGACGTAGGTGACACATCACCGATGAGGAGTCCTAGATAATGTAGCATATGTATTTCGGTGTTTTTTGACGATGCCGACCTAATTATACTCGACTTGTTATTAACTGTCTCGTACGATGATGAATCTGGATCGATTCCCAAAAACCAGCACCACTAATAAAGCAGTCGTTCATCTCAACGCGCCATGAATTCGTAAGATAGAGAAATTTGTATGGGAATACTCTAGATTCTAAGTTATTATAACCAAATTTTAATTCTACAAAGTCCATCTTCGAAGTAGAAACGCTAGCTCTATATGAGCGGTTTATATAAACTCCAAGCACATCATTAAAAAAGACAAAACCCTGTCGCCGAATCGCATGGTCTGACATATGTCAATCCCCATGTCCCTGTATTATACCCATAACATTAAACATCGTATCTCATTAAGGTCCGTAAGCCCGTACCGCGTTCGTGGCGGTTTACATAACGAACGTCGTAACCATCGACTGAAATAGTCGCTCTGACGGGACGGCGCATTGTAGAAAGCTATTACAGGGCTGGTAAACCGCGCCGGTACCTGGAAAGTAAACGGCTCCTAAAATATCAAGATATGTGAGTCAATGTTCTTCAATCTAAATAAGTAGTGGATCTCCGACCAAGGATGGTCGGAGAGTGATAAGCACGGCCAGAATCAGCCAATGCAGCTCGCGTTGGTTGGTTTCCATTTCGGGTTCGGTTCGGTCCACTGGGCCAATATTATCCCTTCGCACCGACGGAACATGCTCAACAGCTTTGTTGGTTGTGTCGCATCACGGTTTGATCCGCGAATGTGGCTCTCATGTCTCGTAGCCAGCCCATAGATGGACTAGCTATTGGGTTTAAGATTGATAGCAACCTTCGTTCGGTAGCAAGAATCTGAAATAATAACCGAGTCCAGATGTTTTTATCTTGAAGATTCTCAATGTTGGGATGGCCGTAGCTCTTCACATGGATGCAATTACGACTGCTTTACCTGCATGAGTTTCTTCTTGAGTTTCAGATGACTCAAAGCTGAGAAGTAGCCAGTTTGCTCTTATAAGCAACTCTGCGATAATTTCGTAAGCTTGTGATGAATGATTAAATATCAATTCTTTGGATTAACATACCTTGGTACTCTAATGAATATGTAACCGAAGGCTCGTCATCTCGACCGAAGAGGACGGGTGCTGGTATGCTCTCGTCCTCAACGACTCGGAATCTTATGCCGACGGTCTTTGACGAATCGGTCCAGAGGATGGTCCGTTCATCTGAGCCCGAACCTGCTTGCTGTTGCGTCCTTGCTGCTGCTTTTGCTGCCTCGTTCAACCAGCCACGCCATACACGGACCACGTTGTCGGTGATGTTGGCAAAGCTGGAAAACAAACCGTGTCTGGGTCCCACCTTAACCAGGTTGGTTATTGTGCATAGCTGGGAGAAGAGTTCGCCAGAGTCTAGGGAAAGTTCGTGCGACGGCATCCGGACAATCTGTCCCGCTGCCTTTTCGGAGTCGAGGTATGGGCGAAAGCGTGCGTATATGTTGTTGAGCTCTCCGAGGTCAGCAACTTCGCCGGCCTCGGTGAGTCCATGCATCCCTTGGAACTCGCAGTGCAGCGAAGGCGTACTAAGCTTCTCGCTTGGGTGAAAGCTTTCAAGAATCACTTCGTGATCCTCAAGCCTCGATGTTTCCACAAGGCGCGCATAGTGCACTCGGCCAACGAGTCCATAGAAGCGGCGGCAGACAGCAGCAAGGGGCAACAGCGAGCGAGTCGGGAAATTGCTCAGAACATTGATAATGACCTTTCGGGTAGGTGTTAATATTTGCGAAACTTGACTAAGTCATGTCAGATATAAGGGATCTCATACCTCGTTCGGGAGAGAATCTATCGAGAGATGGGAATGAGCCATGACGTGCGATATGGGCAAGGGCAAGGGCAAAGATACGTAGTAAGGGTCAATAGAAAAACAAAAGCACGTCGTCGTGGCCTCAAAGGAAAACCCAGACACGTACTACTAGGACCGAAGGACTATTTATATCAAGCTGTTCGGGACCCTTAGCTGGGATATTCGGGATGTGTGTGGACCTAATGCGGCCACGACGGCCAATGTAAATGGCGAATCACGGCCTTAGGCCAACGCGACGACAGTCCTTGTTCGTATACCCAGTCGAATTTGAGGCTCTGATAATGTCGGTCTGCGATCTTAGCGCAATCAGATGTTGTAGATCGACTGTGTTGCCGAACGAAAGCCGACGATGTACGTAGAGGCTCAGCCGTTACCTAACCACGCCAGATCAGGCGAGTTGTCGTTTGACTCCTTAAGTGCGCCCGGTTTGCTCCGAGATAACTTTCCCCCTTGCGTAATATAGAAAATTTTGATAATACGATATGAGCTGAGTTTTTTTTTATGGGGTTTCTCTTTTCTTTGATAAGTCTTTCAGCTTGTCTAGGTATGTATATTGAATATTATTTTGGTGAAATAGTAACACCGAAGAACCGTTTCTCTAATATGTTTGGAATAATGATGACAACGGTCATCTTTTTGCCACATTTCCGAAAGTCGTTATCGTCGTTATCTTAATGGGCACAGTAAGTTAAGTGTGAATATTACTATATAGACTGTATAATCGTCAACCTAGTGTAAGGCATCATTCAGGGGCAAATCCCCTTTTTTGCATATTGCTTCTAAGGTGTTTATTACAAGTGTTTTAAAATAAAACACGCGAATTACACAATACCCCTGTAAAACACCTAAAATCACGAATAATTCCGAATTATTCGCCGGAACTGGAATATCCACCTTCCCATACAAGCCATATGTATTCTAGCCACATTTAACATAGTCATTTAGCCACTTTCCAGCCATTGCTTCGATGGTACAATCATGTTATCTCCGAGATACAGAGATCGGCCATACGTATATTTTAATTGGTTAATATTCTTTTGCCGATATGTCTCTTCTTAAGTTATTTTTGTCCTGTTAGGAGACAAGATGACCCGAAAATGCCAAGGCCCGAGTTGATATCTCCCAGGGCCGAATTTATTCCTTCCTTGGAATCATCCAGCGATCCGTGAGCTTAATTAGACGTAGAAGCGTATGCGATTTAATCAGTTTGCATCGTACTACATATCCATTTATCACGATGACCATTTATAATAGGTGCTATTTCGTAGGTTCGTTACTAAGTTACGAATGCCGCTTATCCACAGCAGGCCGAGTCCTAACATTTTAAATGCTTTAATATAGACATGCAGTTCATCCCGATCGATAGAGAAGATAGGGGTAAGTATTTTCAGCCACTTGCGATACTGTCAGTCTTCTAATATGTCTTCTAATATGTCAATCCTCTCAACTACAAGTCTAAGTAAGAACACTCCGATATGTAGCGCTGCCAACATATCGCAAAATTAGCCATGGCTCCTTACTAACTACCTGGGTAGAAATCGATATAGGGCATGATAGCCTTATTTTCCAATACGATTTCCAAGCATGATTTTCAGTGTGCATAAGTATGCTACTACCGTATTCAAGTACCTCCATGTATCAACTGAGCCTCATATTACCTATTACCCCTCCAGCATGACCCAACCAATCTTTGACTTCATAAAGGCACCAATATCGTTGATCTCATGTAATAATCTGCACCAATGCCCAAGATCGCGGTAAAGCTTCCAGACAACTCCATATGCGGCAGCCTGCATTGTCTACACTGTAGCATCGCCCTGCTTATACGACTTCTTCTCACATGCATTGCCATGTCCGAGGGATATTAGCGTGCATTGTGGCGTTGCCAAGGGCGGAAGGCAGAGAGGGTCTCTCCCAAAAATAAGAGCCTTAACTGGTAGATCTTAGGCTTATAACTTAACTTCATTGCTAGATTCCAATGCGGTGAATGGATCGTCTTCATCAATTTCCATATCGTCGTCCCGGCTTGCCTCTTCGATATCTTTACGACATGATAAATAGCCAGACATCCCGACAAAGCCACAAAATAGCTACCTAAGAGGTAGTCAAGGGCAAGCAGCGCACAGAGCGACATGGCACAGCCTTAGTCAAGCCACCTAATAATCACGTTCTGCGGTGAAACTATCAAGACTTTTTAGCGTATAAGCTGCTCTGGTTCTACAGCATATTACACCAACCCCCAGATCTGGGCCTCTTTCCGATACTCTAGATTGGAGTTACAGGCGATATTAAGGCATAGGAGAGCGACGGGGTTTCGCCGTGGGAAAGATATAGCGAGCGTTGGGCAGCAATTGTTGGAATGTTTCGGCCGCTTGAAGTTAGGCCCGTCTCGAGGAGCTCGCTCCCTAACTTCTTCCCGTTTGAGCCTAATCCGCAGAGGGTAATTATAGTGCGAGAATGAGCCGTTGTGGGCTTAACAGTATACGCATCCGAATCACTTCGGTTGGTTCGATCCGGGGGTGATAGATTTCGACACGCCATTCAGCTTGCAGTTTTTAGGAGATGGTCTACGAGATCTTCTTTGGAGTTAACTATAGATTGCCGGAAACTGGAGTTCTAATAACGAAAGCTACATCTAGAAAACATAGCTGAAGAAGACGTAGTGATGCTAGAATTCCGATACGGATAACAAGGCATACTGGGTATTCGTTTGACTTATTCTTGACTTAATTAGTCTATTGTTGTTCATGGGCTAATAATGAGCTTATTTGTGGTGTTCCGGAACACAACTTACTGATAGTGGGGCATACAAGCCTCGAAGAGTCTAGACAGAGGTGCATGCAGGTAAGGGATTCAATACATATACCTACCTAGGTAGTGTATGACCCCAAATGCGAGTTTCCTTGGCGTAAAGTGGATATACTTGAATATAATGCTATACCCTTCTAAGCATTAATAACTACATTCTATAAGGCATATTGATAGTGTATATGTATGTGTTGTTGTCTATTACTTAGGTTGTCTTCAGTAACAAGGCCAAGCCCATTGTCGATCATAGTCTCACAGGAAAGAAGTAGCTATCGCACTTAAAACTATCGATACTATCAACGAAGACCCTTTGGGCTGACGCGGCTCGCGCATATACTGAGACGCCTAAACATTGATAATTGTTTCCAGTTAGTCCATTATATGTGGCTTTCACTACTTTTAGTTAAACCCCTAAACGAATTCCAATATAGTGCGCCTAAAATGCATCTCATTTTCTCTACATAAGTAGTAAGTATATGCCCTTAGCATAAGGATATAAGTATGCTTGCAAGTATATCCGTATGTTTGTTTTAAACGGGCGCGAGTTATGAACTAAACTAACTGCTGTTCACGAGTAAAGGCTATACAGTTACAAATTTGCCGAACTGCTAAACTTGCTTTCCAAATTTGGGAAATGATACGGATTCGGTGTTGGTAGTTTATTCTAAGTATAGGAACGATTCGGTACTTTATTTTGCGATGTTGTCCGAGAAGTAAGTCTAACATGTTGTATTTTCGGAGACAAAGAACCAACAACTCGGGAAGTTGAATTTAGCGCAGAGTATAGTTCCAACCTACCTGTTTGCGTAATAAATACCGAAACGACTACATAAGGTATATCGGGTACGTTGACGCCAATATAGTGTTGCAGTTACTACATGAGACAATATCATGTTCAAGTCTCTCTGCAGTTGTTAGCTCTTCCCAATCAATAGCCTTCGATTGACTACCCTGCCACACTTATCAACAAGAAACCAAGCAATGAAATCAAGTTTTGTCAGGTGCCGGAGACCTACCGTGTGGCCTAGTCTAATCCTCCGACTATTACTGTGTTTAATCAATGTTATGCGATCGCAGAGACTAGCTTCCTGTCAACACGGCACACACAGTAAGTGTTCTAACGAAATAAAACTAGTCTCCCAAGATCTCGATGTATACATATAGTCTTGTTCATGAGTACTTACATGAGATGATCATCGGCAGCAAGCGCTATTTATGGGCGATCTGAAATTAATTAGGTAATCTTGGTTATGCTATGCCCTATCAGTTAAATTATTAACCAACCACCTTCTCACCGGTGAGCTCGTTTTCCGGACAGGAACAGTAGCAATGCGATGGATTTGAGCAGATATTCCCTCCGTCACCTCGCAAAAAAATGGTATCAACCTAGTAATCTCGCATTGGGCTATTTCTTGCTGCTGCTATAACCCTCCTGATACTTTCTGGCTCAAAAATGCGAGCCTAAAATCCTATGACCCTTCACTTTGATGCATGCTCATGCTCGGATCATATGGTTTGGCCTTTGATAGTTAGGCTTCTTTACAACCCAACTAGTGCCAATGCTGCTTTCGTATCTCGTGGTCAGTTTCGGTTTAGCTTTGGACGCGGTTACATCGCTAGGTGTGGAATATGTAATGGCTATTGGAAATCCATGTTTCTTGGGGTTTTTAGTTTTTAGTATCTCCTTGTTATTGCTCGGTTGAAATTCGTTAGATGATGCATGTGATGGATATTCATGATATTAGACTGGCACGTGTCCAATTTGCCTCTTAAAACCTGACGGCGTCTCATTGTAGTGAACTTCCCCTATTTAGGCACCTGAAGTAATAAGTTGTCCTGATATTGTAGCTAACTTCACCTAACAATAAGAATGGTAGGGTATAGACAAGAGTAAAGCTAGGAAGGTAGGTAATTTGGGTCTACGCTTGCTTCACCTGACAAGCTTTTGGGCGGCACCGTGTCATATTACAATGATTTAAGTAAAAGCGCCAGGCTTGGCCACCCTCGTCGTTCTTGATGTACGGCGGCGCCATCCGCGGCAGATTGCAGCCACTGTGCATAAACTACCTTGTACCTTGAGTAGACGAGCTCATGTAGTGACCGACGATCATATCTAGCGTTAGTGATCAATATGGATGATGAGATGCTTTTTCAATCACGATAGAGCCACTGTCGTCACCTTGTTGGTGCTAATATCGTGCGTTATCTCCCTGTAGGGTCGAATAGATGCATCTAAATAGCTTCCCAAACCAGGTACCGAAATCTTGACACACCCTCCCGACGTGTCACTGCGGTAGTGCCGCAGTGGATGGCTGCTTACTGCATATCCCGATTCGCAATAGGACGTACAAGACGGTTTAAGCAGCCCACCCCCACACCAATAGCAAACACCGCAACTGACAGACCCCGAGGCCGAGGCATGTCTTCCCCAGAAGCGAGTGTCGCATTGCAGGGACAAGAAGTGTAACTATCAGATCAGAGTGGAGAATTATCCAGTGGATACGTGCTAGGAAGAGGCTCCATGTTCGCGGATAGTTGCCTCAGTTTTGACGACCTTGCAAGAGACTACACTATCTTATACAGCACCTTGCTTCTTCCGACCAGCCGAACTACCTAGCAGCTGAAGCAGCACCGTTTCTCTGGCGAATGGGAAGCTTACCATCGGTCCCTTGATGTTTATTGATTGGTTTACGGCACACAAGGTCACATACGGTATGAATTTGCAAAATTTGTAATAGCTGAAATAGCCGGATCCCGATCCAATGTTTTCAGCAGCGGACCGAATAGGTATCCAGCTTGCCGGTGTTGAAAGGTGGTGTGAGATGAGAAGGAGAATGAGAGAGAGGAGGAGAGAAGAATCAAGAGAGCTGTCTTATTTCCGAAATTCTGAGGTGAGGCTGGCTGTACTCAAATAAGCTTGAAGAAAAAATATAATCACCCTAAGCCTTATTATGAATAGCTCTAGTTGTTTTTATTATAGAAGGCAAATAAGTTAATATGTTAATATGTTGCTGGGACGTGAGACCTAGTCCCCCTTTTAACGAATCAGAGGCTCTTTAGCCACAACCTGAACACCGAGCCGCAATGGCGCGTTGTGCTGTTTCATTGAGGCGCATTACATACCTGGAAGTCCAGTCTAGTACTACATATACGTACCATAATCTGCTAATGTACTGGCAGGGAACTGGGGTCTTGAAAGATTAAAGTACGATATACACTACATACTACGGCAGCTGTACGGGTGACGGCAAGGGCAGGTACTTTGGAGTAATGATCCCCACTTGTGCAGTTGTGCTACCTAACCAGGTTTTTGGTCCCATACATGTACTATGTAGTACATAACTAATACTTCGTACACAGGTACAGACATACACTATAATACCTACACTAGGACTACCTGGGTAATGTTAACCTGGTTTAGCTCCCTGACTAATGACGAAAAAGGCTCACCGCCTGTCATTTTCTGCCTATCGAAGTTTCCGTCGATAGTGAATCGAATTGTTTAATGATCCTATCGTTTGCCCAAGTTTTCTTTTCCCACCCCCAATTATAACCCATTCACCCATTCAGCCCATTAGGTATACTTCCCCCCGCCACCCGTCTACATTTCTATCTCCGAACCTATCCAGTCCTTTTTCTTGGCGTACACAGACACGTATATGCAAGTGCAACTAAGGACAAGCTCTTCATTAATGGGGGTCTGGGTAGCTGCTGGGGGCCAAGGTATGTCGCCATGAGGGGCAGGAGAAGAGGGATTTGGATCTCCTGCATCTGCTGAAGTACAGTCACGTCCAACACTTGTCACTTCTGAATCACTTCTGAATAAGGGGGAGGTGTTCACCACCTGAATCCTGTCGACGCACGAGCTGGCCTCCACTACCGGCGTCTTGATCGTATATATAAAGGCTAGTGCGAAGTCTTGAGACATTCTTCTCGCTTGGTCTACCCGGTAGATTCCCTAGCCTTTAAAGCATTTCATCCTCTTCATTGTTTCCTCGGGCCAACTGCATCTTCATAACATCCAACGTACCTCTATCCATACTTTCCCATTGACCTACCTTTTACCTAATCGCCAGCCCATTGCTCGATAATTTTGGGTTGAAAAAAAAAAGCACCATGGGTTCTGTGTACATCCCTCCGATCCGCCTCGCGATCCTCGAAGCCGATAACCCAGTTCCTGGAATCAAAGCTAAATACGGGTCGTACGGCGGGGTCTTCAAACATCTTTTTGAGAGGGCGTGTGCATCATTAGAGCCACCCCAACCCCTCTCTGCCATACTCGAGCTCTCGTCTCACGACATTGTAAATCACCCTGACTCGTACCCGGACCCCGAGACGATCGACGCCATCCTCATCAGCGGCTCTAAGTACTCCGCATATGACAACGACGATTGGATCGTCCGCCTCACTCAGTATACGAGGCGGTGTCTCGAAGGCGGCCGCGTCCGTGTTATCGGCGTCTGCTTCGGTCACCAGATAGTCGGCCGTGCCCTTGGGGTCGAGGTCGGCAAGAATGTTCGCGGATGGGAGATAAGCGTCACCGACCACGAGCTCACAGAGGAGGGAAAGAAGCTGTTCGGCGTACAGAAGCTGGTTCGTATACCCTGCCCTTTTCGTTCTTCATCTCCATACACCTCTTTGTTTCGCCATATCATACCTTAGGTACCTGGTCAGTTGCTTATCTGCGCGCATCACAGGCTATCCACCAAATGCACCGTGATCAGGTGTTCTCGTTACCCCCAGGCGCCATCCAGTTAGCTCGCACCGACGTGTGCGATGTGCAGGCCATGTATATCCCGAAGCGATTTATCACGGTGCAGGGTCATCCTGAGTTCACCGACGATATGGTGCGTGAGATCCTCGAGATGCGCCGATATGGTGGCATTCTGGGCCCGGATATCTTCGAGGACGGCATGCGTCGTGTTAGTAATAAACACGATGGCGTCGCCGTTGCTAGGGCTTTCCTGCGTTTCCTACGACAGTAAGAAACAGTAGAGAAGGACAAGGTAAAAGATGGGAGAGAAAATCAAAATTTATATAGACATCCCGAACAGCACCATAATAAGACGGGGCAGAAACGATCCGCAGGTGTTGGTTACACAAACCAGGATTGTGCTTTATTGACCGGTTATGAAGACCAATCGGTTAGCTGCCGGGGAATGGCAACTCCTCAGACACCATGAAGTCTTATGATGCAATACGTACCTTTGATGCGGAATTATGATATTTATTACCAACTCAATATCACTTAACAGTTGAGTAAAAAGAAGGGTGTCGATTATCGGTCTCTCCTATCTGAGTCTGTAGGTCTGCAGAGTTCTCTATCACACATACCTAGCAGACATTGTTTCGGATCGAGTATGAAGATCAATCAAATAAGAAAAAAAAAAGAATCATCATCTCACAAATGCCAACCGAGAAGTGATAAATAAGTGAGACAACATCACGTGTTGAATTATTCTGCATCCAATAACCTAACCATCCTTTCTTCCAAGAATTATAATTCCATGGTATGGACCCTCAATGCCCAGGCTTAGACTACTCGGATAGGTAGCCTTCCTCCTGTCGCATCGCCTGATGTAACTCAATGCTTATTACATATGTGTAAACGCCGCCCAATGCCCTCCCTTTTTTAGCAATGCTCCCCGCCTCCCGTAACGCTGATTGAATATACGCAGTCAATATGTCAAGAGCAATCAGAAGGGGTTTTTATCCAACCCCCACGCTCTTCTCTTCTTCAACCTAGGTATGTATACCATAGTACCGTTGTGCCCCCAAAATGAAATCCGGGCACCGTGCCATGCATATATGCAAATAAATCTTATCGTGACCGTCCTTGCCCTTTCCGATGTAAATGCTCCAGTCTGACCTGCATTCGGTATTACGCCGATGTCGTTCCCCGGTCGTTACCCAATGCATATTGGCGCCCAGCCCTCATATTCGTCATGCCGTTCGTAATTATTATGTTAAGACCCTGCTTGTATCCCGTGTGATTGGGGGCGGCTCGTCCCGGGGGAATCGTCGTATTCCACGTCTAATACGTCCCACCACTCGCGGGGCGCCGAGTTCTGTCGCGTCCAGTGTACGGAAGGCCTTCCAGCGGCCGCCGTAGCTCCGTTATTCAGGCTTTCGAGATTTTCCTCTTGCTCGCGGCGTACACGTGCCATCGTCGCGTCTACGAACCGTTCCTCGCGCGTACGACCCATACCCCTTTGCCGTCGTTGTGAGGGTTTGCGTATCCGCAACCGTGATGCTAAGCCTTCCCAAAAACCACCACGCAGGTGCAGCCACGGCTTTTCCCAGGCGCTGAAGAAACAACAGTCGACGGCAGCACCGATGCACAGACTCGCGAAGCTGATAACCTGCAGTGCCACAGGTTCCGACTTCTCTCCGGGCGAGGTATAATTGTCGTCATACCTCAGAATATGCGATACAAATGGTGCGACCCACGTTATTATATAAATTAATGGGTAGACGAATAGGAGGCGGAGTTGCCGTTGTTGCTTCTCGCGTGACCGCCTCATCGCTTCATCGGTTTCCTCTTGGGGCAAGCAGACGGAACTTGACGATGTGCTTCGCCTTGAGCCATTCGCTCGCGGTGACTCACGTCGCGGGATGCTGGCCGTAATAGAGACGGAACCTGCTATGCTATTCGAGCCGAACGACATAGAATGCTTCCATCGAGAATGGCCATGAGTGGATTGCGAGGACTTTGGCGGACTATAATGGACGAAATCGGGAGGGCGGATAGGGATTGTTGCTTCAGCGCGCGGTGATGAAGCAGCAGGACTACCAAAGGCTGTATGACTACCCCGCCTCACTCGTGGATCGAAATATCCGTCAGTAGCAAAATCTACGGGATTCCATCTAACCGAACTTTGTAGAGAATATTCGGGCCGCCGCAGAGAAGTAGGAGTGGCCCCGCCACAATTGAGACTGCTAAGTGTTGAGGCAACTGACTGTTGATGATCGATGGGATCATCTTCTTTGGCTAGGCTATCTCGTGCCGAATCTAGCAATCCGTGGTCAGTGAAAGGCGGTGTGGGTGGGACATCCCCACTGTTGTCACGGCGGTGATCGCGCTTATAATTCCGGTTAGGATCGTCGCCATGTACTGTGCTGGCACGTCTTTGGTCTTTGCTGAAACGTCGAAATCGAAAAGCAACGTATATGTAGAGAAAGGTGTAAGTAACTACTATGACGCCAACAATGATGTATCGTGGAATCCAGCTGAGTGCGCTGAGATACCAATCAGGGTGAACAGGTAGATAGCATTGGGGACCGTTATCTTCGAAACGGCCGCCAGTGATTGGTACAACTGCTGCCAGGATGATGGGAATGATGGCCCAACAGATGTACGCTATGCGTCTGTACGGATAGAGGCCGGCTGCGCCACTGGAATTCCGGGGCCTGAGAATAAACAAAGCCGTGTGAACGGCGATCAAGAGGACGGCAATATCCGAAGCTTCGACGCTCATGGTAAGGAGAAATCCCAGAACTTGACATGAGGTCGACCCTGAGTCGATCGGTTTCCTAGCGAAGAAAGCAAGCGGGCAGACCACGAGCCAGAGTGCCTTGGTCATATCACTCTGAATCAAAAGCATGATTAAGCTGTAAAATTGTAAGTTTATCTAAAACTACCCCATGAACAAAGTTACCAAAGTTAGTCGACTTACTCATGACGGAAGCTCCTCCTCATCCTAACAAACCAGTAAAAGGCGCATAAAGCCGCAAACACACTGATGGAAGCTGTAATGAGCGAGATCGACATAAGGGCCACGATTTCCGGGTCGTTGAAATCCGAATCTCGAGTGAGGTTACGTTTCGTGATCATAGTATAGGATGCGAGGGATTCATCAAGGGATTCATCAAGGGATGCTGTGCCCGGTGGCCATGCTACGGGAGCCATCTTTGCTGAGGTGGCCAAAACGGAGGCTCGGGGTGCAATTGAAGCAGGAGATAGTCTGTCATGCTTCCCAATGAGTTGTTTAGTTCGATCGGATCTCGAGTGTCATATTTGCTGGCGATGGTTTTGAGGTAGAAATAATGAGCAGATGGGGTCGGAGGCCGCCGAGGTGTGAGAAAGCTGGTAGAAAGCTGATAGAAAGCTGATATGAGAGACACTCTTAATTCGAAATGTATGAGCAATACAATGAATCTGCTCTTTCTAGTTATACCTAAGAATAGGTCAAGTAGGTCAGAATCTTCCGAGTCGGGAGCCTCTAAGGAGAGGTCAAGAGGTATTTAGTATCTGGGAAGAAGACAAGAGGGAGTAAAGGTGAATTAAGTTCACATCCACTCCACGAAGAAGCGCCGGGCTGTGGGAAAGCATTATCCCCTAGGATGCAAGTCATGCATAGCGTGCTTAAGTGGAAGCCAACCTAAGCTTAGAGCATTATATTGCACATATTATACATGTTGTACATGTTGTATGTTTGAAAGAGGTAAAATATGTCAATAATTGCTTCTGTATCCGGTAACTTGGTGGCAATCACAAGCCCAAGCCAGTATGAGAGCAGTATGAGAGTAGTGCAAGAGCTAAAACGTAGGAATGCAGTAATCGACTAGAGTAAATGCCGGTCCCTACATGTACCTAAGCTGTGTGTACCTTAATAACTAAAAAAAAGGTATTAAGGATAAGGTTTAAAGAATAACTAGGGTAAAGGAACAAGGAAATAAAGGGGAGATGTAAGTAGAGAGATGTGATAGTCAAAGAAAATACCATGAAGGGATACCTTAGGTTAGGTGTATATTCCGTACCATAATTTAGCGTTAGCGGTCTGTTTTTCTGTGTTCGTGGCGGTGAGGGCAAAAAGAACCAGGGAATGTATGTGAGGTAGGTATGTAGTATGTTATGTTATGTAATGTAATGTCATGTACTTAATGTATGTATGTGCAATAAATTTACAATAATTAAATACCTAGAAATGTACAAAGGATGCACGGTACTGTACTCTCGCGTAAAGGAGCGTTAGATGTGCGATGTGCCAAAATGGATGTTCATGTGTGTAGGTAGTTGTTGTACCTTGGTAGCTATCGGTGTAAGGGTCTAAATATCCCGTTAAGGGGCTTAACGTTTAAGGTATTACACATTCGTGGTCCTCCCAATAGGATCTCCAGCCCTAAAACCTTGACCAAGTGATGAAGCCCCAGTGACGCTACAGCCGTAACGGAGCATATGCGGGGCTAGCATCCATGAATTTTTAGCGCGCTACTCCCCATAAACATCCTCATCCTCGTAACAATGACCCCTCTGCTTTCGTCATAACCTCAACCACGTAGCAGGCAAGCACACTTCGTTGCATGCAACCCAGATCTGGTGACCATCGCCCCGGGACAAATTCCAAAGCCTGCTGACCCCCACAAAATACAACTTCACTTTCTTATATTGTTGTTACCTATTTTACAGTCTTACCTAAATCGAGAAGAGAAACCAAATATCCAATATAAATCTGCCATGATAGTTGAATTCCCATCAGTCGTGAATTTATTTCAGCGGAAGCCTAGACATTATTCATCACCGTTTTCATATACCCGCTAGGCTTAGCGGAGAAGATGGCCCGCATACTCTTCTCATAAGTCCAATGCAGCACTTGATCCCAAAGGCGGAGCCTCAAGCCGTCATGTCATCCACAAATGCTTTCGGTGCAAGATGTAAGCTACTGCCAACTGACAAGTTCATATGTATGAGATTGAATCAATATATCAGGATTGAGGTTGTGCTATACCAAATAAAGCCCCGGATTTGATTCGTACGAGGACTCTCACACCTCCGAAATGGTGCGTGGCACAAACCCATTAGAAAACCCGAGACAATCAACATAAACCTCATCTGCCGACTTATCATTGATCTCGTACCTACACGATGGAACACAATAGATTATTGCAAAGTGTGCAACTCTTTATTTGATACATCCTAAGCACATTTTCTATTCCTTTACCATTATTTCATAGGATCCTCTCATTTTATTTCATAACCAATAGGGGTAAGCTCGTTCGAGAATGCCTCATAATAACGTGTCTCGGGTAAGACGTATTGTTTCTGCTTTAACCACATTCACCGAAGGCACCAAGCTTATTGTATCGTAGTAATTTAGTAAGTGGGTATTGGAAGCGAAGGATGGGTTTTGGTATTTTTCATTTACGCGGCTGGGCACTTCTAGACCAATAAAACACGGAAAAGATAAAATGTGAAATCACAGCATTAATGTTTTAAGAAGGAATGTTCTTATTAGTCTCGCGATAGGCTATAAAGACTTGAAACTTGTTTTAATCGTTGGTAACATCTTCGGCTATTGTGTCCAATCATACACGGGAATTCATTAGCGGGCGGCTACGAGTATTTTAGTCAAAGGACTCCCCCTTCCGCATTCTATTCCCCCACACATCCGTGCATCTCCCACACCATTGTCGTTGGCTACATCCTTGCGTGCTGTGCCGGTCTTGGGTAAACTACACGTGCACGGCAGTGTATAGATGACGGGAAAAAACGACGTAATCTAGCGCCTTGTCCGATCTGATTAGACGATTATCCAGTATCGCCGCGGTGGTGAGTCTTGGCGGTATAATCGGGCGAGTGTCCCAAGAAAGGAACCCGGTATCTACGGGAAGTCCAACCCCAAGTTAGAATATAAATAACTTGGTTCACGTACAGCTACACGATAAGATGGAGGATTAGGGCTTTAGAACAAGGATTTAGATTACTTCTAAAGTAGTTTGATTCATAACTTCATCAAAAACTACTAGTGATACTCCTCAAGTTGGGAGTGAGACTAAAGGCTTTTGCCAATTCCAGTGTTTTAACTAAGTTACACGACCGTCTGATCGAGTTTAGCACTAGACGTTTGGATACAGTAGGTAAACCATTGTGCTTATACTATTTCGAGGTTATCTATCTGACACCTTAGATTATGAAGGCTCTTTACATGTGTGCGATAGTGGGTACATTAGAGACTCGGAGCTATTAAATAGGTAACTACCTAGTTAGTAGCTGGTTATTAACATATAAGTGATACGGTTGGGTTGAGATATATTAGCAAAGTGCTAACAAGAATACGAGAATAGCATCACTTACTAACTAATATGGCCAATCTTGAACTATTTCACTTTTGCTTTTTAACGTACTAGTAATACAAATTACCATTTATGTCTCATTAGTAATTAGGACAACTTTAAACTTACCTCGCCTCTAAAGTCAACAGGTTATTAGTACCTCATAGTGAAGATAACCCCACCAGAGTTATGTATGAAACTATTTCAACAATAACGATTTGTTACTATGTAAACTCACCGAAAGGTCACCTGGAGTATACTTAGTTGCGGTTATATTACAAATATGAGTTCTAACAACCTGTCTCAGCATCGCTTATGATTCTTTGTACTACAAACCTTCAAGTCCCCAAACGCAAGATATGGGATGATGGTAATAGTAAATTATCTTCTTAGAACGTCGTTTGATTTGTTCATATCGGCCACCAATCGTGGACAACACATCTAATGGACAAAGAGGTAGTCCTTCAAATTTCCAATGATATGATACGTAACGGCCCCTATTAGTAAACACCGGTCCCCGTCGGGAGTACTTTCAGAGTACCTATCAGCCCATTCGAAACTTCTTTTCATCAAAATGCTTCCCGAACTTCTTATGTGCCGACCACATACTAACGAAATATCCCGTAACAACATTAGACAAGTATAATCTCTTCTAACTCATCATTGTGCGAATTCATATCACCATTCATCGCTCCTTCACAATAAGCGGGGGCTACAATTCTGAACTCGTGAGACTTCGACTGGGGTCGAAGAACGAGTGGATTGAGCGATTTGAGAAGAACTATATCATCTCCGGCTTGGCAATTATGGTGCGCTGTACCGCAGTAGCCTGTGTCAAGGGTGAAGATTACCCAGTTTTCTCGAAGCTTGCGCTTCTCCGTGATAGCCTCAAGAGTAGTTTCTGATCATTCCTAGGGTTAGCAAAGGGAAACTTCATAGGACCCTAATCTAAACACTTACCATCCTCTGGAGGCGATGTGCCATCACCATGCAAAGCCCAGCGGTATAAAGTGCCTAGTTTGCTGTTGGGTACGTTGGCGTGATAAGGGCGAAGTAGCGCCTGCCCGACGAGCTTCGGGTCTTTCCCCGGTGAATATCTAGTAAGACTACTGATTGAATGGCGCCAGTCGAGGCAAGCCGAAATAACCTCCTGATATGCCTGGATATGACTGAGTGCTTGGTCCAAAACGAGAGGACAGCGAATTCTCTTATTTATTTTCCCAATAACCTTCCCCATTACGCCTAATTTGCCGCCCCGGGTGTTATCCGTGAGTATAGGAGTAGTGGAATGATACTGTGCATCGAAGTCCGTTATTTTCCAAATCAACGCCGACCCATTGCGTCCCGGGGTCAACCAATCGGGGACCCAAGAAGGAGATCCGGAGCTTGGGTCTGGAGGCAGTGTAATTGCGATAACGTTGAGATTTTGACGGCTTCTGATATAAGCCAGCGTTGCTTCTTCGAAAACCTTTACTGCGTCCTTCCCGTAGTCGGGGCTCGGCAAGTTGATTCCCATGGCCTGGAATACCGAGTATAGAGAATACACTTTGTCGTGCGCAATAGTTGCTTTCATGTTCCGGATCTCGGACAGGAGCTCGAGTTCGAATCTTACTTGACCGTCTCCTTCAAAGCGGGTCTGCGGGATAGCTTCGAGACTCGAACCGCGCAGTGATAAGTACAATCTCCAGCGAGGGATGATTAGGTCCCTACTACTATCTTTCGCAAGTATGAAGTTAGCAATTGATACCAATACGGATTTCTTAATCACCACAGTCTCATGCGTAGCGAACACAATGTATTCACTTTCAGTGGTATCGCATACACCAATTGACTGCGATGTAATAAACGGCCTCGATATCTCTTTTGCCTCAGATGAAAACGGCGTCCGTGCGTGGTATCCCAAAACCGAACTTTGACCTGTATATGTGCTCATATATATGATCTATGTATCTGTAGGGAGGATGGCAGCGCCTTACTACACGCTTAATCTTCTATAGCCCACTGCGAACGTAGCCGCCTGTTTTCTCGTTAACATGATTGTCTGCCTGCATTCAGGAATTTTAAATGCTAACTTGCAATGATATCTGGAATGTGTTAAGTGGATGGTAATACTATTAATGAATGAGTTACTAAACAAAATTATATCAGCTGTTACATAACCTCAGATAACATATCAATAAACTTAATACAAGTCCCCTATTCGTCATCGCGTCGATCGGCAGAGTCCGGATACCGCTCCTCGAGGGCCGTTTGCACAGCTTCCAGGCATTCTCGCCTGTGATATTTCCAAGTCGGGCCAGCCGTGCTCACGGTAGATCTACTGTAGTATTGGAATCATGCCATCTGAACCTGGACCGTTGGTGTAAACGTCCAGCACAGTCCGTGAGCTTGTGGGGATGAATTTCAGCTCCCGGAATTGATCCTCGAGCACCCCGAAGAAAAATCAGGGATGGCCCAATACTCACCTTCGGCACGCCATTCCGCCTCTTTCTCAGGTGCATAATCATACGGGTCATCCTCGATCGGCTCTCGCGACGGTTCGTACCTGATCTCACTGGGGCACTCGTACCAATGTACAACACCGAGTTTTATATCTAGTAGGAAAACAGGATTGTATCGTCCACCGGCTGTGAGGCTGATGACATGAGGAGGAGGCATTTCCTCGTGTATGGAAGAACCCTCCGATACGAGCTTAAGGATCTCTCTCGTAGTCCCGCCATTGCTAACGGAGCTGCCCAATTTCTGCCAGTCTGCAAGATAACATCCAGGAGCACCGTGAGCCTTATCCCTGTCATCAGAGGGCTTGCGGATATATGGTAGGTGATAGAGTAGCGAGATAACTTCGTCTGTCTTACTTAATGATTGTAGGTTGGCACTAAGATTTGGCCAACCGCCTTCGGGAGGTTCAATCACGTCCGTTTCTTTAAGATACATCGCCTGGGGGAAGATAGGGGGATGGCCTCTTTTTCATAAGAGAAACTTACAGACTACGAGAGATCAATAACGAGAATAGGGAGGAAAGTATATTATGTTAAGTCGAATAGCCTAATAATCTACAGAATTGTTCTTTAGTACGGCCGTTTACTTAGACTTATGATATTTCGAAAATACAAGGGGAAAACCACACCAAATCTCTATAACTAGCCGACAGCCCTTTTGAGTTACCTTGTGATTGCCGCTATTTAGGTAGGTATAAATGGAAACCGCTATCCAAAATGGGAGAGATTAAGAAAATGATATATAGCTATGAAGTTCAAACGAAGGGTGAAGAGCTATGTAGTAGGCCTTTTAGAATTTGTTAACTTCGTAATAGACTTGTTGAAGAGAGTGTTAATCATGCAGAAGCCTAGGCCATATTATACCGAGTAGAGTCAGGTGACTTAATTACGTAAGTACCTACATAAGTACCTAGGTATATAAGGACTGGTGCCTGAATGATCGTCAGAGCTTGTATCTGCGCACGGATGAGGCACGTGGCGTCGCGAGTATGCGCGTCAAGACTAAGGTAAACTAGGGAAGGTTAGGTACCTAAGGGAAGGTAGGGCGATCAAGACCGACGTAATGAGTGCAATCGCGATCCTTTAGGTAGATCCTAGTAAACTTACCTCCGTCAAAGTTCTTCTGGTTTTTAGTAGTAGTACTTTTTATCTTTTTATTACAAGGATCACTTAAAAAAGAAAAGAAAAAAAATATGGTATCTACAGAAATAAACTTTCAACCCAATCAGTGTCAACTCTCGAATTCCCGGGCTGCAACCCTAATTTTCTGCCTTGCCCGTATGCCCGTGCCACTCTGACCGCATGCTCTGACTGCATGCTCTTGACTGCATACCTCTTTATTACTCGGGCGAACTTGGGCGAACTGAGATATTGGTTAGACAAAGGCATAAAAGCTCTTATGCCGCCGTTGTCTTTACAAGCCGACAGTACGTCGAATCGACAAAGTGTGCGGCCGAAACGCCAACTGTCGACTTCTGTAACCCGAGCTACAAACAGCGTTGGGCCTGACTCATTCGATCAAGAAAACCACCAGCCGACACTTAACAAACAGACAGCTGTAGAACAGGTTAGACAGGCCGGCGGCGAGGCTCGCATATCTGAAATAGCGCAGCTAGAGCAACGAGCGAATCGAGACGTAGAGAAAGCCGAAGAAGCCTTTCGCCAAGAACGATTGGGGCGTCAGCCACAAGAGCAACCGCGACAACCACAAAGCCAAGGCAGGCAAAAGCAAGAGAAGATGAATCAAACAAGATCTTTTGGTGACTCTCCGCCTGTCGCTGCAAACGCGTTCAGATCCGCACGCGAAATGCATCAAGAATCCGAGTCATCGGCGAGCGCCCTCGACCAAGGTCAATCATACTACCCATGCGAACTATCAGCTGGGCCTCTAAACCTTGCTGCTATAGCTCAAGAGCTAGATCCCTATGGCGACGATGATTATGATTATGATAGCGACGATGGCGTCAGACATGGTAGAAATACCTACCCGCATTTAGCGAAATCGGGGGAATTGCAGGAGAAAGAAATACAGAATTTCTTGACAATGCCAGAAATCGACATTTCTCCGGAACAGCGAAAGAGCACGCCGGCTTCGATGTCTTGTACCCTAATGGAACATCAGAAGGTTTGCCTGACTTGGTTGATACAGCAGGAAGAAGATATCCACAAGAAGGGGGGTATTTTAGCAGGTAATTAATTTCTAATAGCACACCCACTGCGGTTGAATGATATGGATAACTGACTCTCTTTTACAAGACACCATGGGCCTTGGTAAGACTGTTCAAGCACTGGCCTTGATTCTAGCACACCCTTCAAAAGACCACGCTCACAAAACAACACTGATTGTCGCTCCGCTCTCCCTCCTCAAACAATGGGAGAGGGAAATCCAGACCAAGGTCAAACCAGCCCATAAGCTGAAAACAGTCATATTGCATGGTCAAATGAAGCGCGGAATGACTGTTCCTAAACTCCTCACCTACGACGTCGTCCTAACCACCTATGGAACCATCATTTCCGAGTATAAAAACCTGCCAAATATGAAGAAGAAACCGTTGATCCTAGCTAATAATGTCATCTTCCATCGAGTCATTCTCGATGAAGCCCACTCCATTAAAAACAGACAGGCTAAAGCTTCAGTAGCTGTGTCTAGGATTAAGTCAACTTACAGGCTTTGTATGACGGGGACACCATTCATGAACAAGGCTGAGGAAATATTTCCACTCATCCGTTTTCTTCGTATTAAGCCTTATAGTGAATGGGATGCATTCAACTGGGAAATCAATAAGCCGCTGAAGAGTTGGAATGAGGACGTCCACGATAGCGCCTTGAGGAAGCTACAGGCTCTATTCAGGAGTATAACACTGAGGCGGACTAAGACGAGCATGCTTGACGGCAAACCCATCCTCCAGCTACCAGCACTCGTGAAAGAAGAGGCTACAACTAAGTTCAGCAAGGACCAGCAGGACTTTTACGACGCTCTCGAACAGAAACAGCAACTCAAAGTGAACGAGTTCATCAAGGCCGGGACAATAATGAAGCAGTATAGTTACATTCTCGTATTACTACTGCGCCTACGTCAAGCCTGCTGTCACCCGCATTTGATCAAAGATTTCGGTCTTCCGGAGGGCATACAACTTTCGTCAGACGAGATGCGCCAACTCGCTCTAAGGCTCAAACCCAACGTCGTGAGGAGGCTCAAAGCACAGACTGAATTTGAATGCCCACTCTGCGACGAAGCGACCGAGAGCCCCCTCATAATATACTCTTGTGGTCATTTGATCTGCAGTACTTGTTTCTCTGCCATGATGGAGATCCGAGATCCGAATTCCGAACAGCAGAATCTTTGCCCGCATGAAGATTGCGACTCGGAAATCAACCCCGAGCGGATCATCTGCCACTTTTCTTTCGTAGAAGCACATATGCCCGAGAAGCTCGGATTGGACGATAGTGATGACTCAGATGATGATTCGGATGGGTTCGAAAGTTTAGAGGACTCAGATGATGACGTAGATGCACGTGGAAACTTGAAGGGCTTCATCGTATCGGGAGACGAGGACGAAGAGGAAGAAGAGGAAGAGCAAGAAGAGCAAGAAGAGGAAGAAGAGGAGGAAGAGAAAGAAGAACAGAAGGAGAAAGAGAAAAAGAAAGAAGACAGTTCGGATGTGGGAGATGATTCTATTTCTGAAAAGGCAAAGCCTATACAGCCCGAGGTCTCTACCGATGCGATATGGAAGGACGTTTCTGCCAACAAGGAGTCCTTAAAGGAAAACCTCGCAGACGACTCCGATGACGATTCTCTAATGTCCCTAGAGAAAATCTGGAAACGAGTTGAAGCAATGAAGTATATCGGCAAAGACAAGCCTGAACAGTCCAAAAAACGCAAAGCCCCGTCCGACTCGGCATCAGACGTTGATGTGGATATAAAGAAAGCATCTCAGACTGGGGGTAAGCGAAAGCGTCCTAGTCACGAGAATGTTACTGGGTCAAAGAAGAGGAAGACGAATACGAACAGCGCGGCCAGCAAGAAGCGGCATCGAAAGGGGAAGAATAAGTTCACCTCTATGGCAGCTCTGAAGAAAGCCAGCTCAAGCAATGCCGCCGCGAAGGCGAAATATCTAAAACGTCTCAGGAAGGATTGGGTCCCAAGTGCCAAAATTAAAAAGACGATGGAGATATTGTCCGCGATTAGAGAGAAGAATCCCAAGGAAAAGACGCTCATCTTTAGTTTGTGGACATCTTTCCTCGACTTGCTTGAGATTCCCATACATGACCAAGGCTTCAATTATACGCGCTACGACGGAACAATGCATCATAACGACCGAGATGCCGCCGCGAAGACGTTTATGAATAACCCCGAGGTGCAGATCATGCTGGTCAGCTTGTCTGCTGGCAATGCAGGGCTGAACCTCACGGCAGCAACCCAGGTCATCATACTCGAACCCTTCTGGAATCCATTTGTTGAGGAGCAGGCCGTTGACCGTGCCCATCGTATCGGCCAAAAGAAGGAGGTCACTTTCCACCGTGTCTTGATCGATGGAACGGTCGAAGATCGCATCCGCGAGCTACAGGAGAAGAAACGTAGGCTAGTCAATGCAGCCCTTAGCGAGGAGGGCGCCCGAGGCGTTGGCCGCTTGAGCCTTTCAGAATTGAGGGGCCTATTCGGCCTTCGCTAATCTCATCCTATCTACTCCAGCACGAGTGAACTATGCTGGTGTTAGAGGCTGTTATAGTTGTCCCCTTAGCTTCGTTTCAGTTACAAAAGGGGTCAACTACGATTGGATGGGCAGAGGCTATCTGTTCAATCGATCATCTACTTGCATTCAACACTTCTCTCGCGTCACTTCATTGAATATGGCTCATGCAGATGCATGTTGGGGACGATATGCTTCATACTTGATGCTATTCTTGTCGCGCAATTTCCAATATGGACTACTGGAAGCCGGGGGGGATAGTTTGTACGCTCTTACAAATTTGTTCAACACTGTCAAAACTGCTTGTATGACATTAACAGCTCGAGGAGCCGCATGTTTTTCATGTCTATTTAGATTAACAGATCGACGGTCGGGACAACCTAGATATTAAGGTCACCTGTTAGCATGGACGACCGGGGCGACGGCTTGATGCCGAGTCCCGATCGCTAGGGCGTCACGGGAAAACGGGCTGTAGGAGGTTAGGAGGTTAGGAGGTTAGGGCTAGGTATGAAAGGCATATGTGTTCACGCTGTCCGGATGGGGTCTCGCGGGCGTCGGGGAATTCAAAGTTCATGTTATCAATCCGGTTACCCTTGTCGGTCGTACATAGCAATATGGATAAATGAGTCCGCCTTTCTAGATATCGGCCTACCACGTCCCGGATAATTGATATGGACAATGTGCGTATTTTTAGGGTTAGGACTCCTCTTTAAGACCATGTTTAACTTGATCTCATTCGGGCTTTGAATGGATTGCCGTGGTCTTTTATTAAAGGTTAGTCGAAAATAGGTACGTTATTTAATATTTGTCGTTTTTCGTTAGGGTTTGGCTATAGCCTCATATTCTATCTGACTGTTTAAAGTAAATAGATCACTAATATTGATAGTGCTTTCATATAAACAAGGCAAACTTATAATCTCTACCAGCCATAACTGAACCCGCGAGCTTGGAGTCGTCAAACATTCTAACATTCTTTCAGGTTAGATGACTATGGCTCGCGGCAAACGACCCTATCACATGTCACTTATTAGTAGCCCGCCGGATAATAGTTAACAGGTCAAAACTTTGCTCAATAAAAACCCAACTTAGCCAACCACTCGGTACACCCCATGTTCCTGCGGATGGGTTGCATCCGGGGAGATCTTTTTTCGTACAGCAGGGTCGAGGGAATTAGGGGGTAAACCGCCAAGGAGTTAATCGGCCCAAGCATCGGGAAGTTGGAGACCAGGCTGGCGGGTACGGTTCTAGCTGGAAATTATAAATAAAGCCCATGCCGTGGCGAATGTTTTCAATGGTAAGGTGCCATGGTGCGGATGCTGGGCCCCGTAAATCTCTACTAGATAAGTCAAGGGCGCGGCCGATCGTCGAGACGAGAAAGATAGAGAGTTTGTTGCAGTAACCAGCCCTTTCCCCACGTTTGTGGTCGTCGTCGTTGTTTCTGTGCTATAGATAGACTTGCCCTTGCGTGGCAGACAGCAAACAAGACTTAGACTTATAAGCAAACATCAGTGTTATACTTTCCAAGCAGCAAGATGAAGGTATGTTGTTCCTTTATGAAAAGACTCAAACTACCAGCCTAACCTTTCCCCCCCTTCACTTACCTTGCAAAACTAAACGAGCCAAGAAAAATACACCTAAACAACTCCTAGTCATAAACACAAGCTAACATGCCTCTCCTCACGAAGACCATATCAGCAACTATCGCACTCCTTGTGCTCCAAGTTACGGCTGTTCTCGCAGCGCCGACCCCAGCAGATGCGGCGCCAGCCTCGTGGCGACTTGACTGCGGGTCGCCCGGCACTACGGCGCTATGCTCGGCAAGCAACAGCGGCGCCCACTGCGATCCCGTCTCCGGTGACCTGACAATCATCTTGGCCGGCACATGCGGTGCATGCAAATGTGTAAGCGCGGACCAGTGCTCGCGGGGCTGCGGGAAGGAGGAGGAGGAGTAATTGGGAATTGAAGTTTGCAAGGGGATATACACGCCCAATTACTTGAGATGGATATCATACCAATGATCAAGGGGACGGACGTGAGGATTGGGATGGAAAGGAAAAGGGGGAGGGGGTAGGAGGAGTCACAATGCGATACGCTGTCTAAGTTATCACACTTACAGTATAACATTCCCTACCTAAGATATGCCGTCAATGGAGAGCCAATGTACGCTACGCTAAAAGGACGAAGGAAAGGCTTGCTTTTAAGTTGGAACGTTGGGCAGTTCGTGGATCCTAGTTATTACTTTCTTAGGAATCAGAGTTAAGGGCATACGGGTAGGGTATTGGTACTTGTTTTGCAATACGAATTGATAATTCAAATTAAGGTCCATGGGAATAAGGCATCGGACTCGGGATATGCGTAAATGCATTTTTTCATATTGTTTTCATATAATTAAATTTATTAAAGTCATCCCTTATTCGCTATGAACATTGTGTTGTAAGTGTGTAAGTGTGTAAGTGTGTAAGTGTTAGTGTTAGTCGTTCCCTAATAGTAGTACCCAGCTGGCCATTGGCTGTTCGGGTGTTACCGCGAGACCCATTGCCTAAAAAAAGAACATTTGGTAGCTATAATTCTTATCGATAAGCTCAATAGTAAGACTAGAGCGCATCAAGTCCAGAAATCAACATTAAACAACTCCACCAACCCAGAACTATTTCAACTAGAAATTCCACCTAGGAATTCTACAAACTCCCATGCCTCCTATACGGATGGCCTCGTAGAACAGCCCTTTCTTATAAACCACCGTCAACAATGCCGCCATGTCGGTTCAATACGCCAACCCGTCAACCAACCCATCAGTGGCACGCTCGCGATCGCTGCGCGTTCCCGCTAAAGCGTCCTTGACCGCCCCTCAGCCTACCCCTACTACCACCTCGGCTCAGATACCCAGCTCTACTTCCAACCTTGCTCTGTTCCTTACAAACCTCCGCTTGCTAGACCTCGATCTTGAGCCCGATTGGCCAGATATAACCCTCGCGACCTTTTCAACCAAAGACGCCGTCGGCGGACAGAAGAAGCGGATTCAATCTGTGGAATGGGCTCTATACCAGCTGTTTACGCTATGGGACTACAATGAGACTCAAAATGTATGTCTACTATGTCCTAACATATGCGAAGTATTCTAATTCTCTAGAAATTGCGTCCGTTCTTTCCACCTCTTGATCAGGTCCAGTCTATCAACCTCCGAGCCGCTCTCCTCCGCGGCCTTGAACAGGCTAAGAAGAATGGCGTCCTGGGTCGAGATGCCGTCCTACGAAAGACTATGCTGGACGAATGCAAGGGCGAGCGACTTGAAGAAGTTCTGGCCGTCTTTTCCTCAGCAGTCCTAAAGAAGCTGGTTGCCGAACGTGCGCTCAATTCAGGTCCGGAATACCGTCCTACTATATCGGAGAAACTTGCGCTCGAGAACTGGGGCTACTCGGGAGACCGTACTGAGCTTAATGGACTCTTACTCGCCCACAAAGCATCCTTGGGTTCCATCTTAGCTAAGAAGAATACGGAACGAGTAAAGTACCGCGACTTCGAGGAACTGCTAGCGTCAAAGGAACAAGGCATTGCCCGGCGAAAGGAAAAGGCCAAGGCAGAATCCGAACGAAGCGTAGCTGAGACATCTGAAAGGACAAGAACGGAAGTCAATAGAATAATCAAGACCAATTGGACTGGAAATGATCAATGGCTTGATAGTCTGCTATTTAACGACACGAACCCACGAAAAGGAGGACTCCTTGGTAGTCGTTTCGATGATATCTGGGTTGGTGTTGAACAGGGGAAAGTATCTGACCTTGAAGACCAGAATACTGGTCTCTTGGAGCAATTAGACAACAGGGTCCAGATGCAGAGAGAAAGGTTGGAGAAATGGGACGATTTCAGGAAGAAAATGTTTGGAAATATGCCACCACCGCCTACCGTGGAAGCGAGAAGAACGACTAAGCCAAAGAATGTTGGCTTGCGCTTCACGGCTCATCAGAAGCTTAGCACCGACCAAGTGCGCGTGAAAGACAAGTTGCCCCTAAACGCAGCACCTGCACAATACCGCACGATAGTCAGTAACATGAAAGCCGAACTTGGTTCTATTGGAAAACCCAAGATTCCGGATTTTTCTAGTCTACTAGGAGGTTCGAATAGGAGCTCGGTAATCGATGTTGCTTCATACACTACAAAGCCGGAGGAAATAGTCGATGCGATCTCTGATATCAGCGAATGGGAAGACGAGGCAGAAGAAGTACGACCAATTGAAAAGCCTATGCAACCCACCGGCGGGCGTCGTTATCGTCTTGTTCCTCCTAAGGATAGCACTGAAGCTCAAGGGCGGACACATGTGCCAAAGGCGTCCTCAATTGACGTACCATTCAGCCGAAACAAGAAATTCTTCCCAGATCTTTCACCCAGCTTTGAGCCTGAGCCATTGGAACAGGCGTCATCTTCGCATCTTCAAGTCCCGACGACTAGTACGCCCAAAAGGCAAGAGTTAAGGAAGTTGGATACTATACCTCAAATTATCACATCGTATAGTGTTGCTTCCCCTGAGGTATCTCCCGAACCATCCCCTACCGATAAGATGGCAGATTCGTTGTCTCCGCCGCCGGTCTCGGTTTCTCCAACGCAGGCCATGGCCGATGAAATACTGCGGTCCATGTCAAATGCATCCCCATCTCCTATGAAGAAACAACGTCACACCCTTTCTCTAGCTGAGAGAACCCGCTTATCTATGACACGAACCCAATCGTTTGAAAAGGAGGATGAAGTATCTCAGCCGTCCCCCACAAAATCTACGCACACGCAGAGCAGTAGTGATAATAATACAAATCACCTACCGGAGAAAGATGAATACGAGGATCTAGTAGCCCGTACCAGACGATCCATGGTTGGCTTCGAAGCCGCGCGACAGAAGGCCCAACTGGAGAGGAGACGATCGGAGAGGAAGAGCAAGATGATACAGAGGAAGGGTGACCAGTTCCCAAAGCTTGAGGAAGAGAATTTTAACGACACGTCAATTATCGAGGAGCTCCTCGACGGCGGCCAGGAGGATTACGAGGCTGTGTTCCGGAGCAGGCCGCGCGTGCAGACGAGCCCCTTACCTAGCCCGTCGAAGGCATGGAATGGAGAGTAAATGATTTGAGTAAGATGAGATGAGATGAGATGAGATGAGGTATATGCTGTCGCATGACGCTTTTGCTTAGTTTACAGGGCTACTGTTAGGAATATGATACCAAATTGATGTTCCCCTTTTCAAGGGTGTTTGAGAAAAAGGTTGCAAGGTTGCTCGAATACATACACGCTATACTGTCTCTTGTTCTACAGGACTTAACCTTGTACCTCGACATAATAGATACAATCCCAACCCTACGTATAATCAAACTACCTACCTAATCACCACCAATTAATCATAAAAAACCAACGCCCTAGCCTCGATACTCTCCCGCGCCTCCCCATCCTTGTACTCGGCATCCTCGAACGCGCTATGCGGCGCGCGCCGCGCGGGCGCCCCCGCCTCGGAGTCGAAGCACTTTATGAGGAGTACCTCGTCGGGCTGCTGCGCGTGCTTGTAGTACCACCGGTGCGTGGCGCGCGGCAGGATCGTCCAGGTCTCGTCCCGGTCCGCGGGGTAGATTATCGATGCGGCGACTAAGTCGGCGTCTGGGATCGAGGACCCGTCGGCTACGCCTAGGGGGTCTTTGAGGATGGGGCGGATGGGGCGCCATATCTGTTTTTGGGGGGGTTGGGTAAGTCTTTAAGTTTTCTGGTAGTTGGGCGTTTGTATGGTGAGAAGGAAAGGGGGCGCACATTAATGATTTGATACCGCCGTTTAACTAGCTCGTCCGCCTCGTCGGGAAACCAGCGCCGTAGGACTAATTCCGCGCCGGCGTACGACTGGTCCACGTGTGCTCGCAATAAGGGCCCGCGCGAAGATCGATTCCCCTTGCCTAGCTTGTGCCAGTTAGATGGTCCGCAGCGCGTCTTGTGGTCGAAGAGGAAGATGCGGGATGCGCCGGTTCTTAGTATATGGATTAGCTTTCTCGAGATTTATAATAGGTTATGTACCTATACTCAGTTGGTTATTAGAAGACTTACACTTCTTTCAGCAGGTGTATCGACTCCGGGTAGTATTTGCCCTTGACGTGCTCTTCGTCTTGGAAGTCTTGCAGGGACTTGGTCTTGCTCTCGTGTCGGAGGAATTGAAATCCGTGGCTGTCGAGGGTGTATTTGTGCTCTTCTCCTGTCACGTCGTGGACGATGGTCTGCTGGGGGATGTGCGGGCGCTCGTTTTTTACCGTGTTGCTTTGAAGCTGGTTAGAAGTCTGCGCAGTGGATGGGGTTGGATAATGATGTGCAAAGGTACGGCACTTACTCGGCGATCACGATAGGCATCGGTAGTGAACCGTCGCCTGGGTCTTTGTAATAGTTGATATTTGTTAGTACATCGCGACGTCTTGGTATTTGCGTCGTCTGTGTATGTTCCTCTTTAAGCCCCTGGAACGCGAGAGGGATATGTGTTGTCGCGACAGCTGCGGTCATGCTTTCTTTCTGCTCGTCCTGTGTATGTACGGGTATCCTATGTATCTACTGAATCCTAGACTCTTAATCCCTGGGAGCGATTTACAATATATGCCGAATAATCCTGTAGTGAAATTGTCAAAAATTCAACCCACTTGGTCCTATCTTATGACTATAAATTCTAATAAAAACTACCTAACACACGACGCCATATCAATGAGTAGTAGTTATCCGTTATGTTACGATCAAGCCAGGGTGTGCGGGGTCGCTCGCACTGATTGGGCAAAGACCATTGATGCCCTCGTGATGTGGTGGTGAGTTTTGCTATAATAGCCTAAAGCTTGAGCTTGAAACGGTCTTGGAAGTCTTGGTTCATATAAACTCTTCTGGAGCTAGAAATTAGTACTCGCCGTTCCTTCCGATCTACTAAAAGGAGACGGTATTTTTTCCTTATTCTCAAATGGGGTATTTGAACAAGTCGTGCCGCGGTATATGTACGACTCGAAGGAAAAGGGGTAAATGATCGAGACATATTATAATGTTGGCACTTTTCCTCGTAACACTTTGCGATCACGAACCTATGCTTATTAAGCCTCTTCTATAAGATATAAATCATTTTTTGATGGTATCTATAATTTTTTAGAATTGCATAATATTGATGACGGGATATAATAGTCAAAAACATGAGTGTTGGATAGAATGTGGGACAGTAACTCGAGAACACAGAATGTAACAATAAGCATTCTTATTTTCGATTTCTTGTGACTCCCAACCGGCATTGTAGCACACATCTAACCCGTGTGTAATGGGTGACATAGGTATCCTTAATCGGAATGATGGTCCTGAGTTTAAGGCTCAAACGCCCTTTATTCCTAGTCCAACAACTTCTCATACCCCTGACGGGATCGTGTACTCGTAATTTGGCGGGTACAACCGATCTTCCGGCCCTGCACCACCAGGACGACCACTCGTAACTTCATACGCAGCCTTGTAGTTATGATACTTGGACATCTTGGAGCGGTCGGCAAAGTGCTCAGCTTCACCAACGGCCAGCGAGACCTTCAAAGACGGTAGATCCACGAGCGCGCCCATTGAGGTCGCACGCCAGTTAAGGTTGGATCTGAGGAACGAGACGACGTCTTCGGGATTCATGCTTTTTAACACTGATTGGTTGTTGTCGCCGGTTTCGTGCGCAATTTGGTTCTTCCATCGCGTGATGAGAGCGTTGGTTAACACAACACGTCCGGTCGACTCTGTGTGATTTGCTTGTTGGTTCTGGCAATTCCCACATCCTTCATCTGAGTTACCAACTAGCAGGTGAAGAATTAAGTCAGCAGTTATTCCTCACGTAGAATCTCCTTCGAGACCTCATATTAGATGGGCTGTTTGCACAGATCATTGAAGGGTACTCACGGCTTCCCGGCTCAGTCGAAAAGTTTACTACCTGGCCGACCTGGGTGGTTCGGGTCTTATAAGGGACATCGTCAGGTACTTTGCCGACAAATATATGAATTATAAACTTGTTGCCATTGAGAGCAAACCTACGTAATTATGTTAGTTCATTGTGTATTAGTATTAGGTATAATGGAGAATCGCAATACTTCTCATAGACAACGTTGACAACGTAGTCGTAAGTCGTCAAGTTAACAGGCTTGTCGCTGAGGGTATGCAGTCTCGCTAGCTTGGGGAGATTCGGCTGACCCGGGCCAGCTGTTAGCCTTGCTTTCTGCGAAGCTGACCAGTCGCTGTTATAATTCTCGTTAAGCGTTTTGGTGAGCGTGTCGAGGTGTTTCTGCTTATCATAGACGCCATTAGTGGTGTACAACCACTTCTCTAAACCCGGGTAAGTATAGCCTAGTGCCGTCACCTCTCTAACGTCAGATGAAGTCCAATATTGTCCATCCTCCTTGTGAAAAGGCCGAAGTGGATCAGTAGGCTTGTCCCGGTGCCCAAACTCTATAGAATATGTCCCAAGGTCTTCATCACGCGCGTCGGAACCGTCGAACCAGGGGTCTTCGTGCAGCGTTTGCCAGATCGCCGTCATTCTATCCACGTTACTAGAAAAAGTTAAAACCCATACTATACGACAACACGAATCCATCACTTACCAATGGTGAAGCCAAAAGATTGGATCGAATGCAGCAAGTGGTACGTGAGCCATGTGGCCCATCAAGCGGATGTTGTGGTTGTCCGGCTCTGTCCAATCGCCGCCACACCAATTGTGCATATTGTCATGAATGCCCTCACAAGAGTCAAAGGCGTAGTCTTTTTGCACTGGGTCGTCTGCGCCGTGATTAGGAGCTCGTTTAGTTGCGAAATCCTCAAACGTCTCAATAGTGAGGACACGATAGAAAGCCGCCCTAAGACCTGCTGTCATATTCCCCATCTTTGCGTTTTCCGTGTTTGTTTCGGGATCCCACTTATAATCCCTCAGAGCGTCGGCAATGGCTTCATTGTCCTGCTTTCCAGTAACCCAATCCTGGTTCACGCCCGTTCCTTTGGGGTGCCGGCTCGTAGCCTGGCATTGATCAAACTAGAAGGTAGGTAATACCGCTTAGCCCCTATATCACCAAAGAGAACTGCGATGTACTTACGGGGAAAGTGTACTTAATGCTCGTGTCAGGATCGGGAATTTCACTCGCCGTGATCCTCAAGTCCTGGTCTTTATACTTAAGGCTTGAATCGCCCATAGTAATACGCCCTGGCATCGTGAACTGATATAGCGCATTCCGATAAAGACCGCGACCTTGAACTGTAGGCTGTCTAATTTCAACTTCCTCACTCAGCACAGCCAACGGTACAGTATAATCCCGCTTATTTAGATCGCCATTAATGGGCTTCTTCAACGCCCAATCCCAGTACGGGAGGCGCCAAGTCCTCGCTGCTTGTAGGAGGTCAGGTCTATCTACTTCCGGGTACTCGTTAACCACCTCTTTCATAAGTTCGAAGATGACTTGCTACGAATAGATTAGTAGACGTACAAGGACATGGATAAAATTACCTACTTCGAAGAGGAGCACGTAGGGTCGGTGCCAGGTACAAAATAGAATACTATTGTGAGTACAATATCCCTTTTCCTCAACTGCTGGATTTTCTCCGGGCTCGTCCCAAGAAACAAATGGCTTTCCATGGATTCCTAATAATTAGTTTCAAATACGCTGGGTAAAGTTGTCAGATCTAGACTCACCGGCAATTTGAAACCAAGATAACTTCTCATGCGGGTCCATCTGGGAAAACTTCCATAGCGCGGGAAAGAATAGTGCGCGCTGGTTGATGTGGAGCAGTTCTTTAGATTTGAACCAGTCATCTAACTCCATACGGAGTGGCACTTTCCTGAGTAGATCATCTTTCCCAGGGGCTAATCCCTCTTGGATGCCAACGATTGGATAGTAACTCGTAGTCGATGCCATCGCGTTGGGAATGGGGCTATAAGATTGGCAGACTTGACACAATCGAAACCAACTCGATGCTCGGGTTGATAGACACCGGAAATTACAGAGTAGCCCGGGCTTTATAATATATAAGGACTAGAAAGACCCTCAACTGAAATCCTGTCTGGATGAGCTTTCAAGAACTATTACTTCTATGACGTCGTTGAAGAAGAGTTGTCTTGTCTGCTGGTCGCATGGACTTTGATAAGAGCGCTCGTCAGCAAGATGTACCACTTCAGGCGTTGTCATTGTGGCGCAGATAGGGTATCTTTCCTCCTGGTTGTTCTATCAGTCGGTGTAGATGTGTGCCTGAACGAAATGACATGTATTCTTCCGATTGCGTCAAGGCAGAGTCAAGAGCCAAGCAGTCTGGAATAGTTACACCACCTAGGGGGTTACACAATACGCTTTGGGGTACGGATGAGTCTACACTGGCGTCCTTCAAAGTAATAGTTGACTATTTTGAGAAAAGGATGTTGTACATTTGCGTATCCATACTAGGGTACGGTACGTATGTACTAGATACATAGAGTAGAGACCCTACCAATATACATAGGTCTATACATGATATACTAGCTGTGGCTGACTTATGGTGTCGGTTAAGGGGGGGAAAGAAGAAAGAGATTAAAAAACAAAAGTATTCACTTAGAATACAAAGCTCCGTACTGTGTATCGGGATTTCCTACTTTGGAAGATGAGCAGTAGTTCAATATAATATGATTGAGCTATGAATTTAGGTAAGAACAGGAGAAGTATATCAATTTCCAAGTCGATCACCAGGTACCTTATGAATCCGCACTAAAAAGTATATTGATTATTCCATAAGCATGCCATATTTGGACTTCAGAATTATCGTACCTAGATATCTAGGTATGTACGTTAAGAAGCAATTGTGATAGGAGACTTACTCCGGAATAAGCTAAGACACCACAAACAAAGAGGGCTAGGTAGCTTGTAATCCTCTACAGATAGATTAAGTAGCTCTTTGTGCTACAACTCTGCTATTTATCTGTTACATTTTTGTCTGTTACATTGTACGTATGCCTTAACATGACTAGTGTCCCAAATTCCTAAATAAAATATTCATCCGTAACTGCCCTTATCGTTATTTGTGAGTAAGATGACAGCCTTTTTAATTCATAAACGACTAGACGCTGACGAAACCATAAATATACAGAAGGGGCGTAAAAATTATTTAACTTAGGTAGGTACCTAAGGTGCCTAATATACCTATTCTTTCATAATATTAGATAGGCGCTGTATATCTATAACGTACGGAATGACTATGATACGGAGGTAAAGGTAAGATATCGGTTGGGGGAGAAAATATGTACACACTCTGTCTTACCAAATGAATAATTGTTAAAAACTTGGTTATTTCAGGGCCTTCTACGACTGATATTTATTAAATTTGAATCTCTGCTAATTTTTAAAATTAGTCCAGTGTGAAGTAAATCCTTAGGATCTTACCACACATGCTTTGCCTGAGCAAAGTAGGCTACTTTGCCGCCTTTCCGCTGTCTCGGATCCAAGTCCTTCAAAACCCCATGATATCATATTTACGCCATTATACAACCAAACCGTCATCAGCTCGTACGTGAATATTGAGTAGGGTTTACTGTATTCTACTGATAAACTAATCCATAAAATTATTAGGATACAAAAATTACATTATCAAGCTTTACTGCGTGACGCTACTCACAGTTAAAGGAAAGTTGCGAAAAATCCCTACTTTCTTTAATCCTCAGCTCCTGCCTGTTAGACAGTGATGATCCCATTGAAGATAGGTATCGAAGGAAGAAGATATATCTTTGGTTATTCGTGGTGTAGACTACCAAGAAATCTTTCATCCCTAGTTCTCAACACTAGTCTACCATCGACGCTCGAGAGATGTTAGAACAGGTAACGGACTCCGTTAATATCTTTGCTTTGTAATGCTGAATTTTTTAACGTCCGGTGTACGTGCTAAGACTACCTGCCGCGGGCTTCTTTGCTTCGCGAACAGGACTGAAGGGTCAAAGTACGAGATACTCCATAGACGTTTTATGCTTCTCAAAGGACATTGTATTATGTAGATGTCAAGTAGCCTCTAACTGATACTTGACTGCACTCGATCTGACTTCAGAAGTTACAGCAGGTATGATGCGAGCTCTTGGGCACAGGGTAAGTCACAAAGTAGATCATTTTTATTCGAGAGCACCTACCAGCCTCAGGGGAAAAGTTCTACAGGACGAATTTTCTTCTCACGCTTGCTATTCTACGTGGTTAGGCAACGCCCATGGCCTAGTTATCACTCTAGCTGTTTCCTCGACTACTACATCCTACTAGTAACCCATGATTTACTGCTGTAGATCGAGGAAGGTAGGGGTACCTATCTGAATGCCTCTCGCGTGATTGGTCCTCAGGGGTTATACCTAAGTACTTCTATCAGACCCCTATTACTTGGATGCGCATTATTGGTTGAGCAGAACCTCGCAGCCTTCCTTAGCAATCTCCTCCTGCCTCATATCTGCAAGTACAGTGTAGGGGAAGCTTCAGTTTGTGCTGAGGCCCTGGGTGCTCTTGATTCAAAATTTGCTTCTTGGGGTGGATGGAAAGTAGGGTTCTTTACTTACAAGGAAGCAACAGACGCAGCAAATTATTTTTCCTGCCTCTATTTATTCAGCCTCAGTCTCCTCAACCAAGCTTCCCATCTTACATCAACACAAACCAGAACAACAAAGTATTGCACATACAGTTGCCACCATCTCTCCAAGACCAAGTCATAACCTTTGGCAAGCCACTCCTTTATCTTTATCCAAGAACCATCTTGATCTTTACGCGCCCAACACCTCATCATGTCGAAGCTTTGGCCCCTAGTCGTCGTCCCCCACGCCCCTCGAACGTCGGCTAGCTTTGAGAACCACCTGTAAGCATATAGAAGCCCCTTTAGTAACGTGTGTAATATGTACCCACCTATTGCTAACACGAATTTCTTAGGATGCTGCAGCTTGGACAATATTCAGATGCTGTAGTCACGTGCGGCACCTCCAGCTGGAATGTTCACTTGAACATTATAGCCACCCGATGTGCGTGGTTTGAACGACAGTTCTCAGTAAGTCTTCGTATAATATGCTCTATCTTTAAACATGAGAAGCCTTGGGTGCTTTTGATAAGTGTCAAAAATATTAAGTACTGGTTTCTAACATACCCTTCAACTTACAGGAAGCTCGATCCCACGGAAGTAATGAGGTAGTTGTCTCAGCACATCCATTTGTAGCCTACAAGGTCATCGTCTGGATCTATACGAAGAGTACGAGAAACCCTTACACAGACTTGGCAGTATCAATGTGGCGCTGACATTAGTATTACTCCCAGCCCTAGATCTTCACGAATCATTCAAGGGTGTTGCCGAAGCTTTCCGTATGAGTCTCAACATATGGGATATGGCAAACCGACTAAGGATTTTCGATCTGATGGTTGCTTGTCAGGAGAAATTAAAGAGCTACCTTCGAAACATGGTTACCTCGATGCAGAGGATGAAGTGCAGCGGGAAGTTACCGCTGTTGGATGTAATTTGCGTTTGTAGTGGCGTAAGCTTCGCGTACAAAAAAGGCCACATCGTCCTAAGGAACATATTCCTTGATTTCGTCAAGGACAGCCAACTCTGGGTTTTAGATGTCCCCGGCTTCCAGACGGCCATGGCCGCAATCCCAGGATTCCAGAAGGTGAGCAAGAAACTTTCTGAAGCGCGCTTCTTTATTCATTTTCCTAGGAATAATGGTAACTAACTCTAAACACCACAGGATGTCGCTGATCTCGTTGGGAAATCCCCGGAATTAAGAACTTTCAAACCAGATGTCTGTACCCAGTGCAACAAGGATCCTTTCGCAGAAGGAGACTCTTCGCATTACGCACATATCAAGTCTGAAGACGGCAAATTCACTGCTATATGCTACCGATGCCATCTAGAGAACCTTTCCAAGAACCGAACTGTACCAGATGTCATTTCTAAGGGAGTCGCAGGTCTACTTCAGTACAATTGAAGCGCCCGGAAAGAAGAAACTATCTGCACGTATACCGTGGCCTTAACCTAGCTAGAGCTATTGTTTTTTCGCGCAGAAGGATAGCAGGTTTACACTGCTTGCTCACATCATCACGAACTGGTTGATTCCAACAGCCACGATGATCTGAAGCCAAACATTCTCGTCCCGTCTCCATCTTATTCAGTGGTACGGATAGTCGCCACTCAGTTTGTCTTCGCGTTATGCGTTATGCGTTATGAGTTATGCGTGTAATTAGAGAGATACGATAGTGCCTTTAATATAAGACAGGTTTCATATTTCTCAATAATTAATCGAACGGCAATTGTTCTCGTGTCAGTCAGTAAAAACATCGCTCAACTATTGCTCTAATTCAATATCATTCGACGAGCATCATAATGTATCGCCATGCCCTAGTGTTCAATTCGATAGACACGATTCTAAAAATGCCATTCTGGCTAAATCCTACTATAAAAGTAATACGAAGCAATCCTTCTGTTGTACTACAGAACCAACATGTAGTGGTGTCAATTATCCTTGCCAATAAGCAGTCGTCCTGACTTCTATGGTGGCCTTAGTCTTATCGGTGTTGGAGTTACATCGAAGAGCACGCAAGATCTAATTTACGAATCCCTCAAGCCACAAGTCTTACGTCGGCGCGTCATATGATAGCATATCCGAATTGGTATACATAATGTATCCCCTCCTCTTCGTTTCCTTTCAACTCTCAAGATAGTGCATACTGAGCTAACTCAAGAATAATAATGGAGTTGAAAGGTGTAAGTCGTCAGACGGTTAACCGTGCCAAGGTTATCGTTACTGCATTGTTGACGATATCCGGCATTACCGAAGCGGTATCAATCCCGCCCCCTACCGGTCCTTACCAGGTTGGCGTCCGCAAATATACCATCGAACACTACAATGACCACGATCCCGTGGCGCCGAATAACGTGAGCACGGCGTTCTTGGCGACCGTTTTTTACCCCACGCTCCAGAAGCCCCAAGGCCCTCCGAAGCCGTATTTAAACCCCGAGACAGCAGCTTTCTTTGAACTGAACTGGCACTACTCAAACGGGACCCTTTCATCAATTACTTCGACTGTGCAGGAGAACGCGCCTTTCCTGGAGCCAGAAAGTTTGGCTGATGGATCGCTACATTTACCAACTATTTTATTCGGACCGGGAGGTGGCGGTCCCCCGGTCGAAGGCAATACGATTCTACTCTCCGAGCTTGCGTCGTACGGTTATGCTATAATCGGCATAGATCACCCATTCGAGCAGCCCTTCATCCGGTATCCAAACGGAACAGGCGTTACGGGGATTGATATTGATAATATTGATATAGACCTCCTAGATATCTACAACATGCGTCTCGAGGACAATACCGTGTTCTTAGACCGCCATCTCCCCGAGTTGGTGCGAAAGTTAAAATTGCCACTCAGTACGACTAAACTTGGTGCCTTTGGGTACTCACTCGGCGGAGCGGCGGCTCTCGGCTCACTCCAAAGCCATGATCGAATCGTCTCTGGACTAAATATGGACGGCGCTGTTATCGGGAGCCTAGCATCGAACAGCAGTGCTGCTAACGTGCGGAAGCCAGCGTTCATGATGGGTAGTGAAGGCCACGGGGGAGTTGAATCGGGTGACGATACTTGGATCACATTCCCACAATGGCAGACAGGTTGGCAGCGGAAAATCAATGTCAACGGAACGACGCACCACGACTTCTTCGATGATACTTTCTGGAAAACACTCGAGGTCGGTGCAGACCCCCACGCAGGTCCAATCGACGGCCTCGAGCAGGTCAGGGTCTTGAATGCTTATGTTAAGGCTTTCTTTGACTTTACCTTGCTAGGCAAGAGATCCCCCATCTTAGATGGTCCCTCGCCTGAGTTTCCAGAGGTGATCTTCTATAATGTGACTGGGTCCCGATAGATTGCGGTCAGAACCGAATCATATCATAACTTATTACAAGATTAATTAAGATTCAATGATGTCTTTATAGTGGTACTGTTAAACCACGGGATTAGTAGAATAAAAAATAGGTATGAACTTCAGAGGCACCTTACGATGAAGCCCATATATCTATGTATTGGATGGCTTCGGCTTCTGCGACGGGGCATCATCCTTCGTCGTCTCCAAAAATCTGCCACTTAGTCCCGGCAGCCATGAATCATACATGGCTCCTAGAAAGAAAGCAAAAAGATAATGCTGCATCAGCCGCGAATCGAACGCGGGGCCCATCGATGGCAACGATGGATTTTACCACTAAACCACTGATGCTATGCTTGTTGATGTAAAATTGAATGTAAAAATTTGTTATATTCCAATGCATACTCCGCCAGTTCCTTTTTCTAATTGGCTATGATGAATATCTTGCGCACTAATGCCGGGGACTAATACTACACTATAATATAGTAAATTAAGCTAGCATCGGTGTGATTTTCGGGCATTCGGGACCCACTCGGGACCCATCCGGGACTTTAGATAAGTAAGAGCCAGTATATACATATCTCACCCTTTATGAACCGCATTGATTTCAAGTTAACTAAAATGGCTCATAAATATCTATATCTAACATCTATATAAATGGTGGATTGTGAAGAATCCAAACAAGAAGCGTATTCCAACTATTTTCCAGTATCATATCTACAATGAATCAATGACAGCTCAAGATAAATATGTGAGGTCACCAATTACCATCTAAATAGCACCAACTGCCAACTGAATTGCGAGACAGTCCTTGCTCGGGAGCTTAGCCGGGTCGGCGCTAACGCCGTAGAAAAGCTCGAACACGTCGTTCACGGGGCATGCCCAGAAACCTTGGATGAAATTAGTTTCCCTAGATGCCAATGCGATGTCTTAAGTGGTAAGGGGTCTTTACCTGTGGGAAAGGAGTTGAACGTGAGAAGATGGTCGGGTCCGATGCCGAAACCAGGAGTCTTCTCTCCGGGCTCAGAGTAGACCTGTCCGACGGTGCCGGCCGGCACTTCGGGCATGCGAACACCGTAAGGGGGGGTAGTTCCAAGATCTGGATAACATTAGACCGATTGAAAAATAACCAGCGGGCCTGCAAGATGGGACTTTTACTTACCAAAGTATAGGTTGGTTCCGTTCAAGTAGGAAGGGTCCGAGCTGTAAACCGAAGGCCGCTGGATCTGGATGACATTTTCGCCGGCTGCGACATGGGCGTTCTTAAGAGCCCATCCTGCAAGCTTGTCCGTGGCGCGAAGGCTAAACTGGTCTGTTTGACGCTCCTCCAAAGCCGGGGCGGCGACGGCAGCGCCGGCGAAAGCGAGAACGGTTGTAAGAATGGCGTACATTTTGCTTTGGGTAAATAAGAATTATGTTATTAAGACTTAGGTAGTAAATGCGTGAAGTATATGAAACTAATGATAATGATAATGATGATAATGATGATGATATTGTTGGTGTTGTTGCAAGTAGGTAAATATATATATCAGTGATCCGTGGAAGACAACCGACCTTTATATGCAGTTCATCAAACTATGTAGCTATTAGGCCTATATTGACACTGTCTCAAATAGATATTAATTACTGCAGCACGGCCATATGATTGCCACGAATACCTAATCATCGTCAATGCCGGCGGTCAACTTAGGTACAATACGAGCGCACTTCTCAGACCCGTCTTCGTATTCCATGGGTATGGGATAAAGATATTCTCACCCTGTATTCCCCTTACGGAACTATACGGTGGGTATGACAAGCCATCTCCATTCGCGGCTGATCCGTGGTCTCGAGGCTGGCGTCAGCCTTGCATCGTGATCTTCAAGTCCCGAGAAACACGCAGTATATTCAGGGGAACGAACAGCAAGGGTTATGATTATCTAAGCTTCTAATATCTAACTTCGTCAAGTTCGACACGTAGAATAGCCTACAGCCTACACACCAAGTGGCTATATGTACGGTCGATCGAATCAAAAATGACTGTATTTATATGTGATACCACATTACGAAAACCTCTATGGCTAGGAGCTTTGCTTGATACGAGAAATAGGTCGATTGCCAACAAATTCGCCACCTATCATACTCTATTCCCTTGTAAATCTCAATCTCGTTTACCGCTAAGAATAGGGGGTATTGGTAAGATGAAGTCTTTATTTAGTAAAAGATCGATATAGATATAGAGTAGTGATAATATGAGCTTTTATCCCTTATGTGGAATCTTCCTACTACGAATCTACGACTTGATTTTCGACACAGCGAATCTTCTATGAAGCCGCTACTACGACGGACACTATCATAATTAGGACTATAAGCGAATTAAAGTCTGTTGACGATTTCAATAAAGCTTCAAGTACAATTGGGATTAATGCGATAAGTTGACGATGCCTAGCCGATAACTTTTCGTAAATCTCCTAATATGCTGGTCGGATTCGTCACACATGGCGGGCAACCGAGGTACAGTGCAGCAGAAAGATATACGATTTAAATATAAGTGATTATTAAGCTAGAGGTTAGGACGAGGTCAGGTTAAGTATCACGTTATGACTATAGTGTCGATAGAACCATAGCAGCACATACATCAGTCCTGGATATGTTACATCAGTTGATGAATTTCCCACCACAACTACCACACATCTCGGCAGATATCTCATCCATAATGATTTCCCTGAGCTGAGGAGCCATACTAACGAGATCCTCTCGCTTGAGGCACTTGGAGCCGCACACGCCGCAGGTTCGCGACATACCGGGTGCTAGGATTGGTAGTCCGGTGGTCGCGCATGTGGCTATAGTTCTATTAGTACTTTGTACAGACGAGTATATAGCTTAGGTTCCCACGGATAATGATACTTACTGAAGACGTGCTTATTTGCACAGCGCGACACCTTGCCCATCGGCTCTAGGGGTAGGCTACAGAAGGAGCAGATTTGCTTGCGGCCGATCATTGCGAAGTGATCCTTCAGCGCAACCCGTTCTTCACTATCCTGTGCCATTAAGCCGACGGCTCCCGTCACCGAGGGGCCTCCGCCGTACATCCATTCCCACATCCTCGCTTCGGTGCTGAGTTTCTTCATAGCTAGAGCCGTATCCGCTCCTTGGTTTCGGTCTGTGCCGCGGTCATATCGGCCGAAAAGGACACGACACTTTACTCCCGCGTACGTATCCCTCCCATGCCAGACAGTACTATACTGGCTAGTGAAAACGGCGGTGACTCCTCCACCCGGACTGGCCGTGATTCCCCAAATACGGACCCGGTTGATATGGACTTGATCCTCGGTATCCAAACCAGCAAAATTTTCTTCGGGGTCGTAGTCGGATCCTTCTACCGAGTCGACATCCATTTCTTCTTCGTCAGCTGAATCGTCTTCGGACTCGGCATTGCCGTGCTCGACGATAGGCTTATACGCCATAGCCCGCGGGAGCTGATGCTCAATAGTCTGGTTAATCTCAGTAGCCCATCGCGGCCCGATAGTTCCATCCTCGGGATTCGGAGGCAGTGGGAGGTTGGTCTGGTACCAGTCGTCATTCTCGTGAGTAGCCGAGAGCCGGACAAGTGAGTACGAAGGCATCGCAGTAGTCTGAGAAAGAGAAGGGGGATGGATAATAAGTCCTATAATCTATAAGCTAAAGAGTTAAAGAAATGATGCCGATAAACCTGCACTAACCAGTAATTGGATTTTGTGATAGACCCTCTCTTTCTGTCTCTGGATATGTGGTCTTGCACTCGTCCGTAGTGTGCTTGGTTATTCGACTAGATTGGTTGTCGAATGGTATTTGAAAAGCTTTCGCCTGTGAAGGCGTAGCGATGATACCGCGGCAGATCTTCGATTCTCCAATAGTCCATATCTGATGTCAAGTAAATATGAAACCCCTCAGAGAATTGATAGCTTATCAATAACTTACCAGGTCTTCCCATACAACAAATGCGTCGGTGGATAGATAATGGCAAACCCCGTTAGAGTCGACTTTACCGACTTCTACATTTGGCGACTTCATATTCTCATGGGGCGAGCGGATAGTAACCTGCCTAAACCCAACGTAGTTTTTGGCTACATATGATAGTATGCTTGTTTTTGAATTGCCCCTTTTCAGCCATGGGCCCCAGCTAAGTGAAAATGATGAGCCAGAGGGTGAATAGTCTGGATCGGTAGGCTATGATAAATGTTAGTCCGAGATGGATTTCGAGGGGACAGATCGAACACGTACGTCAGTTTTTGGGTGAGGCCCTTCAGCTACGAACCTTGCGACTTCTTCGACTCTCCATCGACCGCAATCTCCCGGGGGCGCGCTAGAGTCGTGCTTGGCCTGGACTGAGACGATGACGACTTCGTCATCATCATTCGCGTATGCTAACAATGCCTCATGATTATCTATATCTTTTGCCCAGGCGAATGAAGTAATATACTCCTTGGTGTACTCTACTTCATGCCCTTTGGCAAGTGGTAGAAGCAAGCCTGCCCCCACACCCCAAGCGGCAATCCATGGTCTCAAGGTTCTAGCATTGCGGCCACGGAGTTTGAAGGCATTCATATTGTCTGATGCACCTTCACAGTAGATGGTGATGGCGCCGGTGCCGGTAAGTACGGCAAGGACGGAACGATTCATCCGGCCTAGACCACATGGCGACCATTCCAACGCGACGAGGTGGTTCATGGAACTGCCTTGACTCGCTACGGTACCCGAACCACCGCCGCCAGGAGTGTACTCAAAGTCGGGAAATTTCTGTTTTACAAGGTTGAATATAGGTCGATTTAACTCCGGGCTTCTATGCTCAACGGTGGGAAACCTAAGAGCCGTCTCATTGTACTGTCGAACTACTCCGCTGCTTGCGCCGTTGGTGCCTTTAGGAACGGAGTATTCCGGAACGAAAAGGAAGACACAATCATCGCACCCGATGGCCAATTCAGCATCAGGGGACCATACGATGTTATGCGTGCTTGCGGGAGAGGCTGTAAGACTGAATGACTCAAGGGGAAGAATATTTTGGGCCTGGCTTTCAGAAGCCATCTCGGAGAGATTTAGACCTTTGCTATATTCTCAGGTCATTTTTAATTCGGTTAACCTAATTATTGATCGATCTGTGAAAAAAGATGGCGATATTTTCAGATTGCTGATTGTTGTGAGAAGTTGATATGAAAAGACCTTGCGACATTGAATAAGAAGAAGAAAAAAACCTTATGCAATTTGTAATTTTGATGGAAACGAAGTTTAATATGCACCAGGCTACTATTTCCTTTCATACCTACATAAGGTATTTACATAATGCCTTCCCTACCTATTAACCTACTAGACTCATTCAAATATACAATTCATTATAGGATATAATTGCATTATTTTAATATTCTTTTCGTGATGGAGGTCGCGTCGCCTCGCGTGTCTTTGTGAATCGTGTCACATCAAAATATAAAATACAGCTGATAGATTTTATAGCCATCAAATCATTACACGCCCATTTCCGTGTTATCCGCCTATTCAAATATTTAGAAGCGTATTTTATTGTATTATTAATAACAGCATGCAAATTTCAAACTACAGCTAATTCTTCGGGGTCTCTAGATATGACCCTAGAACCCATAGAGCAGCGCAACTGGCCAACGCTGTTGCGCCGACAAGCTTCTTGCCGTACCAGTTATCGTCCGTCAGGGGCTTGGCTGTTTGTACCTTTTTCGGCTGTCGAGACTTGGATTTGCTCGATCCTGTAGCATTGCTTTTGCTTGCCTTCTTAGCCTCAGTTTCTTCCTCCTCGTCCGCGAGGACTCTTAGTTTTGCAATGGTTTTGCTAAGAGCCAGCATCTCGTCATCGACTGTGTTATTTCTAGCTCCATCCACTTCGACATTCTGAATGTTTCCAAAGAAGTCGGTTAATAATCGACTTCGCGCAGCTTCCGGGCCACCTTGGAACAGGTCGTACCGGACGCCTGCATTGGAGTGAATCTTCTCGTAGTTGTAACTATCAAAGAGATCGCCGATCGTCTTTTTACTGCTCAAGTCCTTGACTTCGGATTCTAGAAACTCGAGGTTATAATATGTATATCGGTCGATAACAGCGACTCCGACGTCGTTATCGGCGTGGTGGGAATACGAGGACTGATCGAGTTCGGAAGACCCGGTAGCGATAATATTAGGAGAGTATAGCTTGCTGTACATGGTGTTCGCTTGGCACGTATCGATCATAAATAGAATCTCGTGGTACCTATTCAATGCTATGTTAGTCTGGACGTCTCGTTAGAATAAGACTCGGAGCCTTATACCGTCTCTTTTCCCACATCTGTTCAAACGCATCTGCTAAGTCGAAAGCGCCAATCTCTTCGGCATCTTGGAACTTGAGGAACTCATTTCCTCCGTGTCCTGTCATATACACAAAGATGTTGCTCCGGTCATCAGTCAGCAGTCGCTTACTCCTAGGCATCTCATCCCCAACACGATCTGTCAACAAGCGGATGAAATTCTCGACGGTGACCTCGTATCCTCGGTAATCGACTTCGATATTGTCCCCATATAGATCGACGGCGCGGTCTGCGTTACTATACACGGTCCCCGGGAAGGCGTTGCGTGGGTTGCAAGCCATGTCGTCGGGAAGCATAAGGATGATCTGCGAGTCGGGGATGCCTAGACGCTTTACGGTTCGGTACATGGACAAGACATTGGCGAGATGGCGATAGTTGAACCAAAACCTCGAGGTGCCAACCAGGACAGCCCAGTTGCTTGTATGCTCGGCCGACACAATCGGGGGAGCAAATAGCGACGCTGCCAGAAGCGCGGGGAGGTTTAACACGTTGGACAACTTCATGATGGGCACTTGATGTGTTGCGCGAAGGTTGCGCGAGGGTTGCGCGAAGTTTCCGTTCAATATCTCGTCGTCGACGGATAATGATAGAATAGTAATGTTCTTTTGGATTACAGTATTACAGTATTGATGTCTTTGAAGGATGGAACATTGAAATTGAAACCCGATTTGTCATCGCAGCAAAGGGGCCAATTACACTACATTAGGTACATAAAACCAGGGGTCTTTGAGTCTCTACCGTGATATCTAAATCTATGGTCGGCAAGCGTTATCTCCGATTTATGTACTTCGTAAATGTGTACATTCTGTATTAGCACTTGAGGTACCTACATGTATTCAAGCACAAGCATTGTAGCGTCATCGGGCCGGGCTATCTAGCAGCTGCAGGGACTAGGTGCCACCCAATGGCCCTAAGCGGATTCCACCACATGCCTCTTCAATGCGACTGACCACTAGCTTTACCTGCTACCTGCAGCTCCAATCCATGTTATCAAATGTACATAATACGAAATCCATACACGGACTGCATGATAATCGCTTATAATCATTTATAAATTATAGGTACGCATTTGTATGATTTTACGTCATGCGCCATCTCCGCCCTTGCATTAACGGCAGTACTATATACTTTAGGTAGGTAGGTATGTATGTGCATATGTATATATTGGAGTATTAGGTCAATGTTAGGTACCTTGTATTGGAGATGCGCTTGCGCCGCAAATGGGTCACCACCGCAATGCACATGCACCGCAAATACTTACCTTAAATTGAATCTTAAAACTTCTGTCGTTATTTTTCCCTCACGACGATCTTCGCCAAGCTTACCTGCACTCCGCATTCTTCACATATCGTCTACCCGGTTCATCTGTGAATTACATACCTATACAACTTGAACCATTACGCTGCAGTGAAAATGTTTGATTGCAAACTCCACGATTCGTCTACGACACTGTGACCGAGACCCGCTGTCACCTTTAGGCCACACACCTATGACATAGATCTGCGCATAATCTAATATAAATTTACACATATACGACCGATAGCTAGGGAACTCGTCTAGCTACTACGTTTAACAATTACTTCCCCCAGAATATTATTAAGGCTAAATATAGGTCTCTGTTAAAAAGAAGCAGATCAAGAACTTATATCTATATCCAGTCGACGTTCCGAAATAGAGAAAAAATAAAACCACTCTCTCTACCTGACAAGCCAAGCCCAGCCGAGCCTAACCGATAGCTGCGATGGGCCGCCCTCCAGGTTACATATTCATAATTAGGTTTGTGTTTTACTGAATATTGTCACAGAATATTGTCCACCTACAAGCTCCCAACTCTTAACTCGAAGCTAACATATAGAAATCTAACCCTTAGGCATGGGAACCGCCTCGATGCCGCCGAGAAGCAATGGCACCTATCCTCCCCAACCCCCTATGACCCGCCCCTAACATACGGAGGATGGTTACAATCTAAGACCGTGGGAGCAAGGATCGCATCTATTTTACAAGAGAGGGAAGCAGAAGACGAGGCTATCGCTGCCAACCATAAATCTGACAACACCACTACCAAACCCAAGAAGCGCCGCTACAAGATCATAATACATAGCTCGCCTTTTCTTCGATGTGTCCAAACATCCATTGCTATAGCTGCTGGCCTCGCCTCCAATCCCTCTTTACCTACTCCTACAGAAAGGTCTCCCTCTCCACGAAGTTCACATGTGTCTCCCTTGAGTTCGCCCCCCGTACGGTCCCATACGGCCACCCCACCGCCCGCGAACTTGTCCCACGACCCATCAAAGGCTAACCGAGCAGAGAGGTCTATTTTACGACTTGATGCTTTCCTCGGAGAATGGCTATCCCCTGACTACTTTGAGCATATTACGCCGCCGCCTAGGTCAAGTCTTATGCTAGCAACGGCAAAAACCGAGTTGTTGCGCCCCGAGAATTATAATGAATACTCTCACTTTCACACTCGCCACACTCCAAGTTCTTCATCGCAATTATGGAACGCTTCTAGTCGTGGGAGACACTTAGCTTCTTCTACCACCCCCGAATCCGATACCACTTCCGGTCTCGATAACCTGTCCTCTTTGAGAGGCAGTTTGCCGAGACACAGAAGTGACTCGACCGGACACGTCGACCCGAGGATAGCACACAAGGTATCTTCGTCCGACCCTACGTTGAACCCGGGATATATTAGCCCGATTCCTTCTTATGCTCTTTCAACTTCCGAACCCATACCAAGGGGCTATGTGGCGCATGCTCGCGATGCTTGTGTCGACGTCGACTACCACTGGGACTCTAGTAGAGACAACATTGGCTGGGGTGATGGAGGTGCCCTGCCTGAAGAGTGGGCGGAAATGCATCAGAGATTCAGGAAGGGCCTGAAGCGATTAGTCGAATGGTATAGCACAACGAGAAATCCCGCAGAAATGGTGACCAAACCCTCGAGCCCGATATCCCCTAAGTTTCCGCAAAAGGAGAGCGATACCGACGGTCGATCTACTGAAGATAGTGAAGAAATTGAAGTAGAAAATGTCATCATTCTTGTTTCGCATGGCGCCGGTTGCAATGCTCTCATAGGTGCCATCACGCAGCAGCCAGTCCTTATCGACGTTGGAATGTCATCTATCACAGTGGCGCAACGGAAGCCAGATTTTGACGACGATATCGGTACTCGTACTTACGGAGAGCCCGCTTCTTCGCTCGAAGAGCCTCTATTAGCCAAGCAGGCTTCATTATCCGATATGTTCGAATTGAGATTGTTCGCCAACACAGAACATCTTTCAGCAATCACTCCACCCGGTATCAGTCGTTCTCTTTCAGCCACAAGCCAGAATGGGCGTGGTCGAAATAATAACGGGCTTGGGCTCCCTTCTGCACTAAAAGAAGTCGGCTTTAGCACCTCATTATATGGAAGCCCGGCACCTCTAAGTCGTAGTAACTCGGTAAATGCCTCGCTCGGTAGCATGCGAAGGGGGTCGCCAGTACCAGCGTTATCAGTTCGACAACATTTACCAAACACGGCGGGCGCCGGAGGCATAACCGTTGGTAGTAACATCTCCAACGTCTCTTCTACGCGACAAGATCGCATAGGTTCAGTGGGGTTATGGGAACCATCAAACCAGAGCGATGCTTTATCAGAGAAACGAGCGGAGACGCCACCCCTACCAAATATTGACCACCAGGCCGAAGCGACAAAGAAAAACGAGCATGTTCCCACGGGAATACAAGAGGATAACTCCCAACCTGATGACGTCGTACCTCCAACCTCAATAAAAAAGACCGTCTCAAAAACAGAATCGGAGTCCTCGCACGGTGAAGGACATGACCAATTCGATGAAGATCTTGCACCGCGCCTCTGGGCCGGAGCCGGCAACGGCGGCCTGTGGGGTGCGCCTCGACCTCCGGGAGAGGCCGAAACAATTCGGGATTTTACCTCAACAAAGCGAAGGTGGACCGTCAACGAGCGGTAAAAATTCCATCGTAACAGCAGCCGGAGTAATCAAATTACAAGATATCTGGCCCACTCCATTCACCAAATCAACGTGCTTTGCTGTACGTCGCCTGCGTTATCGAGGGTGGTTTACACTAATGCGGTTGTCGATATTAGCATTAGCATATTCTTTATTTTTAGGGTTTTGAGGCAGAAGGGACGCGGGATAGATAATCTCTAATACCCATCCCCCTTTATACCTAGCGAACCTCTCTATTTCCCTTGCTCCCATTTTGTTGTTTTTTTGGAGAAGATACCTCTTGACAAGTCGGGTTTGGCATGATCCGGGGAATAATAAGGGGATTGAAGGGACCAAGTTTGAATCGTAGTAGTGGTCCATAGGCTAGATTATGTGTTTACTAGCCATTAGTCGTTGATGAATAAATGAATGAATGAATGCCAACCTGTAATATTGTTGAAATGATGAATCATTTGAAAACGAGTGATCAAGAGGGTATAAGGCTATCAATGTGTTCATACTTCAAGAACTAGTCCCGATAACTCAGAAGACCGGAATAGCAAACGGTAATAATCGTATGTCTAAGTGATACGAGTACGTAGTGCCTAGCCTAGGATCCCGGGAGGTTTTCGACCTGCATGCGCCTCCCCGTCTCATCACACAGCATAGACACCTACTAATCCATAGATCAATCACGTCGAAAACGTACAGAAGTAAGCGGCTACCTGCTCCCAGACGAGATACAATAGAGCGGGGTTGGCGTTTAACATGCCACGCGGGTAGCCGGCAACAAAACAAGTACGGCTGTAACTTGGGTATATAAGGTGTATGTAAGCTCGCCGCACCCGGGACCCCTTTGCAATATTTATGTATGTATGTGTAGAACTACCTAGGTATAACATTGTCTTAAATTTGAAAATCTCATTTCTAGCCATAGGGGCGACATGTCTACCTAGGTTAACATGATCTAGACAATACTGAATCCATCGACGATCCACCCCCCTTATATACAAACGCCTTGGATATGCAGTTCAGTTCCATACTGCTAATGCTCGTACGTGGATAACTTTCCTTCTATACGACGAGATCCGATCTAAAACGTCTCGTCTATGCTCCTGTTGTCGCCGAAAGCTATGGCGGAAGACTCTCTTCTCGTCCTAATGGTTCAATGGCTTCTCCTAACTCACCCTCGTGAATTAGACAATACCATGAGATATCCACCTCATCCTCTTCAATGACCTTCCTCAATGAGGTCGAATGGTCCATGCGTCATGAGACTGGGTCGCCCTCTCTCTCAACCAAACGCCTTCCTCATAGCTTGATGCGCCAACTCGACGCCCAAAAACGTGGCCGCGTTAGCCGGCACCGCCCTCGCGAGCGCCGGCCCGAAACCCGGGAAGAAGGCCTTGACACCACCCCTTCCATACAACTCCCGAATAACACCACCGATAGTCACGTTGCCTTCGGCAGTCTGCAGCCGACTCTTGACAGTGTCAACGGGGAACACAGGGATCCACATAGCCACGCCCGCCGCGCCTCCCGCCGCCGTAATAGCCATCAGACTCAACTCGCCGCTGGGTTTCCCAGTCGCCGGATCGCGCGGCGTCAGACGGCGCTTGATATACTCGTACGCGGCAAAGTAAGCGGCAGACCCAGGGCCGTCGCGGGCAAGCGTAGCCGCGCTGCCACGGAAGACGGAGCGCACGCCGCCTTCGCGGTAGAGCTGGCGCACGACGTCTACGCCGCCTTTGTACTTGGGCTCTTCGCCGGGTTTCAGGCGCTGGCCTTGGACTTGCAGGATGACCTTGACGCGCTCGAAGGGCGCGGTGATGGCGGTCATGGGGATCGCGGAGAAGAAGCCCGCTGCGCTGATCTGGCCGATGGATAGGGCGCCGGTGGGGGATGGGGGGGAGAAGGATGTTACGATTTGCTTGCCGAGGTCGTAGCCCCAGAAGGATACGGCGACTAGGATTTGGCTGGGTTAGTTTTGCGCATTTCTACTTATTTATGATTGCGAATAATGGAGGGGGAGGGGGAGGGGGGAAGAAAGGGAGGAACATACACATAGGCGTAACACCGACCAACGGCGCACTCACACCAGCATACAACCCCCTTTTCAACCCATCCCGAGCAACGCTCTTCCTCACGACATCAATAGCCGAAGAGTACACGCCCTTATCCGCAGTCTGCAAGCGCACCTTAACCAAATCGAACGGATGGCCAACGACGACGGCGCATACACCGCCGAACCCCCCGGCAGCAAAGGACCGCAGCTGCGACGAGAAGCTGGACGCGGCAGCTTGCGCCTCGACTTTCAGCTCCGTCTTGAGCTCTTCTTTGGTCTCGGGGATATGCGGCAGGTGATCGGCGACTTGGGCCGGGAGCGACGAGTGCAGCTTCTCGTTGATGCCGGTATGCTTGTCGTTCGACGACATGATGACAGCGCTTGATTTTATTTCGGTTTATCCCGTCTACCAACAATGCGGTCCAGCTTATCCTGAGACTATCCGGGTTACCTATCGAATAAGTCGAGAGGGGGGGGGGGGGGGTAAATTGTCCTGTTTGCGCAAATTCGCGCACTCGGTAGAATTACACGATAGCTAGCTACCTGTTGTCTAGGTAGACAAGCTCAGATCCCCAAAATGTCGACGTCTTTGCGCCCAAGTTACACGCTCAACGCAGCGGCGGAAGTCCGAGGTACCGTAGATGGATATAGCAGCAACAACCGAAAAAGAAGAAAAAAGGCAAACAGTCACACGAGGGAATTAGCTTTATCGAGAAAGAAGCAAGTTAGAGTCGGCAATAGAAAGCCGAGCCAACGTCAGAGAATACTCGTGCCTCGGCAGAGAAACTATAAAATAAAAAAAGGGTTCCAAAGTACCGGGTACTGGTAATCCGTACATGTACTTACCTAGGTAAGGTAGCTTATGTACCCGCTTTCGCTAACCTTAAGCCCCGGAGTATTCGTACATCATATGTAAGTATTAGACCGAGATCAGATCAGATAACATCTCGTCGTACATATAGTGTATCAACAGTACATCAAGCTACATTAGATACACGATCACATAAGTATAATAAACAGCCACAGCGTATCGATATTCTATAATAGTTACTTGAAGAACTAAAACCCATAAGCCGAATAGTGAATATACATAGGTATCATGCCTCGGCCAAGTCGGCTTAATGGATGAAAGTGCCCTTTACGTAACTATCAGGTACCAGATGGGTCAAAAGAAATACCCCGCCAAAAGTCTAGTCCGCAAGAGGGCAATTCCACTCACGTACAGGTACATGTACATTTACACAACCCAACATATTTCGGCCATGCATATGTATTTCTCTCAATATAACAGACGAACACCCGTCATTTATAACACGCATTTACCGGTCACAGCATAGAACCTTTACATATCTATGTGTTACCAAACCCAGAATAAAGCCCGACCATTGATAACTCGGCCCGCCAAATTAGGTGCCGGCAGAAGCCGTCGTTCCTGACCCGGCCATGCTCCGTGTAGTACGTAGGTACCTAAGATGATACGTCATAATCATATGCCAAAGCGCTACAGAAATGGGACTTTGATAAAATGCACGTGTAAATAGTTCACGAAAATATAATGTAGACGTTCACTATCCGGAAAGTATATACAGAACACCCAGAGCAGCATCAAAATGAACATATAATCGGGTATACTCGTTCCTCATTTTCCTCTATTCCGCTTTTATTTTCGACCTCCTTATCGACTTGGAAGTCTCTCCAATCACACCCGCGCTGTCCAACAAAAAGATATCACCGATCGTCGAACGCCGCAATGCGCAACTCCGGGGAAAGGGAACAAGCTTGCCCACAATACTCCGCACTTACCCCAGTTCATGGGTAGCTCAAGCAAGATAGAACGCCCCTAGTACCAATTGTTACAGCGCCTCAATACCCACATAGCCCCTTAGATGTTATAGCATTGACCCGACCCATCCCGCACCAACATGTCGTATCCCCTTCTCTCTCCATCTGTATCGTTAGGTCAATCCCGTGTTTGCTAAGGTAGCTCTGAACCCTATCTCGAACATCCTCCAAGTCTGCACCTCGAACTGCGGCCACGTGAATCACCCCCAAGAGCCTACCTCCCGACTCGCTGCTTACACCGTCATCCACCCAAAATTTCGGTACAGAATACGAGGCAACGCCTCGCTGACTTGTGATCTCAGACAGCGCATTTCGAAGATTGTACTCGGTATCCGCTGGGATTGTTAGTAGTAAGCGCTGGGCTGATGATTTTACCAGGGGTATCGCCGTGATGAGGATCAAGTACGCAATTAAGAAGGACGCTAGAGGATCCCAGCCAGACCATGGAATGAGGTAGGTCAGAACTGTCGATATGATCACCGAGGCACTTCCAAGAGTGTCTGCGAGAATATGCAAATAGATTCCGTGCATATTTTCGTTCTCGTGGCTATGAGAATGAGCATGTCCATGACCGTGACCGTGACTATGGTTGTGTTTGTGGCCGTGATCGTGCTCGTGGTGCGATTTACAGTCGTGATCATGATCTTTGCCATGACTATGGCTATGGCTATGGCCATGAGAATGACCATGATCGTGCGAATGGCCATGGCTATGACCATGAGAACCGAAGGCAAAGATGCCTAACAGATTGACCACCAGTCCCAAGGTACTAACAATGAAGAGCTCTCGAAGTCTCTTGGTTTCTCGGCCCTCTAGTAGTCTCTCAAATCCTTCGAACATGATTTCGAGACTAATGAGTCTAGGGAAACTATCAGCTAAAGAATTCAGTTAGATGGAATTGGGACTTACATCAAAAAGACTCCGTTTGCAAACCCGCTCAGTGTCTCGATCTTCCCGAAACCGTAGGGAAACCTCTCGCTAGGCGGCCATTTACTCATAACCGACGCAAAAAGTCCCACTGCCAAAGCCACACAGTCGAAAAACATGTGTATACTATCGCTAAGGAGTCCCAGGGAGTCGGTCAGATACCCATAAACGGCCTGGACGCCCATGAACGTGAAATTAACCCTATAAAGAGTAAGATTAGTGACATATCCAAAAACGAAATAGATCTAATTTAAGTCATACCCCATAAAATAGAAAATTCGCCGCGAATCTTTCTCTGTCATGATGGCGTGGATCAAGGGCCACTTCGAGGTAAAGGGAAGCAACAAAGCCGTAAATTTTGAGTAAGTTGCTTCATGACCACCACCATGGGCATGGTCGTGTATAACAGTGGCAGTAGGTGCTCTATAGCTTGGGGTCTTTGGCGCGTCCATCACGTCATTCTTCTGTGGACTAGGCAGTTCCTCAGCATTCTGTCTCAGGGGTGACGGCCGGTTTTCTCGTCTTTGTAGTGGCACAAACGAGTTCGCTCGATACTGTGTTATATTTTGCTGGACCTGTACTTGAGCATTAGGGTCGAGATGGTCGAGATGGTCGAGATGGTCGTGACTATGATTATGGTCGTGGTCATGCTCGTGGTCATGCTCGTGGTCATGATCATGGTCATGGTCGTGGCTATGGCTATGGTTGAAGTCGGCTCTGAGTCCTTGGCCCTGAGGGTAGGTCTGCAAGGAACGAGTCGATCTCGAGTGGCCGAAGGACGAGGGAGAATGGGAATGAGAGTGAGAGTGAGAATGGCCGTGGTTATGCGGTAAAGGAGGTTGCGGTAGGGCATAGGAGGATGCCATGATGTCGTTCAATGGTCTAATTAACTCGGGGTATCTGTTTGCCTAACTAGCAGTGACGATGTTTAGAGCCCCGAAGACTCTCTTCGATTTCCAACTTTTATCGCATGTGTATGGGATTATTAGTGCATAAATACGAATAAGCGTGTTAACCGGCGATCTCTAGCGAGTCGAGCCGGTTGAGTACCTTGGCGGTGACGATCGATGCTGGTCGGTGCTGAATCGGTGCTGAATCGGTATATCTGGCAATTATTGATTGTGTTCGTACGCTTCGGCAACGATTGAGCCTTGAACGGGGAATAATTAATTTAAATATCTAGTTTAAGAGTGAGTGTGATGGTACTACACGATCTTAACTGACAAGACTAAAAAGCAATCCAAAGAGAACAAGCAAATTGTGGCATCTTGTATTGATAAAAGAGCGGAGGAGAAAAAGAGAGCGACGACGTCGAAGAGGAGGAAAGATCCATTGTAACCCCCCTGTTCCTGAATGCAGTTCCTAAACTTTTCTCCTTCCAATCTAGCGCCAGCCCGCAATCTATGATGCACCTGGACAGCCTGCAAGTACTCCGCATTATTACTAGTAGTACCATGTACCACGTACTAATCGATGTAGTCTTTTCGCCGAGTCGTCACTGAGTGGTAGGTACTATTACAGTAAGATTACTAGGCTTTTTAGGGGTTCGACAGGTACCCCCATCTTTAAAGTTTGCGTGCCTGAGGTCCCTATTAGATGTTGATAGGTACCGAAAGTTTATTACCTACATGTAGTCGATAAGCCAGATTCATCCAATAAATCACCTCAACCTTAACAAACCCTGCATCGAACACCACCACGTCAAAACATTATCGCCGCCTCCAATCCAAGTGGTCAAGGTCATAATTACCTAACCATCATTTTAAGATATGTTCTGCAGATGCTGTTCATCTACGCGCAGAGTCGGGACAGGTCACAAAAGAGAATATACGAAGACACATTTTAAATAAGCCCGTCGTCGTATAGCTCTAAGCTTACCTACACACTATCCTCGTAGTAAGCTATACTCACATTTTACAAACAAATATATACCTATACATACCCCGATATCCCCGCCTTACTATTCTGAAATGGCATATCTCGCCATCGTACTGGCGTTTACCGCTTTCGGATCGTTACTTGGCCTCGTGGTAGTTCTAACCATGCTACCTTCACGCTACATTAAGATCTCCCCAGCATCTAAGGAGTCTGTTTCTGTTCAAGTCTTAGTTCTTGGAGATATTGGTCGAAGCCCGCGCATGCAATACCATGCTCTAAGTGTTGCTAGACATGGCGGAAGGGTTGATCTTATTGGCTATCATGGTATCTTTGTTTCTCTTCTTATGTTTCTCTTCTTATGTTTCTCTTCTTAGCTTGACGAGTAACCCGTACTAAGTCATTGTATAGAATCGACCCCTCATCCTGATCTTCTCAGCAATCCTAGGGTTAAGATCTATCCGTTGGCACCTCCGCCAAGTGTGATCAGGTCCAGTTCGATTCCTTTTATCGTCTCAGGGCCTTTAAAGGTGCTATGGCAAATTTGGACTCTCATTCGAGTTCTTGGTTACCAAACACCCCCTGCAAGATGGATCATGGTTCAGGTACAGTATATTTATATTTATATTTATTATCTTTATACGGGATATTTGTTAACATCGGTTCTAGAACCCCCCATCTATTCCAACTTTAGCTATTGCCCTTCTCATTTCTGTCTTGCGCAACACGCATCTTATAATCGATTGGCACAACTATGGCTGGACGATCCTTGCCGGGACCAAGGGACGCAATCATCCTTTCGTGGAAATCTCGAAAGCCTACGAGTGCGCGTTAGCTCAGGCAGCACCTACGGCTAATATCACTGTTACTCATGCGATGAAGCGGCAATTAGAGAAGGCACCTTATAGCGTTACGGCACCAATTCTTGTCCTTCACGACCGGCCAGCCTCCTTATTCCAGCCTCTGGAGTCCTTGCCAGATCGCAGGGACTTTCTAGAAAAGTTACCTGAGACTAGGGAATTCGCTTCAAACATTATAGGAGGTCAGACAAAGCTTATAGTAAGCAGTACATCTTGGACACCGGATGAAGACTTCTCCCTCTTGCTCGATGCCTTGGTTACATACGCTAAGGACGAGTCTACGCATCCTATCATCGCCATCATTACAGGGCGCGGGCCCCAAAAAGCAGCTTATGAAGAGAAAATCCGGAACCTACAGAAAGCGGGAAAGCTACCCAATATTCGCATACTAACCGCGTGGCTAACGATGGAGGATTATGCCAAGCTCCTGAGTTGTGCTGACCTCGGGATATGTCTTCACATGTCTAGCTCCGGCGTTGACTTACCTATGAAAGTTGTGGATATGTTTGGGTCTGGGCTACCGGTTGCTGCGTACTCTGGATATGAGAGCTTCAGCGAATTGGTCAAGGAGGGTATAAATGGATGCGGTTTTGAGACAGCAGACGAGCTAGCGACAACTTTAACGCGATTATTGGGGGAGGAAGGGTCACGCGAACTCCAGACACTACGTAGAGGAGCCAAGAAGGAGAGTGATCTACGGTGGGATGAAGAATGGGATCGAGTTCTAGCCGGTGTATTAGGGCTCATGGACTAAGAGACAGCAATATTTAAGCGGGACTACCCATTACAAATTACGAAAATCGACGGATTGAATTCAAATACGTATCAAATACGTAACACCTATACGCCTTCTCGAATGCTCCGAAGTCAGCTATGCTAGTGTCTAAACAGACGCTATTCAACACAGGATGGTGCTCCTGCGATGGCGTCCCGGTTTCCTCCTTTATTCGAGAGATATTTATCGGTATAGAAGTTCGGTTGTCGGTATGCGGCCGTGAATCCTGTTCATTTACTTGCCCTGCCTACCTAATCCTCGCCTAAGCTCTCCCTAACGCACTTCCTTACCCGCTTCCTAAACTCCTTCGGACCACCTTCTCGCTCGGCCCGCAACAGCTTGGCGGCATCCAGATTGGCGGGACTCTCGTCGTTAGGCTCGTTGAAGAGGCTGAGAACGCTTAGCAGTATCGTCTCGGGGGTCTGGACGGGACTCCAGCGCTCGGCGGCGCTCTCATAGCCGTACTTGTCTTCCTCGGGTGGGTGCAAGATGGATATGCAGAGCTCGCCATTGGGGTAGATGTTGGGGTGGAACGGAACCGGGTTCTGGAAGACGATCTGAGGAGGCAGGTGAGGATATTCGGGTGGGAAGGTCATAAGGGCGCGGAAATAGGCACCTATGTTTATCTATGCGTTAGCCATGCCGGATCTAAAGGCCTATCTAACTTCATGCGCGTAGCAAGGACGGTTATGATTTAGGAGAGAGGGGGGATTAAGACATACCACCGTAATACTTGCACTCATCATTGATCATAAGAATAACTTCCCATTCGAAGACATTGCTCTCCTTAGCTAGGCCTACTGAAATACCTGATAGGTCAGATGACGTATGCATCTCCTTGAGCTGGCGCTGCAAGAGTCGGGCAGCTCCCGAGGTTTGCGCCGACGATGCTGACATTGTGGTGGTGGTGGTGGTGGCGTATTACAGCAGTTACGCGATAGAAGATGACGAGATGAGGTAAAGTAAGATATGTATTTTGGGTATTTTGTAAGGGTATTTGTGAATCGCCGATATAAAGCAGATAGGTAATTTTGTACGTAAGCCGTAAGCTGTAAGTCGGGCAGGTTCGAACTGCAAGATCCGCCACGAGGTTATTAGATCGGTCGGCGACGCGGATATCTACCTGTGTACCTGTATTATGTACCTTTAGGTAAGTTTGACGTTACTCGCGTGTGGGGTGTTAACGGTCGAGAATGGAGAGTGAAACGGACGTGAAAGATTGCATCTGTCGAGTCCGGCGCGGAAGTCCTGTAATCGATGGTGGGGTAGCTTGGTACATAGGTTAGGTATGTATGAAGTTATATAGGTATGTAAGGATTAGATGCAGCTATGAAGGGATATGCGCAGGGATAAGGGATATGTATTGGACAGGAGTATGGAATTGAATTTACAGGACAATTGTTGTGTTCTTACCCTTGTCCGGACTTTATTATCGAATCTACAAAGATATGAAGTCTTACGTCACATACAGTATAGGTTAGGTATTTTAACTACATAAAGTAAATTAATTAACATTAGGTGTTATTGTAGGTACCTAGGTACGTACATATAGAGTAGAGGCAAGTGAAGATGATTATATTCAAGATAGAGACGTAAATCAAGTTATTATGTAGAAGCCATAAATTGAGTTGGAACCCGGTCAAAATAACTCCTGCAAGGGCGGGAAGATGCAGACAGGCTTGTACAACAGAACAAGTAGCAGCCAGTTAAGAGCTTACACTTTCATGCCACTTCAGTCCAATAAAGTCTCTTCGTCTTGTTGATACTACCTTGGTACTTATATGTAAATATATATAGACCATATATCATATTAAAATCATATACACAGAAACTAAGGGACAGAGGAGTTGATAGATTGCTAATGAATTCTACTATCCAGCCCAAGAAGCACCTTACAGCCCGTGGCTTTCATTTTATACCAGAGGTAAACAGGGCATTAATACAAAACCAGCCCCAAATAGGTACCTATACACATGGCCGTAAGAATCAAACCAAGATACCGCCTAAGCAACCCAAACTTGGATCAAACCAAACGCCGTATCTGATGCACCTTAACGCCATCCCTTCGCTTATACTTTAATATAACTATCATTCCCTGAATGTCCCTTATGATTCCGTCACCTGGCTACTTCTTCTTCTTCGACGTCCCAAACCCCGTAATCCCCATCGCAGCCATCATATCATCCTCATCATGCTCTCCCTCGATCCGCACGTCGTCGCCATACTCAGTCTTAATCTTCTCCTGCGCGTCTTGCGCCGCCTTCTTCTTCGCCAGCTCCTCCTGTCTCTTAAGCCGCCTCGCCTCCCTCTCCTTAGTCGCCTCCTCCTCGCGCATTTCCAACCGCTCTTTTAGCGTCGTCGTGCTTGCCTTTTTCTGCTCTTGCAGCCGCTCCCATACCTCCGTGATGCGCTGGTGGACTTCTTCCGCGCTCGCCTTTTTGACCTCGCCTGTCTCGCCGATGTTCCGTAGATGCTGCATGCTGTTCACGTGCTCGACCCATTGCATGTTGTCCTTGAACGTGAGGTCGCAGGCGCTGCAGTAGAACCCGGCGCCGCGGCCCCTTTTGCCCTGGCCCGCGCCCGCCGGGACTAGTGTCGTCTTGCCCACGTTGGCCTCGAGGTCGATGATATCGCGCCGCGCCCGCGTGAGCGTCTCGTCGCCCGTCATAGGCTTGTAGTACTTTTTTCCAGCCATTTTTGCCTCATATCGCGCCTTCGCTTCTTCTTTATCGGCTGCCTCTCGTACCTTGGCTTTCTGCGCGTACTCGTCTAGGTCGTAGCTCCGCCGGAAGGACGTATCGTCGGCCGGCGTGCCGTACGCCGAGCCCTTTTTATCGGCCATGTTGATAGTATTTGAGAGTGGTGTATTTTATTCGGTTCAAAGGGGGTGTAGTGTGGGAAATAGGCCTTCTTGAGTATTACCGTGGAGGTTATACTATGAGTAGAATTGACGTTGTAACTACACGACTTTGTTTGCGATTAACGCGATAAAGTAATCTAACCGTAGCATTTAAATGTGGTAAGACAGTGGGTACCTAAGTACCTAGTTCAGTACCCCTGCTGCCCTAGCTATAGGAAAGACATGCTTAATCGATTACCCCTCCATTTATGCCAATAAGCATCTTAAATAAAACTTCCTCCCCCACTTCATCTTAGACTTCTTCTGCGAGATCTCGAGCATCGAGCTTTTCTCTATAGGACCTGAGTTAGCTTGGTTCGTGCTATTACAATGCTCTACCTCGTGGGACTAGGTCTCTCTGATGAGACGGATATAACAGTCAAAGGCCTCGAAATCGTTAAAAAGGCATCCCGTGTCTACCTCGAAGCCTACACGAGTATTCTCCTAGTAGATCAGTCCGTCTTAGTAGGCAATTCCTCATCTCGCGCGGTATTGTCTTTTCTCATTCAGCTAACGCTAATGGCGCAGTAGGAGAACTACTATGGCCGATCCATCGTAGTCGCAGACCGCGAGATGGTCGAGTCGAATAGCGAAGAAATCCTCCGCGATGCGCATACTGAGGATGTCGCATTTTTAGTAGTTGGTGATCCTTTCGGGTATGAGAGAGCCGTCCGAGAAATCCAATGAAGAGAGGCCATACCTTTTCAAGTGTACAGGAACAACGAGCATAGACTAACGCCTAAATATAGCGCGACTACGCATACTGACCTCGTTCTTCGAGCGCGCGAGCTCTCAATCCCTGTCCAGACGGTACCAAATGCTTCCATAATGTCAGGGATAGGAGCTACGGGGCTTCAACTATACAACTTCGGCCAGACGGTATCTATGGTATTCTTCCTAGATAATTGGCGCCCCGCCTCCTTTTACGACCGTATCAAAGAGAATCGATCCATTGGGCTTCATACACTCGTGCTATTGGACATCAAAGTCAAGGAGCAGAGCTTAGAGAACATGGCTCGAGGAAGGAAGATATACGAACCCCCTAGATATATGACAGTCGGGCAATGTGCGCAGCAGATGCTTGAAATCGAAGAAGAAAAGAAGGAGGGCGTTTACGGACCGGAAAGCCTAGCCATTGGCGCCGCGAGGGTTGGCGGCAGAGAAGAGAAGTTTGTTGCCGGAACACTAAAACAGCTCTGCGATGCAGATGAAGCGCTCGGGCCGCCGCTACATAGTTTAGTATTATTGGGCAAAAGAGCACACGAGCTAGAGAGGGATTATGCGCGCGAGTTTGCGGTCGATAAGCAGACGTGGGATACGATTTGGATTAGGGATTACGGTCAGCAATGAAGAAAGGCATCATTTAGGTAATAATCGCAAATACACCTGTGTCTTTCACCATCCAACTACGTTGATTTATTTCATGATTTAATATAGGTCATTCCTCAGGACTATCCCAAGCTGCCTATATATATATAGGTATATATACTCTTTCCGCGATAGTTTGTGACAGTTAATTAAATTATAGCAACCTCGTTTATTAATAAATGCAACATCTTAGCTACCCTATGCTGTGTGATGCGATACATCAGACTTTATCATCGACAATATTTCTTGCTTTAAGGGATAAGTTTGATGACGTCAAGATAAGAGCCACTAGTTAATCATTATTGGAGATGTTTACATATTCCTTTTCCTTTATTTTAACTTGAGACTGTCGCAGGAAAAAGCAATTGATAAAAGGTAAACGTACATCTTGTCAAGTTGATATAAACTCGTTCTAACCTCTCAACTACATGACATCGATCGATAAGGATAGGATAATGCGTAGGTGCGCTAAGCAGCTGAGCAAGCCCTTGATGTAATATGGGCCAATCCATGAACATATTTAGGTATTTTTGTACATGTGAGCTTTAAATAGAATCAAGCCTCCAAATTGGACCACGGTTCAAGGAACCGAACCGGTCTAAGGGGAGCGATACGCTAGCCTGTGTTACAAGATACAGTAGTAAAAGCTGCTCAAATCTTCGGCATGGATTTTTGGCTTCTGTCATTGGGTAGTTCTGCCATGTCACACCTAATGCAGAGGTTAGAGATGTTAACGGGAAATAGCTACCCAGAAGAGCGGGCAGGTAAGAAGTACATGTACTTACCTACCTTGATATATTCTTCATCCCCTCCTTCCGTCCAGCGATTGTAATGTAGAGGAATAGGTGGTGGATGTCCCACTAACCTTACCTACTACAGGTCCAGTTGCCCATCACAGCGACCTAAGGTACATGTATGTACATACCTGATCACCCGGTGTAGACTAGAGAGGTAAGGTAGGTAGTAACTTCCACATTACTTCACCTAATGGTGACTCGCTTACTCCATCTATTTCTTATCCTACGTTCGTTTCGCATAACACTTATTTAGTGCCCGTCGTTGCACCTCGTCCCAAATTCATTTCAAGAGGTAAATACCTGTAAATCACACCAAATACCACCTATCTCTAACCCTCTCATCCATTTAATCGGCATCACCTGACTTCGCGACACTTCCCCCCCAATCTCCTTAGCCGCTCCTCTTTTTAATCTTCCTCATATCTCTCCTAGCCGTTACAATCTAGTCATAGTCCGCGTCTGGTCTTTGATGTTCTTCCCCAGGTCATATTCTTCATATTCCCGTTAAGAGCCTAGGTTTATGCCTTGTTTTGCCGTGGCAGGTATTTCTTTGCCGCGAGTTCCTAATTACTACTCAAATCGAATCTCGGGGACCCCAAGAATTTGATTTCAAATTTCAAATCTTGTTTGGCCTCAGATAGCTTCTTTGTCTTGTGCAAACAGTTTCCCCCCTTCAAGACAGCTCATACTACAACCCGTCTACAAGAAGTCGGATTGAACAACCTACATCGTCTCCAAATTCCATTACCTTTTCCGGTATACCTCTCGGCGTTTTGCCAAACCTCGGGCGCCCGAGGTGCTTTAGTACGCCTCTGGTTATGAGCGTTGTCACGAGTCCTTGTAGTCATCCGCTTCATTCAACATGGTACGAGCTTAACACCTTACTATCTCACGTTAATGCCTCTTGTTTATTAACTAGTTGCTGTAGAGTAGCATTGCCTGGGAATGCCGTGATCAGGCCGACCAGGCCGAGATCTACTACAATCATCCCCTTCGCACCAAGGTTCGACGTCTCGAAGATGAGAACATGACTTTGAAGCGTCTACTCCGTGAGAATGGCATCTCGTGGCAAACCCGTCCCAAGCCCGCGAGGACTTCTACTGGGCGAATCACCCGTGCTTCTACCAGGGCCGTTCGCCCGCCCCTTCCACACATCCCGGTTGAGATACAGCTTAGAATCATGTCATTCGCTCTGACTAGCTCACTTCCTATCGTCGATCCGCTATGCAAGGTCAAGCCGGAGAATCTGACGGTTCGAGAGAAGTCCAAGTCTAGCAGACTTGCGATTCACTTCTTGGCGACCTGTAAGGCCTACCATGATGAGGGCACCAAGCTCCTATGGACCAATAACTCCTTTGTCTTCACTAGTCCGGAGTCACTCAGAAACTTCGCCGAGGTCCCTCTTCACTTCCGACGAAACATCAAGGATGTCACCCTCCGCGTTATTGCAAAGTTCTATGACGACGAAGAGCGAACACACAGGATTAGTCGCAACTACCACCCCGATCTTAGAAAGGCCGTTGCCTTGACCGTGCATAAGCGGCCCAAGGAAAATAGTCTTGCTCGCCGTGGTTTCCGAACTTACGGTTGGTACCAGCTTGCTGACTTCCTCATGGCCATGCTGCCTCCCTTCGACCCTTCTTACGTTTCTCATAGCAATGGTTCGGCCACAACATATTCTGCTCCATTGCCCAAGTTACTACCATCTCTAGAAAAGATTCGCATTGACTTTGTGAATTTCGGTGAAGACATGTTTAACAACCCGCCTCCCCAACTTCACGAGGTCGCGTCACACCAGCTTGGATGCACACTGAATGAGGTGGTTTTGACTGGCTTGCCGAGTGATGAGACCGGTCTTCGGGTTTGCAACGAGATGGCCGGCCTTTTGAAGGACGAGGGCCTCCTTATTGATCACGCACCTACGATGGTGGCTCTCAAGAACGGCGTGCGTGCTCTCGAATGCGATACTCATGAGTGTCATTACTGTGCTAAGGTCGTTCGGGCGATGCGCGCATTTAAGAGTGGCGACCACCATCACGACGATGTGCATTCCCATCTCTTCGGAGCTGACTTCCCACCCGCACCTAAAGATGAAGGCGAGCCACCTTATTCCTATTATCATTCCTGCCGGACCATTTGGAAGAAAATACCTATCAAGCTCGGCGACGAGGAGCGCAAGTGGGTGCTATTTGATAGGATGAGCGGACTTCCGTGGGATGACGTCGAGGAGGACATCACCATGTTCGACTTTCTTAGCGACGATGACGAAGCTATCGCCTGTGAGAATTGCGGCGAGGTTCATCCGGGAGCCATTCCTCCCATAGAGATGATGGATCTTTACGACGACTTTTGAGCACGTACCTGAGAGGACAATTCCGATCTTTCTACGATGATTACGAATGATATGCATATGATACCAGGTTTGCTTTAATTTCGGCATTTGCACGGGCGGATGAAAAAGGAGCGGAGTGGCAAATGTAATAAGACTACATACAGGTCGAACCCATCTTCACAGCAAAGGGTGCCCCAGCACTACCATGTAATATACGAGCCAAACAACACTTCAAGGCTCAAGTATCCCAATGCCTGCTTTGTATGAATTGGCCTCTATCTGTAGCGCCAATTTGTCTTTTAATTAAGAACGATAAGCTTTAGTTGATCACAGTTTTCGTATCATTCGCATCCTCTTATTTTTGGTGTTCTGTCTGTAATAGATTTGTGTTGCCATTAGTTTTCCATCCCATAGGGGCATTTAACAGGGTTTCGCTAAGCAACGTGGCATTCCCATACTTATAAGTAATCTTAATAATTAGGTACCTATAACCATTAGGTAGTATTGTAGGCTTCTTGTCTATTCAATATACATTGATGCTAATACTTAAATGTATCGTTAATAGGCTCCGGCCCCTACAAAAGAGATAAGTTAGAAGTATGGCATTGCATAACTACCTACCTATACTTATTGTTCAATGAATCAAATAGGGATTTAATTGCATTGTAATCAAATGCTAGCCCGTGTCAAGATATTATCTAGTAGTTAATCGTAACCAAGTAAATCTTAACCCTAGGTTTCTAGTGCCACGGGCTTATTCGCCTCTTTGTTAGAAGTCTTTGTATTAGTATTGATATTGTTCCGAATACTAGATAGGCGTTTTTACATTTTACCCTTTTCTATACTACTGTACTCACACGGCGAGGAGATTCCATATATGTGTGCGTATGTGTTGTCTACTGCGTTATAGAGGTCCTAGTAAAGGCCAATTTGTTGTCACCACAATCTTATAGATATGAAAATATCAGTTGTCAGAGCATGCTACTCACAGAGTTATATATAGCCCTATCTAGGTCTCTAAGAGATAGGACTTACACCCAGCAGCTACCTCCTAGGGCATAACTCTTTAGCCAAACGTTGGGTTATTATCCTTTAATATTACGTATTATATTATCGACCTTATGTGTCTACGGCTGTTTGCAGGATGTCTGCCATCTTTTTGGTGTCTGGTATTTCATTTGAGTTGCCTTATATACGAATAATTTCAAATATTATCATGGTCACCATTATAAATCCAGTCTACGAACTATGGTGATCTCTTCTCCACTCCCATCTTTAGTATAACAAGCCATTAAAACCTGCCTATCTTCGTTCACAGCATCAATGCTGCTGGGTACATGTATGCTCTTCCCCTTCGGCCCTATATACGAATAGTTACCATGTGGTGGGATCCGTAACCACTCATTCTTTAAGCTATACCGTGATTATGCGAGACTCTGGATCCCGTAGGCGTATAAGATTGTCTGGGTAGAAGGCCGTGTCTAGATAATAAGTATATTGGTAAGATTCCCTCTCAAAACTATCCTAGTTCTTGCATTTGTTGCCGTCTGAGGTGCGGCCGTTGCAGAACCAAACCTACTCAAAAATCTGTAGGATCAAGTTCAGGGGTATAGATCTGCTCTAAGTGGGAAAGGCCCAGCAAAGACCGCATGACGGCCGAATTCCCAAAGTCTTGATATTGCCCAGCTGCCTGGTAGATTACGAAGAAGCCGAACACGTGGGTTTGGTCCAAGTCATCTGTGATCTCAGTGCCCCCCTTCTAGCATATCTAAGAGGTAGACACTATGCCCTAGTATAACCACTCTACGTTGTCTTAGCCTGAATCTGTAAAGTCCTGAATAGGGCCACTCACCATGATAACCTCGAGCCTGTCTAACATTAGAGGATAGTAACCAAACAAAACCCACTTTAACAACTCGTTCAGCTCCGCGATCTCTTTGGCCGTCAACGACCGTTCCATATTCTTATTACCGAAATGGCTTCTCCTCGTCCGGCGAGCCCGAGTCATTCTTAAAACCAGACTTAACTTACTTCAAGATGCGATCCCATTTGCCGCCCTAGCTATACTTGATAGCATGAACGCAGACCTTGGCAAAGCTGGCTAGGACCATATTAATCTGCCTCATAAGAAATGTGTTGATATTGGTTTTCTGTTCTACCACCCGTGCGTATACATGAGTTTACAAAGGTTACGTTTACCAATTGTACATATCCATGCTTTGTACTTTATGAACTACCGAGCTGCTTGGCCATTGCTCATGGCCTGTTCTACCTAGAGGGGTAAGAGCTTACCTCGTCGCAAAGTATTGTAGGGTCGACTATGCTGATAAATCGTTTTGACGAAACTTGGATTGGTTTATCATAGATGACTCACATGTAGGTATAAAAGGGGAGACATGTTGCGAGCCAAAGGCATAGCCATTGGTCGACATAGTACAGTTATTATATGTAGTAAGTAGCATCCTCAACAGGACAGGGGTTTCCTAAACGTGCCGATAGAATGCGTAGTAGGTATAAGCACCTGGACTATCTTTGTTGAGTGAGTTTGTGGCTATGGTTGGAATGATGTTAAATAGAACCACATCTAAAGCGGCTTCTAATTACCCTATGTGTATAAGCGAGTAAGAGGCGGATGAATTAGCCTCATCATATATACCTCTTGTGCGGGTGGAGGAGGTTCTACAAGAAAGGCGATGCGAGGATAGAAATGATATTGTATTCTGAAAGATCCTAATTGGTATTGGGGACACCTTCTCCCCCATAGGTAGAATCAATACAGGTATGCTAGCCGGTTAACAACACGACTAAGATATAATTAGACAAGAGATGCGAAGCCGTAAAAGCTCTAGCCGGTCTGGTTTTGTTTGTAACTCTGATTTTCATTACTCGGGTACTACAACCTGTTTCCTCCCTTCTCTGCCTCTACCGAGAAGTAGTTCTAGATGCGACTAGGCTGCTCATCAGCTTTTGCGGATTTCGGCCATTTTAACTCCAGTAATAGAACATGATTGATCGTCATCATGGGAAAACCGTATGCCCACCATGCCCTTGGACTAGGGTGAACTCATAACAGTACATGAAACTTGAATTACTCTTCAGATTCTGCTTCACTTTCGGCATCCTCGGCCTCGGCCTCTTCTACCTCTTCTTCAGCTTCCTCAGCTTCGCCATTTACCTCTCCGGTGGCAACGCCGCCCTCGCTTTCCAACCGCAGCCACTCATCCCATTCTGGGAAGAGTTCTTCGTCTTCTGTTGGGATAGCAATTACCTTTGCCACCCGGCCCTTCTTGTTCTTCTCTAAACTTTCTTTCCACCCTTTCACAGCATCAACCGTCAAGCTCGGCTTGTATGTCTGCGAGAATAGGACAGCTTCAGCTAGCCTGTTCGTCTTGGTGAGAACATCCACACAGCCTGCGGTATCACCTAGCAACCACCTGCACGTGAATGCAACGTTGTGGGCGCCGGACTCCTCTGCTTGCGTTGCGAGTGCCTTTAAGCCTGCCTGATCGGATGTGCTAGAGTAAATCAGGAGCAAAGAGCCTAGATCTTTCGCATGGGTGAAACACTCAGCAGCGAGCGGGACGTCCCATGCCGTGAGGGCTGCGTCACCTACCGTCTTCCACTTGTGGTCATTTTCCGCTTTTCGCGCAAGGTCAAGAGCAATGTCAAGCTGGTTCAGGGCTAGCGACAAGTCAAACTTATGCTCAGGGTCGGTGGCCACCTCTAACGCTAGTTCTTTGTGGCCCTGTCCCTCGAGGAACCTGGCGATCTTATTGAGTTGATCTGCAGGGATAGTGGGGAGCAGTTCGGCTGCCGTTTCCATGTCGCCACGGAGTACTAGCGTCTGATACTCTAATACAGGAAGAGATAGAGCAAAGCTTGTGACGTTGACATCTTTGTCGGCCAGGTATATCCGGGAGTCTCTTTGGATATAACCGAGAATATACATTGGCTGGTCGAAATGTGAGATGGTGTATATTTGGTCACCAACTAGGTAGTTTAGCCGGTTTGTGCTATTGGTGTAGATGAAGCAATCCCCAACCCATTGGCCTGTTCGCACGCTGTGAAGATGTTAGTTATGAGTAGATAATTATTAAGTAGCAAATACTCACCTCTCAGCAATATCTGTAATAACCTCGAAGGCGGCCTCAACTCCATCTTCGTCTACCTGGCCAGCTTGAGTAGCTTCGATATAGCTCTCGCGGGAGAATCTCAAAACGTAGAAGGTATCCTCACAAGCCAAGGTGACAAGCTCGCCGCTGTCTGACCAATATACCTCTTTTGGTTCTACTTCGATTCGTCTTACTAGACCGCCAGTGGTCCAGTCGTAGAAAGACACACCTCCTTGGCCCTTTACACCCAACAAGACGCCACCCGTTAAACCCTCAGCCTGGAAAGGGATATCTAGACCGCCGGTCTTCTCGACAAAATTCTTGTAGACCTTAATACTGGTCGCCGACTCACGAATAGCGAAGTCGTTACTGTTGTCCTTTGATGCCCATACGAAATCTAGTGCAGATCCGAAGGCCTTGTTACGCCATGCCAAAGCCGTGTAAATGATATACTCGCCATCACCGCAAACCGCAACAAAGCGGCCATTGGGGGAATGAATGAGCGTTTGAGGATAAACTTCGCATGTACCTAGCTCCTTCGTGGGGAGTGTGATTTGTTCGTTATCCTTAATCGAGGCGTCTATGGCTCGAGTCAGTACTTAGAACGATTACGGAATAGAGACAATGCGCATACCGCCACCCTTGATGATGGATGAGACGACTTCGTTGTGTCGAGCCCAAATCAATTTGCCAGAACTATCCATGGACACAGCAGGCTCTTCTCGGCCCAGCTTTACTACCACTGCGCCATCATCGAATCCGACGGCCACGCCTTGCTTACCACGCTGGTAGGAAATACACCACGCGCGCTCTAGGCCGTAGTTGAGAGACTGTTCAAAGCGGTAGGTATTTGCGTGCCATATCCTGATAGTACCATCTTCAGAACCGGAGATGATGACAGGTAGCTCCGGATGATAACAGGCGAAGGACACGTTGTTGGTATGCCCTTCGAGGCTCGCAATGAGACTCTTGGTTGTATAATCCCAAACCTTAACGGTTCTGTCGTCAGAGGTTGTGAGGAGGTACGGCTTGTCGGAATGCGGGTAGTAATCGACATGGTTTACACCCTTTGTCTCGTGGGCCTCGAGTGTGAAGTTGGCGGTGGAGGAACCTAGACTCCATATCTTGACGGTCCTATCTAAACAGGCCGAAGCGAAAGTGTTGGTATCCTTAGGATTAATAGCCAATCCCATGACATAGTGGCTGTGACCTTCAAACACTTGTACGCACTTCCATCCCTTCTCCCAATCCCATAATTTGATGGTCATGTCATCGGAGGCGGTCAGGACGAAAGGTTGCGTGGGGTGGACCGCGATGGCGCGTATGTAGTCGGGATGCGCCTCGAAGGACGTAATCTTTTCGGAGGTGTTATAGTTATATACTCTTAGTTGAAAGTCGTCGGAACCGCAAACGATCCAGTTCTTTCTCGCAACGAATCGGCCAGCTCGTACAGGGACATCAGTAAGCTCAAAGGTCTTGACGATCTGCTGTGTTTCGTACGACCAGATGTAAACGTGGCCTTAGAGAATTAGCTATTAGCGAGAGCTCAAGGGACTCGAAGGACTCGAAGAAGCCAAAGACGGGCTCACCGCTGTATAAGGTAGTTAGAATCCATGGCTCTTGCGGGTGGTAGTCGATGCCCTTGACACGCTCACTGCGCGCAAAGAGTTGTCGCTGTGCGTTAAATACCATGTTAGCATATCCAATAGCCTGGTAGCTGGTTTATATAGTTGGAATATAAGGCGTGGGGATTTAATTCGTAAAGCATGGAGGATAATAACGGTAGTATTTAGGAGTTGAGCCGCAGCTCGGCGAGGGTGCGAGGGTGCGAGGGTGCGAGGGTGCGAGGGTGCGAGGGTCAAGAAAGGCCAAGTCTCGATTTACCAAACCGAATGTCTCGAACTGGAAGTAAACCAAAAAGGAATCGGAGCGAACGGAGATATTGTACACACCTTCACATCCAGCCTCATTTTGCCGACAGCTCCAAATACCGTAGGAAATGAATGGGTCGTATAATGAATGCAACGATTCGTTCGAAGAGGGGGGGTAGTTGATGGTTGATCGCAGGCAGATCGATGCTAGTAATATTACGTGAAGACCATCTAGATTGAGGTTTCTGAATTATAATATGTGTTCCGTCTAAACAAGCGTAGGTATCGTTTCAATTGCTGGGTTATGTGTGGTTATGTGTAGTTGAAGCTGGATAGCTTACTTTAATTCTGAAAGCCCAAGTAACACAATTTACCCACAGGTATTGATTGCCATTTCCACATTTTCAAGTTTCAACGGTGGTCACTTCCCCCTGCTTCAACCAACCAATCAACAAGTCGCTAGCTTATGTAATGTGTGGCTAAACCTTAGTCCCAACCCAAACTCAGCCACGATTACATCTACAACCTAGGTCAATACTAGTAGAAACCTCTTCACTAATGTTCTCCTGAATATGTACTGCCAGACTGCCCGCGGTATGTAAGAAGCACTAAATTTCAATTGCCCAATATCCGTACAGGCAGTTATACATGAAGCATTACCTCAAGTACCCATCGCTCATAATAACGCACATCACCTTTACAAATCCACATACACATCACAGTCACTTTTAAAAGGGCAATTTAGTTCAAGTCGTAATAATTTTTATTGGAAATCAATCTTCTCCTATCGTCAATCTTGTATTTAACTTGACAAGAATGACTAGTACCTAGCAAGAACGCAACGCAATCGATGCAGATTTACAATGCTGCTGACGTGATCTAGTCGTCGTAAAGCGTCCTGCGTTCCCTTAAAATTTCCTTTCTGGTATCATCATACATGAACGCCTTTATCCCCTGTCATTTCCCTAGACGTAACGATCGCTCCCATGCCGTAAAATTCATCTGAAATGCAAATGCGGAAATAG